TGGTACATTATATTGCTGCATAGGAGCAAGATCAACTGGTGGAGGAGGAGGAGGAGCAATCGGTTTAACAACAGGCTATAAAATAAAATCAATAATAAAAATTATAATTATTTCATTTCCTTACCCTAGGTGACTCCTGACCAATATTACTAACAGGTGGAGGTGGAGGAGCATAAGATGGTTTGTTAGCAGCAATTGAACCACTCCTCCTAATATTCTCAGGTGATGGATCAGAAGGAGGATAGCCTAAACAATACAAATACATATAAGTATATTACTAGTAATAGAAAATATTACAATAATAGTAATCATTGTACTGTCTTAACAATAAATACCTGTACTATCGTCAAAGCCAGAAACGTTGCTGTCACGTGAGACTCGTACTAATTGTGCTGAAGATCTATTCTCAGCCACAACGTCACGAAACTCGACGTCTGCTCCAATAAACTTCTTCTTTTCAGCAACACGAATCTCTTTCTTGGGTTGATTGTCACGATTACGACGACGCTTCTTTTTCTCCTAAACAGTTTAAAATATTGCCATGTCAGTATTACAGTCATTTAATTTAAAGTAAGTAATGTATACATGTACATGTAAATGCTGAGATAGTCAGTGAGTATAATATGGATAAATAGTGATGATTCTTAGTTATTGTGTGGGAGGATACTATTACACAAACATAACCTTGCAACTTCAGCATAAAGTTTGGCTAGATATTAAGTTAAAAACACCTAATAACTACAAAAAAAACTTATTGGCAAGGTTTCCCTGATATTATGCTCGGTGGGCTAAACAGCATTCTCCATGACTGACAGGCTTTTGGAACAATTTTTAAAATTCATTAAATAATCCAATTTTGCTCAGAATGAGCTCAACTTTTCTACACAACATAAGTACATTATAAAAATGGAGAAGTCTCTCCTTTTAAATTTTGGTGAAATCTGGCCCAAGACCATGTACACTGTACTATTTTTTAAAATCCTTTGGGAAACCCTGCTTATTCGCTAATGTGAGAAAATAGGAAACCCTGCTTATTTGCTAATGTGAGAAAATGTATTCATGTACATGTACCATTGCTTACTCTTTTCTTTTTCTTCTCCAGCAGCTCATTCTGTGCTTCAACCCAAAGACGGTAAAAGTAATTAGGATCAGTATAAAACTTGAGTCCTTCCTTTCCATCGTCTCTGTACTGAGTGAAATCATTAAGAGCAGGAGGCTGGTCACAGGATGTGTATGACTCGTACACTGCTGTGGGCAGAGTCTGACGAGAAAGGATTTGCTGATCCTCCATATGCTTGCTCTTGAAATGCGTCATTGATATAATATCTTCCACTTTAACTATACAAGGATAAACAATCAATGTTTACACACATAAGGAGCAGACGGTCACACTACATAGATATATACATGAACAAACATCATGATAATTACAGTAAAAGGAAGTGACGTATGCCCCAACTCAATCATAATACATAACAGTGTACATGTGCATTAATTCTGAATTGTCAAATACTGTAAGCTTTATGCATTCGAATTTGTGAAAATTGTAGTGAGAGACAGATTATAAATCAACTTATAAGTAGCGGCAAAATTCTTACAAACATCATGGCCAACCTTTGGCCAGACATTGTTAAAATTGATATTTAAGAATAAATGAGACTGAAAATGTCAGCCTAGCCATGAAGCATGCAACGGATAACCTTCATCTGAGATCCCATAACGTTAATCTCACGCCTCTATTGCTACGTTAATTTTGATCTCAGTTAATACCCTATAATTATTCCCCACAATAATACTAGAGTAGATGCACTAGTTACGACACACTTGAATCTTTAATAACACAAATTAGTTTTACTTTATCATGGTGGGTTGGGCCTAATCATGGATGCATAGTCTAATTATCATGAGAAGTACCTTCTTCCTTTACGGTGGCATCCATTTGCTTTAGTGACTTGTTGAGGTCCCCAACACGACGAGTGAGAGTCGTTGAACGTTGAAAGATATTATTGGCCTCATTGAATAGCTCACCGAACAAGTTCTCCGCATGCTTTGAGAGACTGCTCAATTGAAGGATGAGACCAGACAATGAGTTAACGACAACTCCCTCCAATTCATTCTTGATCTTCTCGTTGAGTTGAGAGCGACAAACAAAGACAGGCTCGATAGCCCTCTTGACAAGAGGCATCTTTTCTAGGATTGTTACTAAAAATAGATGTTATTTTAACCTCCTAAACTATAAAAATGGCGCAGTAAGCTCAAATAGGAGGGGCTGGGACCATAGGACCCACCCAGTCAAACACCCACTTCTTCTTTGTGCAGAAAACAAAGTCTATTCTTTAGTCAGGTCTATTTTACTGACTGCTGATGCATTATGGAAGGAGATTCAGCTGGACCACCTCATAGACAAATGATTTCAGATTCTCTGCAAATGTGGATTCTATTTCCAGCTTTATTAGTGTTCCTAGTGATCATTGGTAAGCCCATACAGTCTAGACAACAATTGTAAATTTCTGCTATTAATAGGATTTCTTATATATAAACTACTGCAACGACAAAGGGCAAGGAACAACAAGGAAAAGAAACCAAAGAAGAAATGAAGAAATACTAGGATTATAATTGGCATTTTCTATGGCATATAAATATTTTTGTTAATAATTATTAGACTATTATTGAAAAAATACATTATAATTGATTTGCAATTATAAAACTTTGTACAATGCTATACTTGATGATATCATTCCAAGTAGCCCAACCAATATTGTAGGCAATCGACTAGACCACAGAAACCCGGCAGGCAAGAAATGAATTGCGTTGATGAGATCTGCGATATCTTGCACCAATGATAAGACAGGCATCTTCCATTCCCCACTTTTGTAGACTGTTCTTAGTAATCTCCAAGATCTCATTATATTAATAATCAGTAGCATTATCCATAGTTTTGTGCACCATATTGATAACCATTCTCGACGCGGACTGTCAAACAATTTACTAACTTGTCCAGCCCAAGACAACTGCTCCACTGGGTTATACGCTAAAGAAGCTAAGCATTCCAAAGCATCCAGTGCAAATGCAAATAGTTCGTGATTACTATCATTCTAGAAATCATAAAAAAGAAATATTACATAAGTTATACAAATAAAACAAACTTGAGGTACTGTACATTACTCTGACTTAGGACATAACAAACCATTGATACAAGTCAAAACGCTCATACAAAGAATATTACAAAAGACATAATTTGGACTAGTACAATTGGTATTGATATTCATGTAATCAAAGTATGACTGGGAATCTTTATGAGGCAACCACCACCAGTTCAGCCAAATGTATCAGTGACTATTTTAATCATTTTCTTACAATTGTTGAATATGAGTTTAACTGCGCTAGGATCATGCATGCTGTTATACGTATCAAAACTAATGAACATGCATTTACATGTATAATGAGCAGTTTTATTATCCAGTTCATCTAAAATTATAATTACCTAACTACCAGACTTACTGTAATTATAATTACTCACTTCTATTCAATTGTGGGCAATCACGTACACATTATGTATTGATTAAATATAATGCATACTAAGATAGGGCATAATGGGTAAAAATAGTAGTACCTAAATACTCTATCAATGATTAGTTTCTACTACTCAATATTAAACAGGTCCCTGGTCAAGGAAACTTATGGAACATGTAAACGGTATGGCCCCTTATGTCATTAAGTTTAAACTGTTGCTAGGGGAAATCAGTTTCCTACTTCATAACATGCATGTAGCATTATGCACTATAGGCAAATTACATTCTCATTTCAGATGATAAAATTTTTTAACCAATCAATAATCAGTACTATAGCAAAACTCAAGTTATTTCACAATAATCAAAATGGATATGCAGAGTAAAGCATAAAATCAACAGTCTAACACAAGGTATGCCAGATTTTTGTAAGCATAAGTAAATTACAATAAAAAATTATTTTCTGTTACTAAAAAAATATTAATTCATGGACAGGCTTTTAATTCTCTAATTCTAGAGCTACAACATGGATCTTACATAAAAATTAATAATCATTAAGCTGAAACTATACCAAATACAAAGGGTAGAAGTAAAGTTATCAAGGAAACAGAAACCAAAATCAACAGCATAAGATGCGAAACCAAACAACAATAGAACTAAAACTATTATTAGAGTCTGAGGGATAAAACTTGTGAGGGATAAACTTGACAGAACTATGAACAGTATTATTGTTATTATTAATGTTATTATTATTGCTATTATTACCATTATTATTATCACTTATTATTATTATCAGTAGAACTTGATCATAAAAAAATATCAATACTAAAATAACTTGAACTATGAGAATTATGTAAAACTAACTACATGCAATGTGATTAAATAAAAAAAATAATTAATTGAAAATCATTTCGTGGAAAATAAAAAAAAATTAAATTTTGCACTATAGTTATGCAAATTTTAATCTCATTGGGTACTTAGGGTAAATATTATGAACACTAAGCTGCCTTTTCTGAGCACTCTAGCAATTATGTTTATTTCCATTAGCAAAAAAGTGAACTATGTTGTACTGGGTCAATAGTACTATACATTAGTACAATAATAAAACAATAATACTGACAGTACAATAATGCAGTACTATACAATAACATAATTATGACAAAATAAAATTATTAGTAAAATCTTTATCGAAAAGTGCTGTCATTACTCATTACATGGGTAAGCATACTAGCATAGTCACTTTTTCTCTGCAATTACAATTACCTCAAATAAATGTGACAGATTAATGTTACTATTGCGTCAAAACAAAAATCTAACAAATAAATTGCCTACATCACATAGCGGACTCATAATAAAGTTGATACAATACAAGGCCTTTTCTATATGATAGAGCAAACTCAAAAGTGTTGGTGTGTTTTGAATGAGTAACAAGTACCTTTTGATGGTGCAATAGAATTACATGCAACAAAAACATTTCCACTAACTGTACTGGCAGAATTACTCGCATAATTTGTACCATAGTAAGTCTGAATTGATCAACGATTTATTTAATTGAGTGTATAATTAGCTCAAGATTCTGAACCTGTAATGCAATTACAATGTTACTTTCATCAGAGCAAAAACGAACAACAAGCTATTACCAAGAACTGACAGACTAACAAGATTATACATTAATTAATACAAAAGAATCAACAAAGTTGAGAATCTGGCTTCGCACTTGTTCTGGCTTTGGACTTGTTCTGGCTTACTACTATTGGTTGTTACTTAATATCAGTCATGAATGCAAGTTGCAATAGCTATCTAACAAACATGGTTATCTAATAAGTTTTCATGTGAACAACACAAACTAGTGATGACTCATCACGTAAGTTCAATCAATTAGTTTACATTATTTAATAAGCACAAGTGAACATATGTTGGTGTGTTCATATGGACTCTTAAGGCTATTCTTATAGCATACAATGGCTTGTGTTACTATTATTCTTAATAATGACCTATGTTCCCATTACACTCAGTAGCACATTAGTTGTCTTGGCTATAATGGCTAATAACACAGTAACTGAAAGTTGTTCAATATAGTAGATATAAACAATTATAGATCATGCTATTCGACTTTTTTCATATGACTAAAGGTCGATTTATTGTTCCCAATAGGTAGCTATAGGGCAGATGCAGGTGCAGGATGGTTACCATTATTAACAATAAACATCATATATATTGAATAGAATACCGGTAGGAAGCTATTTCTATGCTACGCCAAGTTACAAAATTGTGAAATTAATTGTTAAAACCAGGGATAAAATAGACTACCGTAACCTATGTTAAAACCATAAATAATGATTAAAAGTTACATGTACATTATAATATTAGCAAACAATTTAGATTTTTATTGTAACAGTGCAATACCTCATTCCACTTTTGATAGATATTTTTGACGTTACATAGTGTTGCCGGAGTGTTGAGTAGTCTAAAGACTAGTCTTGCAGCACTGATACTACTAGAAACTCTGGCTGCTGTAGATTCACTTTTATCTTTAGTGATGAACCTTCTGACCATTAAAAGCCTACCATTGCGTGGCTCAACTAATGCCCCATCATAAAATATAGCTGCATACTGACATACTCTTAGAAGTTTGTCACGACAAGGATATTTAGTAAATGTATCCTCGAGATATTCCAGGGCCATTTTGAAATCCAGCCACACCTCTCAAAATCAAACAAAGATTTAAAATAAAGTAATGAAATTAAAACAATTCATCACAATATTATCATTATCAGAAGCAGAAAAATAAACCTAGCGTTTTTTATGAACTACATGTATTGAATTGGCCATACTAAGGAAAAATAATGTGAGACAATACGTCAGTAATGTTAGTATCCACGAAGACACCAGGCTGGTGTACGCTGGATCTCTCCAAAGTCTTTATCCCAACCAGAGAGGTCATCAGGAGGTATGTCTTCTTGACTAGCTGGGAAATGGTCAAAGTTGGATGTGTCGGTAGCTCCCCTAACCTAAAGACAATTAATTCAGTTGATAATTATTATATAGCATTAATGATGAACATTACATTTGGAACAATTGGTGGCACAACAACCCTCTTCTTCAATCCTTCCCAATCAAATCCTTGAAACCACCTGCAAACACATAGACAATAAAACTGATATCAATAGAGACAATAAAACTAATATCAATAGAGACATATCTAAGGCTATAATCACAGTGATGATGGATGTTTTTGACATCAGATATCCATTGTCAGGCATAATGGACTGGATGATTTCAGTACAAACATCATTACATACAAACATGCTGACTATTAATACAGAGCCATGATGCAAGAGTGATATCACATGTAATTAAATAGAACATGATATAAAGCAATAGTATCTAAAGACCATTCCTCAAGCAATCCAGCTTAATTAAAAATTGAGGGTAAATGTTACACATAATTAAAAACAATGTGTAAGTGTTAGACATTGTTAAACAGAAACAAAACTTTGTTTCAAAATGAATAATATAGTATACTGTCAAGACAAAATGCTGCATCATACCATGACATTGCAGACTCACCTGTGGCCTTTAATATCATTAAGACCATTTCTTAAGTAACCCAGACGCTCTGCAGGGTTGTCCCTAATAAGAAGTATGACATGAGACAAGTAAACTGTGACTGTGAGTGTATGTGTGTCTCTACCTGCACAGTTTCTTAATGAGGTTCTGAGCACTGCGGGTGATTTTCTTAGGAAAATCAACCACATCAATACCCTTCAGAATGATATTGTATGTACGCATTGGATCAGCACCAGAGAAAGGAGGACTGAGTAATAAAAAGGAATGTTAAGGACACATTCTCTCTCTCTGATTTTACCTTCCTGTTAACAACTCATACATCAATATCCCAAGGGACCAATAATCAGCAGACAAATCATGACCCTTGAAAGGAAGCAGTGTTATAACACACAATATGAGTGATATCAATATTACTTTGTTCAGAATGATCTCGGGGGCAACATACTCAGGTGTTCCACAAAAAGTCCATGTCTTACGCCCAGGACCAATATACTTGGCAAAACCAAAGTCAACCTAGCATAAACGTAAATATTATTTCATTCAGGGTCTATGGTTTATAGCCCATAACAATTTACACCTATGCATACTTTAGAAATGAAATAATATTCATTTACAGGAAATTATAGTGAAAGGTAGCAGCAGTGTGTAAGTCAGAACAGGAGATTGCATAATCCTTGCAACAAGAGTTTTATAAGGTTTATTTTGTTAAGTGGGTGAATTATTATTGAGGATAACACCTAAGTAGCTCTTACTCCCTTATAAGCAGATTTTCAATTCTATTCTTGCTGCAAAGAGAGTACAACTTCCTGTACCATGAAAGAGTGTTGGACTTTAATGAATAGGGTATGACCAGCATTATACATTATGTACATGTATAGCAATGGCAGAAACCAAACTCATTAAAGCAAATTCAATACATAAGCTGGCATAATTATTCAATTAGAGTCTACGCCCTTGTGTGCACAACAATAATATAAATGGAAGTTACAATTGAAAACGAAATAATGAAATTAGTATTATCTGCTTTTTATTAGACTATGCACATGACTAAACATTGAATTAGGTCTAATGACGCATAATTGACAATTTACATGAACTAACCAATTTAACATAGCCAGCATTATCAAGCAACAGATTCTCTGGTTTGAGATCACGGTAGACAATCTCCCTTGAGTGTAAATATTGGAATGCCTCAACAACACATGCAGTACAGAACCTTGTTGTAGCATCATCAAAGCTTCCCCTATGTATATGTAATGCAACTAACATAGTTACTACACAATACTGTTGCAATACCTGTCCCTCAGAATAGTCCAGAGTTCCCCTCCAAGACAAACTTCAAGCAACATGTAGAGATACTTAGGACAGCGGAATGTTTTATACAGCCTGTACACAGAAGGCAAACATGAACAAATAACCTGTACTTTTAAAGACTCTCACCTTGTTATGAATGGAGAACGGCCGGACAACATGATAGACTTCTCTGAAAAGATGTGCTCTTGCTGTCGTGTGTCAACAATGTGCTTCTTACGAAGGCACTTCAAAGCAAAAGTACGAGTGCTATCAGTCTTCAGTTGAACCTTTAATAACGAGGGAGGGAGGGGGAAGATAGAGAGAGAGGATAAGAGAGGGAGAAAAATGTAGAAAAAGGAAAAATGTGGGAGGATAGAGTAAATATTTACCAATTCCACTCTTCCAAATCCACCCATCCCAAGAGTCTCTACTCTAACAAGATCATCAAGAGTCATCATTGAATATTCCTTAGTATCTTCATCTTCAATCAACACACTACACAATCAATAGAGGATCTTATGATCCTTATCCTAATACACATACCCCTCAAGCTTCTTCTCTTCACTATCTTTGTATGTTCGCTCCACCAGATTTCCAATCAGTTGAGTAAAGTGACTGGTGATATGTCATACTAATAATGCATACATTGGAGGCAATAATGACTTACTCTCTATCAACACAAAGACAACAAACGTTGCTGGTAGCAATAACACTAGCTGTACGGTATTTATCCCTGAAATAAATAAAATAAATACAAATATTCAAGTAACATGGCTCACCCCAATAATGCCTTTTCTCCAAAATAGTCTCCACGCCCTAATTCCCTAATAGTTTCTTCAGGCGCATCAGGTGAAGCTTGTTTAGTGATCTTAACCTATTAATATAAATACATGTAGTCAGTACATTAGTATTGGACTAGAGGTATGTGCACACTATGCCCTTAAACTGGTTTGAAACCAGTTTAGAAATAAACCAGTTTAGTGTGGACAGTTTCAATATGAGATAATCAAACTGGTTTAACTTGGTTGAGTACTGAAGCAGGTGTATTCTGTATCAATGAAGCATAATTATAAACTGATTTCACCACTGTTACATGTGGACACAGTTAAGCCTGTTTGTGTGTAAACAGGGCTTTAGTGCCAGCTTATTTGTACATGTAGTTAGTAGCATGAGCGTGGTCTACTGGATGCATTATGTTGTCTAACTTGTATTTAGTTTACTGTGTATAATAACTTACTGTTCCATCACTAATAATAAAGAATGTTTCTCCTGTTTGTCTCTGACGTATAATGTATTCACCTTGAGGATAAAAGTCCTATATGAACATAAGGCAATTCATTATACATAAAAGTATCAAAATGAGCAGTACCTCTTGAAGGACATCAGCCAGTTTCATCAAATCTCTCTCATTCAGCATCCTCAATTCAGGAACACTGTTTGTTAATATAAAATTAATACAACATAGCTATAGCATGCATCAATACCTTCTAAGGAAGCTAAGATATTCTGACTGACGAATAATACCATGATTCATCATGATGGTTTGAAAGCAACTTCGGTCCAAGGCCCATACCTACATGTAGCATAAAAGTAAAGCCTAGTATTTCTATTTTAGTGGATAAAATACCTTTGTGTCAACTTTTGCTTTAATGGTAGCAGTCCTTGTACAGTTGTACAAAATTGCTAACTCTCCAAAAAGCTTTCCTGGGCCCATTTCAGTCCTGACTTGACCACCCTTAGTCACTTGAACTTCTCCCTCTATCATACAATGTCACATTAAACTCTCAGTAATATACATATGTATTATGCTGATACAAACCTGCAATGACATATAGCTCAGTCCCCACAGCTCCTTCACGACAAATAAACTGATCTTGCTTGAAGTCAAGAGGAAACATGCACTCAACAATTTCAGTTGTCTGCACTTTCTCCAAATTCTTCAAAAAGTCATTAGCTGTAATAGCACGAAAAATGAGTTCCTTTGACCTGCGTACATGTAAGAATATAAGAATATGCTGGTATGATCAAACCTTTGGTCTTTCTCATAGCGTGGGAGTTGGGTAATCTTAAGTGCTTTAGTGGGCTCAGCAGATATACCTAAGATAATAAATTGTCCCAATGAAAACACGAACTATTACTAATGTACATATACAAGTACATGTAGTAATCAAGTTATACTAAGTGATATAAAGCTACTGTGGGCATTGTACCTTGTCTGTGTTCAACAGGCCTGCTCTTATCTCGTACTTGACGGTCCATGATTTCTGTTAATTCAGTCACACGTTGCTTCTGAATCTCAAGTTCCTTCTGCTTCTTCTTAAGTTCCCCTTCCAGTGTACTGATCTGTTCATTCTTAGCAGCTATCTCATTTTGTTGCTCTTTGTTTATTTTTGTTACTCTAGTTTATGTCACAGTGAAAAAATGAATGATTTCGCGGTACTATTTACCTTTCCAGGTCCGACTTGAACTTTTGTAGTTCCATTGCTCTTTGAAGGAGCAAGTCCCTCAGCTTTTGCTCATTGTTGGCACTCATGATGATCTTCAAGGCAGTTCACCACTACCTCTACAGATAGGCACCCCTAGTACACAGTTCGGTATAATAATTACATTAGGATGTTAGGCATAGGAAATAAATGACATTATAGGAAGGAAACTAAGATTGTGCTATCAGCAATAGATTCAAGACATTAATAATATACATTATGAAACCACCAGGGAATACCTACAGTAGATAAATATTCATTACACACAAAGGAACAACAAGCTAACAGATAATTAATTGCATTATTGAATTGGGAAAACCTGCCAAGCATAAGGCTAGTGATTACAAACAATCAACTGTCACTTATACAGGCAATAATAGCTTAAAGCAATCAAGATAATTATTGAGATATTATAATTTTATTAATTAAAAGGAAAAGTGGTCAAGTACCAAGCATCAAGTAAAGACAAGTAGCTGAATTGTAATTAAATATAAGGAAAAGGGAATGAGAGAGATAAAGAGTAAGTAAGATAGAGTAAAATAGGTTGAGAGAGAGAGCCCAGGGGATTAAAAAACTATGGAAGAGATAAAGGGAGAGTAAAAAAGAGTGGGAGAAGAGAAAAGAGAGAGGAAAGAAGAGAAACATACACACATGAAGAGGAGATACAAGCCTCACCAATGTATTATTATAATCTTTAACCCCATTAGCTTGATAATACAAACTGCATGACAGCATTCAGTATTACCTCATAGCAAATGTGTAGTAAGTAATTACATAGGTATGTACTATTATGTAGCACATAGTACCACATACCTCCTGTTTTGAATAGTAAACCAAACATTAATAAACATAAAATGTCACAGTAAAAAAAAGCTAGAAAGTCGAGGTGCATGAAACCACACTTGTTATCACCTTCAGCTGCGTAAACATGGTGCAATATGCAAGGTACGTGCAGCATGCAATAAACTTGGATCAACGTCCGGATCCTGTTCATAATATGGTGTAATCCACACCTACAAACACCTCGGTTGCTTTGAATTTTCTCACCAGCCAAAAAGAAAATTGCCAGACCCACAAATAAAACAATGACCTAACTGCTATTAATAAACATTATACATTAAGTACTCCTGACTTAGAACAAGCAAAGTGATTGTTTACAAGTTTGCTTTTGTCAGTCATTAAACTAACACTGATTGCATGAGTCAGACAACAAAATAACCAGATTGGGGGTGGCAGTACCTCTAATAACATTACTAAGACACTTAGGATAATCAGAGGTAATATTCCCTACACTACGCTAAGCACGCAGATAATACACACATCAAAGAACAACAACAAGACACAATATTGAAACATGATTAACTGACAGAAAGACAAGCCATATCAGAATGGAACTAATAATAGCTCACTTCAATTATCGGTCAGATCAGTAACTTGCTCTCCCTTTCGGAATAAAAACCCCGGATAACTCCGGATACTTTCTATTTTCCTACTGCATGCCTACGTCATAATCTGGATAACTAAGTTATTAATTATGCGACTTTAATGACTTCTCAAATTGAAACATAATGATTGCAAGATTTGCATTATCTCATGGTTGCAGAAAAGCATACATTAGAGACGTGACTGATGATAAAAACAATAACATTATGAAAGACGTGTTTTCAACAGTGCACAAAGAAATTGGAACCTCATAGTTCTTGGGACTTAAAAATGAGCTTTGAAATAATAAATAACTTATATAAATTTGACTAAACAAAATTAGATATAAAATTCAATATAATATAATGTAAGTGATTTAAAAAAGAATGGGATTGAGTCAAAATTAAATTAAATTACTAATAAATATTAAATGTTACAAGTGATAGAAATAGAAAGTTGCTATGACTCTTGAGAACACTGCACATTATCAATTAATACAAAAGATAAATGAGTGCTATCATCCTTCTTGCAGCTAGGAGGTTCCTCATTGAATGAAACAACACAATCTCCTAAAGTATCATCTCTCAGTGCAAGCATTTTGTAAAGGCCCTGGACTGCATGACCACCATCAATTGGTTGCAATGTGAAGTTACTGAAGTACTGTAACCCACTACCACTGCCTTCTTCATTAAAAACATCATGACTGACTGTGGTTACTTCTCCAGCACTGGTAACAGCAAGATAAGTGTCATGTTTAAGAGATTGTATGTTTACAACTTTGCTAGTAAGTTCAGGATTTCCAGCGTTCACATCTAGAATACGAAAGATGTCACCTTGACCATTCTTCATCAATTCTTCATCTTTGCCAATTGCAACTGGCATAGCTCCATGATTTGTTAGAGCATGTATTTTAGCACACTGTCCTAAAGATCTTCTTTCCATCATGTGTACAGCATTAGGTAGGAGATTGAGGGGGGCAGCAGAGGCTGCATTATAGCTAGATTGCAGAAGTAGAAGTAGATTTAAGAGCACCATTGAAGAGATTTTATAATAGTTAGACATGACTGGCTATAGATTGTTTTTTACACTGAGATATTTACTTGTGAATTTGTGATGATCATTGGTACTTAGTCTTCATTTATATACTACCCTCAGCATATTGGAACTGGAACTATAGGAAGTGAATTACCCGGATGTATTCTATAGATTGTGCAAACAAAAATGGCGGAAAATGAAAGCATCTTTTCTGACGGTGAGAACTGCAAGGATAACTGGAAAGATGCCAAAGCTACATTCACCTCAAACAAGGAACACTTAGTTATACTTGGTAAGCCGGTTATGGAGAAGTGGGAAACTCCATACATGCACAAACTCGCTACAATTGCAGCAGGTAATGGTGGCAGGGTACTGGAAATCGGTTTTGGGCTGGCAATAGCAGCCACGAAAATCCAGTCTCATAACAATGTGTCAGAGCATGTTATAATAGAGTGCAATGAAGATGTATTTCGTGAGTTATTGAAGTGGGCAGCTGAATCTTCTCGACCGGTAACACCCCTTCAAGGACTCTGGCAAGACGTTGTTCCTACTCTACCTGACAATAGTTTTGATGGAATACTGTACGATACATATCCACTCTCTGAAGAAACCTGGCATACACATCAGTTTGAGTTCATTAAGGCTCATGCATATCGCTTATTGAAACCAGGTGGAGTATTGACATACTGCAACCTCACTTCCTGGGGAGAGTTGATGAAGAGTAGCTTTGACAACATTGACAAGATGTTTCAGGAGACACAGGTGTCACACTTGATTGATGCAGGGTTTCGTAGAGAAAACATCAAAACTGAAGTCATGCCAATATCTCCACCGAGTGAATGCCGCTACTACAGCTATGATAAGATGATAGCTCCAACCATCACTAAGTAACATGATATACAACATTAGAACTGGACTAAGCTAGGCCTTTCACTCATTAGTTTATTATTAGAGTTATTATGAGGTTATGTTATAATTATTATGATAAAAATATTATCTAAATATTATGACTGAATAAAATGATTGCAAATAATATACAACACATGACAAAAATTAATGGTAACAAATTAACAATAATAATAACAACAATCAATATGATAGTTCAGATCTTTATATTTTCAGAGATATAAAATAGCAGGTAGGCAGAAGAAGACTAGACAAATACAGGTAATTATCACCTAAGCATGTCATCATTGTCATGAGTATACATAAAGCTTTAGGTAATTATACCTATTTACATAAACTAGGGCTGGTTCATGTAATGGGCAGGTGGACAGATGACTATAAATAGATCATACAAGGAAACCAGAAGCTATACCATAGTTTCCTTTCAGCTGCGTGAGCGGGTACACATGCACATGAAGTGTTTAATTAGGCACAAAACGTGACAAACATGCACTGTCACTCACATTTATATTTTGAGAAGATGTTTGACGAACATCTTGATCATCAAAAAAATGAAACTTTTGGCTACGAGGATGCCTGCATGTTGCTGTATCTATAATATACAGTTATAAAACACACGGATTACTTGTTATGACTTACAATGCCCACTCTGCAAACTTCCAGTATGATTCTAGAAAACATACAGACAGGCAATCATCAGTGAGAATTAGTATTTATATGCACATACCGATATTGCATAGAGACTATACTGATTAGTGGGTCTAGGGCCCACAACGTATGAATTCAAGTCCAAGGACCTGCAGGAAATATGGAATCACAATATTATGACACTTGATATTTCCACAGGGCACTGATGCTATTTGCACACATTAAAGAATACAACTTCCTCTCCAAGGGCATTCTACTATTTTCACTATCAATTTAATATACTGTACATGTACATGTACTGCACGCATCACTACCTGTAATGTACGATTACTTAATCTATGACACCTGGTAGGAAGTAATTAACAAGAGAGTAGATAGTTAATTAACATCGTAACATCATTAAATCACTACTGCATGCATAATCTTCAGAACAAATTAACTCACTCAATAGGGAAGCTTATGCTGGTCGATAGCTTCTCACGAACAGTGCCTTTATCTTGGAATCTATAAACGCATTAACAATCAATGATACAGTTATAATGTACACATTAACATAATAATTAACTAATAAGGTGTGACTAATGGGACTTCTAAAGTACAGATCATGTGCCAATAGCATGTATAGGCAATGCATTGTTTACATTTTTTGCTAATAATATTATCACAAGCTGTCCATACTTTTCTATTGTCCTAAGGATTATATTTCTACTGCTAACACCATAGTGAGGCAACATTAATTGTTTGTTGTGATAAAATATAATGGGGAATAATGACTCATTGAGTAATCTCTTCGTTTATTCTAGGATAACCCCTTCATGAAGGTAATTCAGCCAGTAATTTCCACAATTAACATTATACTAATTGATTTTCAACAACAAAAGAACAGTGATGAGCAGTGACACAAAAAGAATGAACAAAATGAAAAACATTACATGTAGCATCTACATGTAACGCCATTATCTTCTTGATCAAATTCATTAAATATTTTAAAATCTAAATACAATAATTATAGCAAGACAGAGAACTCACAAATGTTTGGCAGTTTACAAGTAAAATAAATCACTCACAAAAATATAATGTATACAAATTATTGACAATTGTGACATTACAGAAGATCAACAAGCATTTTCGACTAGTCTCATGTATAAACCTTGAAAAATTCTAAGGCATAAAAATTTTATTTGTTAAAAATTTATAATCAAAAAAAATTCCCAGGCTTATAAATATGAGCACTTACCGACATGGCTGCTACATGTACATGCACTACAAATAATAACCAGACTAGCCCCCCTATGCATATACAGTACATGTACATGTATGCATTGAAACTGAAAATGTCATTTGACTACATTATATCATTTGACATACATGTACTCAAATACATGTGTAAATAAAAATGAAGTACTGTAGAGTTCAAAATTTTTGAGGAGTCGGATTTTGCCATTCCTTGAGGATTTACATTAATTCTGCAAAAATCAATTCAAAAATTAAATCAGCAAAATAAATCTTTCGGCAATTCACAACATTTATAGCTTATAAACTCCAATAAAATTATCTTAAAATCCAATTGCAGTGTAAAAATTGTCAGAGCACTAAATCGAGTTATATTGACTGGCATTACCTTTTATGTAGTAACAAATGAAAAATTAACAGCCTTCCAAAAAATTACATGTACATGTAATTACATTTTACAAACTACGCACCTCACTTGTGAATGAAATGCATTATGTACTACATCTTTTAAAGTACAGTATAACCACTAAAATGCTACAGAAACATAATATACTTGGCTACTTGAAGACACTTTTGACTTTAAGAAATTTGATTAGCATTTTTGAAGAACATCAAAGAAGTTAAAGAAAGCTTTTACAATAGTGTCACATTACACAAAGACTCAGAATATATCAGTACATGTATATGTAATCTGGACTTCCCACAGAGAATGTAAAACCATGCTTCATGAGCTGACAAGCCTAATGCCATATAAAGCAACTTTTAAAATTCATTAAAAAATCAATTTTGTCTGGGATGAGCTCAAATTTTCTACACAACATAAAGACATATTATACATGAACATGTATGCATAAAAAATCATTAAAACAGAAAATTCTCTGCTAGTTATTTTTAGAAAAAAAATGACCAAATGCCAGTACAGAACATTTGGTCCCATTTTAGAGCAACTTTAAAAATTTATAAAAAGTCAAAATTTGATTAAAACTTTCTACACAGCATCAGAAAAATTATAAAAATAAAAAAAATTTGGTCAAGACCATTACAGGATATTTTGTCAAATTTTTGAGCAACTTTAAAAATTCATTGACAAGATAAAAAGAATGCCAAAATCTTGTGTCCCTGTATGTAATTGTATTTCCATAAAGACTACAAGGATATTATTTTACAAAAAGTAGAATGCTATTGCACAGGTATACCAAAATCTTACAGCAATGCAAACATTTACAGTATAATCTACAATGTAGTAAAGTACATGGTCTACATACATGTACATGTATTATACATTGTAAATCATAGAAGAGCACGGAAATCAGAAATTGCTACAAAATCACACCTAATTTTTGACAAATATTGATGTCTGATATTATTTAGAAGATTTATCTAATTCTGACAAAGAGTGCACATGTACCTTTTAAAATGAAGGAGAAGGATAGGAGGCAGGCGCCAAATGAAGAGGGTTTTTTCTGAATCTCTTGAAGCTTTGCACTGTGGACAGAACCTAAACATGTAAACATTAATTAACAAATACGATAAAATATTAAATAATGCCCAGAACAAATTAAAGATCCAAGGGACAAGTTCCTTACGTAAAGGAAATGGATGATAATTATGTAAAGAATAATGGTTTCTGTTATGGATAGGAAATAAAAGTGTAATGTATTTAGTGAAGGCATTTAAGACACACTTCTTATTAATTAACATTCAGCTGAAGAGAATACATGTTCATGTACAAATATGGAATTATGTGTCATGTGCATGAATCATAATGATGTGTAAATGTTTACCCTAATGACAATTATAATTGAGCAGGAAGAGAAAGTGATTATAATTAGCCAGGAAAAGTGTATCATTTACAAATACATGGTGGACTATTACGTAATGGGATTGTTCTTAGGAGAACAATAGGTCAATCATACTAAATTAGGCTATAATTGGGATAAACTGCTCTATTAGTCTTTCACCTTTAATTGTTCACATTAAGAGTTCTACAGAATCCCAGAATTGAACAAGTATATACAAGTACATCATGTGACATACGAAGATGTATTTTACCCCCAACAACTGATAACAATAAAATATTTACCATTTATTAGTTCCTGTCATACGCTCCTTAGCCGTAAACAACTTAAAGCAGTCCTATAGAATATATACAAACAGAAGACACACATTAATGGACTTGATAGATGCAAATGTGTATAACTGTCAGGCACACATATGCTCAAAAAACCCCTTAAACATGGACAAGCAATTACCTTATATATACATGTACAGTATTACACAAAAGGACAGACACATTCATACATGTATAAGGGTTCCTGAAGACATGCATGTACAGTACATGTACATGCAAGTAAAGGAAGCTGGCTGAAGAGGTCAATATAGTCATTATGATGCATTAGGAACTCAACAAGACAAGGGCAAAGTGGATTAATTAAATAATTTCAATAATAATTTATTATTTATTAACTTTAATAAAGGTCTAAAATTTTAGAGTGAGGTAAGTAGTGCCAGGCTCTTATTTAAGGTAGTGGAGGCAAGCTTCTCCCTTGCACTAACTGTGTATTGTGTCTTACATGATAAGAACAGCTTGTTCTTCCACGCGGTATAGGAACAGACAGTGAGACAAATGGCTCAAACATGACCTTCTTTTTACCACATGATAAGCAAGTGATAGTGCTCTTTAACAGGCCCTAAAACAATAAACTCTTCATTAAAATAATAAAGTTTAAACTAGGCTTACATGAAACAGATCAATGATGATAGAATTGTTTCTTTTCTTGTGAGCCTGCCATGCTTGCTCTACAGCCACTGGGTCTGGGACTCCATCAGTATCAGGCAACTCAACATAAGACTTTACCAGCACCTATACACATACACATAGTCATAATAAGGTCTATTTAATATGTACAACATATGATGTTACACATGTTGATGGGACTGTAATATTACAAAAATAGAATAGACAGTGGATTGTAATTTATAATCACTTTCACAATGCAAACTCATTCCTAGACTAATACGTGTTCACAGTCACCATGTGAAATCAACCACAATGATGCTGGTATATTGTACATCACTTTCACAATGCATACTCATATTCTCATAGACTCATTAAGAAATCAGTTAAAAGACACACCTCCTAATTAGCAGTGCATATGATTACACTAATAATGCATTTATTAGGAGAGTAAATTTGCCTAAAAAAACAATGAGCTCATCTGGTTAATAACAACTGATAAAAAGCAAGACAGCCTTGATCAAGCCTCTTAACCTAAAGCAAGGAACAAACATGCAAACATGAACCTTTAAATATATTTCAGCCATTAATAAAAACACCAATCTACAAATAATAATTAATATAAAAGACTGTAATTAATGATGGCCCATTGCATAGTTTAATCATAAAGGTATATGTACATTACCTTATTGAGGTCCTCGTGGAGTCCATCCAGTAAATAAACTAGAAACTCCTGTGAGTCGTGCTGCTCGTTGCCAGCAAAATAAGGAGCAACTTGAGAGACAGTGTTCTTGAATTCCAAGGGAGCTATGTATCGAAACTTTCCCAGCCATATTGCAGCAACCAATATGTAAAACTCTTCAGCCAATATACCACCAGACCCTAAAGGATTAGACCTACATAAGAGACAAAGAGAAATAAATTAAAAACATGTAAAGTGAGTACTAAGTGATTTTCACACAAAAAAGGAGATGACAATTAAATCATTAGAGTATGTAGAACTGCTATACAATGTACATGTATGTACAGAATATTTGCTGAACATAATGAACACTAATTCGATTAGCAAAAAAGCAATTTTAACTTAATTTGTGAACAAATCACACTTATAACGACAGTAATAACTGGACAAAGGCATATTCTCAGAATTAAAACATAGGAAAACCCTATATCCCTCTAGCAAATATTTTGCTAATGAGATAGTATGAGAATTATAGTACAAACACTGTACACATAGTACAAGTAACAAGTGTTCCACTGTTACTATGGTTTTGACTTGCTATTAAGAAGTATTAGGCAATGCAATGCATTTACCGTTGGATGAGAATGAATATCATTTCTTTATTTCATTAATAAGATAATCACATTAATATTACCACAGGCCCCGTATATTAGAGGAAGTGGGAGGAAAGAGAAAGAGAGATTACATGTATGTGCGTGTGTAGGGAAAAGAATGAAAGACAAAACAGAGACAGGTACATGTACATGTACATGACCATGTAGTAATTACAATTAACAACAAATACATGCACATGTACATGTACCAGCTACTATACATGTACCATGAAAGTCTCTAAAACAAAATCCAATGTAGTTACAATAACAAGAATTGTACATGTACACGTAACTCGAGTAGACATTTATACATGTACATTGTAAGAGATAGTGTGGGATCAAGCTACATTAGATTAGGCTCAATATTTAATTACTAGCTTAAATTGTGTTACTAAAATTGTAAATCCAGCAATTAAGAAAATACATTTTTATGGAAAACAGCCTGAATCAGCAGTGCTTACTACTGTAGGTAATTACACATGTGTGATCTAGACATAGTGAGTTAAAAGGTATCATACTAGCTTTGAAGTTAACTGTACCTCCTTATTAAATGTACATACATGCATCCTCTTATTCTGACCTGTTTAAATCAGCTCTGTACTGCCCATTGAAGAAATACTTAACAAGAGGAGGAGTGGCACACAGGCACTGAATAACAGAACTCATGAAGCAAGTATTACCAAGATTTCTTAAACCAGTTAGACCGGGACCCTACGATATCCAATAACAGTAAATTAGCACACATTATTTATTTATTACTCTCCCCGTAATCTCCCTCTCTCTTACTATTCCTCCTTGCACGGGCTGTAGGTTGATTATTTTTTGTCGATACACATCAGGAGACATTGGTGGAGCTTGTTTAGGTTTAGTAGTACGATCAATTTGAGGCAGTGCTGGTCTACCAGTAGGGCCACTTGACTTCGCTACCTGATTATGATCCCCAGGAACAACTTGACCACGCCCAGATACAGGAGATTGACCACGCCCAGATACAGGAGGAGACTGACCACGTCCAGATACAGGAGGTGGCTGACCACGCCCAGGTATGAGAGGAGGTTGACCACGCCCACCAACAGGAGTAGGTATAAGGTCATTTGGTTTTACTTGTTGACCACGTCCAACTACTGGAGGAGAAGCTGAAGGATGTCCTCCTGCAGGGACTCCGTTGGGAGGTGGTTGAGGAACAGGCCCGCTGGCTATTTGTCTCTGACGTTCAGCTAGTTCAGCTTGATACTGTAGGATAGATGTTGGTGGGTTCCAGTGTGTGGTGTGCGTATTATGATCAACATAATAGAAACGGTTGGTAGTCCTATCAAGTCTTTTTTCCCATCCAGTGGGAAGACCCTAATTATATAAACAAATAACTCAATTAATTGAAACAAAAACCAGCTGCACTCTTTCAGTCCACAAAAATCAAATTAATTGAAAGTAAATATACCACTGACCTGATTAATAATGACTGGTCGCTGTTGCTCATTGTCCACCTGTCTTGATTGCCAGTAGTGTTTCATTTCTTCCTGGTGCTTCATCATTGATTTCTTTTCTTTCTCATATTCTTCCTTCATCATTGACATTTGTTTTTCCATCTCCTTCTTGTGCTGCTCATACTCCAGCTCTTGCCTTTTTCTGTCTTCAGCTAAAATTGCCTTATCCTTCTCTCTCTCTTCCTTTAATTCTTCTTTCATTTTTGCCCGTTCGGCTACCAACTGTTCTTCTACCAGTGCACGTACTTGCTCTTTGATGTCAACAGTTTTTGTTTCTGTATTCTTTTCAGCTTCTGCTGGTGCATCATTACTCTTTGAGGAGGAAGCAGAGCCATCCTCAATGTTTTCTTGTGGTATTGGTATACTAACAGGAGGTGGTAGTGGAGGCTGAACAGGAGGATGAGATGGTAATAACTGTGCTTCTTCATAATTAGGAGGAACTGGTAATGGGCCATAAGCTTGTCTGGGATTATTAGCATTAGCGTATTGCTGGAGTTGCTGTGAGGCCTCTTCCTCACTACTGCCATAGGCACTATCATGATAGTAGGTATCTGCTGGGGGATACCATTCTTCAAGAAACTCTATTGGCTCAATCTCATTAGAGAACAATACTCCACGCCCTTCTAAATCTAAAGGCAAATTAACACTGGGAGCGGGAGGAAGTGGTTGAGCAGTAAAAGTAGGGACTGGCTGCCCATAGTAACCAGTCTGTTGGGCAATATGTGGATTAGCAGTAGTGGGCATCCCTGGGTGACCATTCGGTGCTTGACCAGTCGAATACAACACTGGAACTTGACCAGTAGGGTTTAGCATTGGCTGATTCATACTTTGCTGACCAGCAGGAGGATATACAAGAGGTTGACCAGTAGCAGTGTGCATTGGTGGTTGAGCCATTGGAAGATTGGGATTAGACAGAGTATTAGGGTGCATCCCAGGTTGACTATTAGGGTGTAGTAAGGGTTGATTAGTAGGGTCTCCTAATGGTTGATTAGTAGGGTATCCTAATGGTTGATTAGTAGGGTGCACCCCTGGTTGATATGCAGTAGGCAGATTAGAGTATTGTGCAATAGGTTGATTTATTGGTTGACCATTAGAAGACTGGGTCCTTTGAGCACTGGGAGAATAGCCAGAAGGTTGAACTGGAGGGCCAGTGGGATCCTGTGGGATAGGCTGACTGGTGTGGTATGCAAGTGGTCCTTGATTAACCTTAGACTGCTCATCTGATGCTAGAGTAGCTGGTTTTGTTGATCGGTTAACAGAAGGAGGATTATTGCTATGAGGAGGATAATCCTTTCCAGGCACGTGCTGATCTTCACTGCTAGAAAATGGAAAAGTAGGATAGGAAACGTCACCTATACAATCATAATAAATAAATAAATGACAGAGGGGCTTTAACTATAACTAGCCTCCAGTGTCTTTATTATCAGTACTTGACTGTGGGATGACTCTTTCTTTCCATTTACCGACGCAGAGTGGAGCGTATGCCAAGTACCACATATTATAACCACCTTCTAGTATACTAACTGTTAACTTTTCCTGCAGAGACAATAATCTCGTTACTCATACTCACACATTATAGTAAAACTTACTTCCTTGAGTTTCTCTTTCAATACCATCACAGGTAAAGATTCTTGGACTGAGTTTTGATCAGTCTTCTTGTCCACTAGAATAATGTACGGGCGTCCCTTACTACCTCTCTCATCCCATAACTTCTGATTAGTAGAAGACATGAAAGTTGTCAAATTCCTAAAATACATGACACACAAACAATAAAAAAGAAGAGTAAGCTATTGCTCTGGCTTTACCCAGTGATTATAACTTCCTCAGGAACAGAAAGCCACTGAGGGTATTTCTTATTATCAACATGAGATGTCACATACTCACTACGAGACCTACAGTCTAAGACTAAAATCTTGTCACTTTTATCCACCAGGATTTGGTAAAGTTTCTCAGGAGGTACAAAAGGACCAAGTGAATCTACCACCAATGGAATAACAGTCAATAACACAAACTCATACAAATACACATCAAACTACTTAGGCAAAGAAATAAGGTATGACATTCATATAGTTCAAAGACTATAATAGAAACCTCAAGAATAAATATCCTTAAGTATAACCCATTGGTAGCAACCGTGGGATATCAAACAGACAAGAGCTTAGAAGAAATTAGCTCAATCTTTAGCTAACTAGTACTACCACATTTACCACATTAAAGGATATTTGTTGCCATGGAAACAAACATGTGACATACCTTCAGTCTGAGTCTCAGCTCCAGTGGAAGACTCTGTGCCTAATGTACATGAATATTAATTAATCAATTTATAATTGATTCTTATTCGTACCACTATTGCTTGAAGAGGCATTTGCTTCTTGATATCTGAGTTGAGACAGTGAAGTGAGAAATACCAAATTGAACCTTACCTCTTTTCTAACTCAGAGGATAAGCTCTCAGCATCATCAAGAGCCTTTTTAAATTTCTTCAAATCAAGCAACCCATCAAATGATTTCTAGTATATATAATTATTAGAACAAATAACTATTAAATACGTTAATTAAACAATTACTTTATTCAGCTTGTATTCCTTTGATGCCCGTATCTTACTAACCACATCAAGGTACCTCATCAAGAGGATGTAAGCTGCCTCTTGGTCACCGTCTATCATTTTCTCAAGTGCAGCAATGTTAAGTTTGTCTGCTGATCTGCATAACCTAAATATCACTAAATACACAAGCCCACGACTGCCATACTGCCTTACAGCTTTGGGTTTGCTGATTTTATGTTATCATTAGCGGACTGATCGTTCAATTCTTTGACACTGCTAGCTAAATGGAGAGGTTTTGGAGTCTTGTTTTTGGTAGCCATCTTAAATGATCCCGTGACAAGTCACGCCCTATAACCACGCCTTGAGCCACGGCTGCCACGCCTCTTGGTATTAATAATGAATAATTAATTAAGCAGCCAATGTGATATGCGGGACTGAAATAAAGGGAAGAGAATGTTCTGAGTGCCCTCAGTCTTACAGAAGAGGATATTATAAGATAAGATAGAGAGAGAGAGGCAAGCAACTTCACAGGAAGACCTACCTGTATTGGAACAAGCGTGCTGTATTATATATAAAGTGGTAAGTTATCCCTCGTGTAATGGCTGCAAGTTGACATAGTCATCAGACAGTCGGCTAGTAAAATGTAGTAAGTAACTATGACCTCCTGATCTTGTAGGACTGCACTCTAACTACAGTTTCTCTGTTTGGCTTCTGCAGTCTTCCTTCACTACCTTCCCTCACTAAAAGTTGCACGACTCGGTAGCTCTTACTATTCTAGCAGTGACATTTTTGGAATGCCCAGGACTTGTGCAGAAGAATCAACTACCAAGTCTAGTCTAAACACAGGAGAGGTAAGAGAGGGACTGAGGAGAGAGGCACTGATGTGTTTTGAGTGACTAGTAGTCAGACTACAAGCTAAGAGTTGTCATCTTGAATCAATGAAATATTTTGCAGCATTATTCTGTCCTGGTGATTATGTTTATTCTCTTGCTAAATAATAATTAGAATTAATCATAAATGTGACACTCTCGCTTAAAGTTTTGAGAGTCGTTGCCCTATGTGCTATGTTCGTTAGTAGAAGGCAGTCACATTTTTTGTGGGTTAGGCCCAATAAAATGGTTGCACTTAGAGCCCAATGCTGAAGGAAGTGGTGAGTGTCCTCTTATGTTCATGAGAACCGGCTAAACCTGCTACATGTCTTTCCTAGAAAGATATAATTTAGTATCTTATCTGATAATTTCCCCTTAATCCACCCATTGAAATTTTTTAACATTATGCCATTATTAAGTTAGTGCATAAACATGTTTTAGTGTGTGTTGCTTAAGGGTTTTTCCTCTATGCAATAATTGGCTAGTAATTGGCTAGTACTGTACTTGTATTTTTCGCAATTTGTTTCTTGCACAACCAAGTTGTTATAATGTATACAATACACAATTATGTGCAAGATGCATGTTGAATAATCAGACAAGCTTATGTTGTAATTGTAATGGGAGACATTGGTGGATATTCTACCTCACATGAGACCTGAATGAGTTTCATAGTTTGACATCAGGTTTCACATTGAAGGTCATTGCTATAGTAACTATGATGTAATCCATTGATGTCAAGAGTCTGATGCTTATACAGATGTCTGGCCCATTTCCCATTCATTTTGTTGCATCCCATCCAGTCTCTTATTTTCATCAATGAATGTGTGTGTGACAAAAACAGTTTTTATAGCCATGAAACACTATACCAATATTAATCATACCAATCATGGCTCAAATATTTCTTATTCTTCAATATTGTCTCATTATATTGGATGGTATTTTGATTTTCTAAGGAATGCTAGCAATGTACTGGTATCCCAATGACTCAGTGATAAACAGCCATTGAAAGGTGATATGCTTGACTCCCTGTTAACTTGATTAGGAGTAAATGTGGTAATCAGTGTATGTGACAATTAAATAGAGAGACTTGTTAAATGGTGTGGTAATTGATGTATAAAGTAATGCTTTGTACTTCCAAGACATAATGAGATTATTCGGCTAATCTATACCCCCCAGAGCAAAGAGCAGTCATAATGTTGTATCGAGTCATGTGTGTGTTTTGTGTACATGTGAGCATTTGGAAGATATTGTTAGTTTTCTTTGTGATTTTAATGGTAATATCATACTCCAGTAGCCTTTTCAGATTGTAAGAATAGCTCGAAGCAGCTGCTGGTTTGATGTTACTGGAGAGAGTGAAAACACTGACCAATGAGACCTCTTAGTTGCTTAGCAAAGTAGGGCCTCACTTAAAACTGCTCCTCCTTCTTATTATTTGTGTCAACAACACTTAGCACTTGAAGACCTAAAAGTCACCCTGGAGAGCTAATATTTGCATTTCTTAGCTCTTACTGTATCAACTGTGTAATTACTTTGTACATGTATAAATTGTGGTAATAAGCCTTTGATTGGCCTGATGTGATTATGATAGACCATGACATAATTTCATTAATCGAACATTTTTATTTTTACATGTAGGTATCTAATACAATTGTACAGCCGGATTTCATGGGCGGAGCCTCTGAATCTAACTCAAGTGATCTAAAAGGTTAGTTAATGTACATTAATGTAAGTGACACCTGGCTAGTCTATGCTATTCCATTACTGACAATGCTCTCATACATCTCTAACAATGGGTTTTATAAGGTGTTGCCTGGAGTTATTCAGTGGACTACAATTGATTAATTACTAAAGGTTACTGAGAGTGAAGTCTTATGAATATACTATACTCACTTAGCCTAAGAAAACAAGTAACAAAATGAGGGCCGGCCTATTTGTAGTATAATTGATATAGTACTGCAATAGTTGGGAATGCATTTCTGTATTGAGGTGTCGGTTTGTCAGTTTGTGGTCAGAGCCTAGCACCAACACCCTTCATTCACTGCTTCAATACAACTAAAGGGCCTGGTATATCTCTTACTCAGAATGATTGTTATTGTGGCGGTTGAAGTGACCAAAGGCTTGTGTGATCTCAGAGTTATATGTCACATGCACATTTGCTGTCATAACTATCTTTATTAGGTATAGTTTAATGTACACTTTGACAGTGCATATGAGCACAGACGTGTGCTATGTATATGAATTCATGTCATTACTTCCACAATAATAGCGATGAGTGTGTCATTATTACCTGTGTCGGTGATGTGTATAGTCATAGCGTGTCATTATAATAATTACATGTTAATTATTTTAGGTTAAATAGTTAGTGTGTACTGACTAATACCTTGTACACAATCATCCGGTTTGTTGATAGAAGCAAATAATGATGGAATTCTTTGCATTTTATTCACAAGACTTGTTTGTCTCTTTGTTTACTGCATGGGGAGCATGTTTGAGAATTCAAATCCTGTTTTGAAAACTCATTCCCTGTTGCTTGTCAGACTTATGCTAAAGTCTATTGTAGTCCGGACCACAATGTGGTCAGACAGACAAGAAGCTTCTGAAAAGCTCCCCTTCTCCACAAACTGATTAATATCTAGAAAATAGATTTTTCATGATAGGGAAAAGAGAATTCAAGAGCCAGGATAGATTTGTGGGAAGATAGATCAATTCAGTGTATGTGTTTTGATAAGTTTGTCTTTACTCTTGTGTCTCTGAAGGCAGATCATATTACCCCTGAGAGAGGAGGATAGTTATGGATAAGCTGACAGTGTTGTTATAACTTGTTACATTAGCCTGTAGTAGGAGTAGCTGACAAGAAGACCAACTCTTCTATCTGCTAATAATACAATTTCTGGTTTTGACCTTTTAATATCCTCTTGGCCTCTCGTGTGATACCTTGTCCTTCCTTTGGTCATGATTAGGTCTCCATGTTTTGTCCAGCTTCCTGTATTATAAGATTGAATTCTTGTTTGGAAATGACACATTGAAAGATTACTTGGTATAGTGGTATGTTAGTTCATACCCTTGTTAAACCAGATCAAAGAATGTGTGTGTGAACTTACTGTAAAGATGACCCTCAAATACTCTGTAGAGTTCTCATACATGTCATGTACTAATGCAATTTGTCAGGTCTTAAGGTCACACCATTGTACTTAGTGGCTTTGAATCTCAAAATAAACTGATTTATTTAACAATCTTAGTTTATTTAAAAATAATTCAGGGCTCTAATTGTAACATTATGATACTAGGTATAACTGCTTTGCACCCTCTGATGTGGTCGGTTGTTTTTTATTTCTTTAAATAACAATAAACTCGTCTTGCGAATATAAAAGGCATGCTAAATACGTTAGAATTACAGTTGGTAGTAGTGGACGTTCAGATTACGATCATCTTTTCATATGCTTAGGTCAGCAGAAAGTGACTAGTTGTAGAGTTGAGAAGGTTCGTGTGCCTCAGTTACATTTGAATACTAAAGGTTAGCAATTATTATGTACTAGAGTCATATGTGTATATATGTGTGTGTGTGTGTGTGTGTGTGTGTGTAGTGTCTATAAAATATGTGTCTGTGTCTGACTAACTTATGCAATTTGTGTTTAGATATTGCTTCAAATAATCAAATTTCTATTGTAAAGCCAGAAAAGGACAAAAGAGCAAAGAGCTGCTCATCAAGCAAAGGTATGCCAGGCAGTTGCATAGCTACTAGAATGTCAGTTGTTTACTGTTACCCTCTCTATTTTGAGCTTACACTGTCTGTTATTACAGCACTCTAATGCTATGTAAATGCTTTGTTAGAAATATGCGCATTGTTACTGTAGTAACAACATAATGCTTGAGCTATTACGCAGTTAAGAGCATTTATTCATAGTTATAAGCATTCCATGAGTCTTGAACCTTGCAACACAACTCATATATATTCCAAATAAGGATAAACATAAACCTACTTCCTGTCACATTAACGATAGTTTGTAGACATGCCTATCATGTCAGTCATACCTTGTGGCTGAAGCAACAGCTACTAGTAAACACCATGTGTATATATAGGAGCACTGTTTGTCCCATTGCCTCTCAGTTGCAGTCTGTTCTGTTGTTTAGGTTGGCAGCAGAAGCAAACTACCTCTCCAGTCACTACTCCAGCTTCAGTTGCATATCTTGAGGTAACTCAATCATTATTGTTTGTGTGTGTATAATTATTTTTTGTTTTGTTCTATTATTTGTTGTTGTGCCAAGTGTTCAAATATCTTTTTAAATGATATCTCTCTCTCTCCAGTCTCCAGGTACTGTAAAGCCATTCAATCCTCCTGTACAGCAATCACTCCCTGAACCAAGGCTCTATCACTCAGGAGACTTCTCTTTATCATCTGACTTTGGACCAAATTCTAGCTCCACTTTCTCATCTCAAACATTTCTTCCAGTTATGGGTATGTGTGAGATCAATCTTTGAGATCAGTCTGTGATAGTGTTATCATCATCATCAATTATTCATTATATTATTTTTATTTTTACTACTCTTGTAGATGGTCATTTGCCATGGCCTACTGTTCCTCATCCCCAAGGGCCTCAAACTCCAGCTCCACCACCCCATTTTGTGCAACAAGCAAACTTTAGAATGCCAGTTGGTCCACCTCCTTCTTATCCTGGCACTACTGGTGGTAAGTACAGTGTGTGTCAGTTAATCGAATACAAACTATCATTCATTCACTCTCACAGATCCTTTCCACCCTCAGCAAGTTGATGCTCAACAAATGGTGCTGCTTCCTCAAGAATTACAGGTACTAGTCTACTAATAATATTTATTATTATTATTATATTTATTATTATTATTATTAATCATCATCATCATCATTTTATTATCATTCACTTTCTTGCTTCAATAGTATTATGAACATCCAAGCCAGCAGCAGTTGCCTCCAGAGTATCAGGATCATAATTTCTTAGCTGGTCCCAATCCCTCTGATGTACCAGTTGATGGATTATCAAGGCAGTGCAATAATGAGTCTATCCCACCACTCCTGTACCCATCTGAAGGTACGAGTCATAATGTGTTTACACAGTACATTCTAGCTATCATTAATTGTAGGACCATGGCAACAGCCTCAAGTCTCTACTGCATGTCCACCATTGAGATCACAGTATGATGAAGCCACTCCTCACTGCATGCAGCCTTCTTCACCTTTCTTTCCCTCTGATATAATATCTGAAATACCAGTAAGTGATATTCAGCTGTTGTTGTATAAATTGACTTGTTATTATTCTGTAGCCTCACGAGTTGAGAGGGGAATCTCATGATAGCCTCATATCTACTCCAAGTAAGCTTTAGAAAAGACTGGAGAGTATAGAGAGAGAGAGAGTGAGAGAGAAAATGTATTTTTTGCAACGTGTAGTTGCATGTTTGTTTATCCGTAATAGCTTTTAAATTGCTGTTTTGTTTTTGGTTACATAGATTCTATTGGTGGTACTACATCCAACAACTTAGTCTCTTCGCAGTCTTCATCACCTACAACCACTCTATCAGTAATGGACTCAATGGAAGGACCGGAATCAGTTGGAAGTAATGGCAAGAAAATTCGTGGTGGGAGTGGGAAAAGGGCCAGGTCCATGACAGATGATGAGCGCCGTATGAAAGAAAAGGAAAGACGTAGTGCCAATAATCAGAGAGAAAGGTATGACTGTCTTGAGTTTAGTAGTACCTCTATGTTGAATTGTTCTATTAGGATAAGAGTGAGAGACATTAATGAAGCATTTAAGGAGCTGGGAGACATCTGTCACCAATATCTCCAATCAGAAAGAGCTCAGACTAAACTAATGATACTCCATCAAGCAGTTGCTGTCATTAACAGCTTAGAAGTACAAGTAAAAGGTATACATGATATTTTAAGTCGTGCTTCATTAACATAATTATGCCTTTATGATTAGATCGGAATCTCAATCCCAAGGCTGCTTGCTTAAAGAGGAGGGAAGAAGAGAAGGCACTACGTTTGAATGCTCTTCCAATGGATCCCTTGGGAACAAGTCTTGACCAATTAAACTCACCAAACTATCTCACTTCTAATAGTTTACTCACAACTTCCTCAGCGATGCCATCAGTTTGTTACAACACAACATCTCCAACCCTACCTCCTAATAGTAGTTCTTCAGTCCACTCACGTCCCTTAGTCTACACTCCCTCTCCTCCTTCAATTGCTTCCACTGACAAAATACCACGAAGAAGTGACCAACCAATGAAACGTAGGAGCAGTGGAAACTTAAGCCCAACTTTACGCAAGAGTAAAGGTCGTAATTTACCAATCCCTAACAATCTGGTCGTTAACAGTTCTGATGTAACAGGTGTTCTTGATCCATCCTCTTCCTCAGCTTATCCAGCATCAATGACAACTTCGTCTTGATTAAAGAGGGAGTGATGGAGGCACAGACTACTCTAGTATGTGTGTTTTGGTCTAGTACATGATAATGTTTTCATAAATCTTTTATTCTGTCACCACAAACATTAATACACCAAAAATTATATTATTTTTTTTGAGCACAAAACACATCATTTCCTCAATTCACCAACATTACAACACTCTTTGTAATAAACTGTATTGATACTTTTGTATTACTAGTGTAGTCTTTTTTTCAATTAAATTCTGCAGTCTAGACTTTACTTTTGTATTTTTTATGTTTTGTAATTATTATTTTGTGATCACTTCAATCATTAAATTCAATTTGTCAGAGTGTGATAGCCAATGGTAACACGATAAACTAAGGCATTCATTATGTGAAGTTTTACAAGTGGACAACATTCTGCTAGTAAATACAGAATCAAAATCTACCAAATTCACAAAAATTAGGCTCATTTAACTCCTCAACGCAATTAATACTTCAATGGCAATGCTAATGAAATATTTACTACACTAATCAACAAAACAATGCCTTGTAAAATAGTATACTGCTCACACTTCCTCCATATAAGAGTCAGGTAACACAGGAAGTATGGCATAACAGCTGCAGGTACAAGTTTCTTCTTGAAAGCCACTGTGGTTAATTTGGAGTCCATAGGACCACAAGGCTGACCCACATAACCAAAAACTCACCCAATATTAAGCACATGACCTTCATCCTTAAAAAAATGAAGTAATAAAATAATGTAAATTTTAGAAGCATTATCACTTAAACTGGGCTGTGACATAGATCTGTATACTTGTGACAAAATCAGACTATATACACAAGTACATTTCACACATATCAATTTCACTCAAGGTCGTCTGTGTGCATGTGAGCACCACAAATCTCAAACAGTCCATGCAGTATGTACACACATTTCTGTAGTACACGTGCCAATAATTAAAGCAAAGGCAACTATGTATGCTGAAAATGTGAGAGATATTCTTTAATGACAATTTTTAAATATCATGCTTTCTAGTGATCAAAAATTCAGAGGAAAAGAAAAAAGAGTGACACACAATCATAATTAATATACATACAAACTAGAATGGCATGATAGTCACAAACGCCAATTAATAATGTCAAATTAGGTTTCGATTTCGAAAGGAAATGGAACTTCTGGCTCATTTGGTTGGTCTAGCATAGAATAAGGATAAAAGAGACTGTTACATATTACACAGTTACTTTCTGATGGAACTGCCAATGGGCTCTTGGTTCCCTGAGGTACAGCAACACTTCCCTCAGCAATAATGTCGGGTATTGGTGGTAGCCTTGTTGGTGGAGTACGAGAATAAGGAGAATCACGTAACTGGAGGAGCATCTTCCTGTCATATATAATACGTGTACCTAAAAATGCAGTAAATAAAGGCTGTGACTCGCAAGGAATGCATCCTTTTAAAATCAATGACATAGATTAAAAGGAATGGGTAAAATGGCCTATGTATGATAGACTAATTGCTTTACAAGTAACAAAACTTCCTGATACTAGTAAACAAAGCAAATAACGAAAAATTCCCACTACAACGGTAACTTGAGCTTAATGCCAGGGAGTCATGACATACAGTACCATAAAAGGAATACATACACACTGGTAAACAAAGAACATGACGGGATAGAAAATGCACATTCTACATACATGCAAGCATCATATTGACAGTCAATGATACCCACCCACATAATTAGCTACTTGTTATAAAAGGAAATTTACCATGAGAGCGTTTATAACATATCAAAAACAAATAATTATCACTGGTTGATTTTTAAATCAAAATAATATAATTACCCAAAGACAAAACTATTCCTCTCTTACCATAACAGTCATTACAGTTTATACTATCTAAACTGCTAAAATTCATTATTAGCCAGTAAGAGAGCAATAAATAATGTCTCATGCAGGTGGAATTTGAGCAAAGGTGGGAGGCAGTATTTGTTTTTGGAATGGTTCATTGACTATAAACTGTGAACATAAGAACTACATTCAAAACTCAATCAAGACACAGGGAGAAACATGTTGCCTGATAACTGAGCAAACACTTTGAAAAATGATTGATCTGAGAAGAGTAAAAAACAAACAACTAGCAATAATAATAATAAATTATAATACTTATTGGCACATGATTATATGCAGCTCTACCCCAAGTAGCAAAATAGTGACAACAGACACATCAGAATAAGACAAAAATAATAAGCAAACACATTATTATTAGAAATTAGTTAATGTAGAAGATAAAATAAGGAGAGGCTATACTTAGGCCAGAAGTTATCATAATAGAGAGACCAGTTAATATAATGAAATTGAATAGTTTATTTGTCCACTCATTGGGCCATTTGAGTGGGTGAACCCACAATAATCATAATAATTAATCATATAAAATTTCATTATTTTGTAATGGCCCACAGGCTAATATTACATGGCCGGCCTACATGAATTCATTGGTCGATTGGCAATAATCAATAAACATTGTGATGGACTGATGCTTCATATAATAGGTGACAATAATCTGTTATGGCTATGTTGAACACAAAGCCTTTCATGTTAAATAATAATTTATAATTAATGTCACTATTGTGATTACTATTAGGAATTACACTAGCAAAATAAAAACCACGGAAATATTTAAAACTAAAGAGTCTTAAAAATTGTTTTGACTACCAGCAATATTTTATTCATTCTCCTAAATGTAACTCCCAACCACACTAAAACTTTTCCTAAAAGTTCAAAATTGTGTGGCAGTGTCCATAGTTTCATTACATTTGATCAGTATAATACACCATTAACAATGACTTAATAAGATCAATGCGCCCTACATTACAACCAACCAAATGTAAGCGTAAATGCAATTTTCCACCTCTAGCAACTAACGTTACCACATATATATATATATATGACACTTTCAGTTACTGGTCATAAAGTGGAATTAAAGTATACATGAAACAATTATTTTAGCTCTATTATACTCTCATACTCTCAACATATCAGAACATAAAAATGTGTGTGCATACTACATCACCCACGCAATTAGACCGGTCACGCCCAGTGCAAAATGAAAAAAAACAACAAAATACCTCCAGGAGTGGTAGAGTACATGGTACCTCCTGGTGTCATACAGTAAGAGCTCGGGAGCTCTGAGGCATCCTTAACGAGGACAGTGCGTGAGGGAATGTCAAGACTATTGCTAGACTGACGATCCAAACCAGTTGGTCCCTTTTTGGCTTCCTCTGACATTTTATCGGTCCTTTTAGTAGATCCTGAATAGGGTATTCACTTTATGGTCTCCAACATCAAACTACTGTGTATTCATTAAAGTCGGAAGATTGCCACAACAAGTAAACATTAATGATGCAACCTCGACTGCTGAGCTCACATGGGCGGTCACGTGATAATTTAGCGAGTTGTTAAAACGAGCATGCGCAGATGGATCTATATGCAGAGTAGGGAAGGGTGTGGCTGGTTGCAGAGGACAAATCAACTTAAACTTTTAATTGAGTGTAAAGGTACACTATACAGCCTCTGGTACTCTAGTCGTGACGTGGATTATGGCTTCCTTTTTGTCTTTTGTCACGCGTGCACCCCTGACATCCGTCAGACCATTTCAGTCATCAGCTGGAAAGCTATTAAGGTCACAAGTTCTTCAGTCTAGATACCCTTCCCCACTGATAGCAAGAGCAATGGCAACCAAAATTCAAGGTGAGGTACAAATGGGATAAATGATAGACTAATTGCTGTGCTTAATAGGTGGAACTGTTGTGGAAATGCAAGGAGATGAAATGACAAGGTAAGAGTCTTAGTGGCCCTTTTAAAATTAATGTCTTCCAGCCCCTGTTAGAAATTGTTGGTTCTTTGTGGTTTGGGGAGGTTGAGTTTAGATTGAATGGGAAACACCCATTGCTTTTATGACTTCATTGGTATAAATAATTTCTTACATTACTTCTCCATGTCCAATACCACATCACTGGTGTAGTGGAATGGAATGTAGTCAAAAAAATTAAGATTTACAGTTTTCAATTAGGTGTAAATTTTATTTGACCTTTTATTTGACCTTTTAGTACATGATTGTAATAAGTTATGATTCTTAGCGAAGTGGAAATTGGTAATGTACGATTTGCACTTCTATATAAAATATGTCTAACAGTTTTATTTTTGAAATCTTATATAGTGCCGTATAATTTGTAAATTTAGTAGTAATATTGAAGAGCGATACAAAATTAATTTTAGAGACTGAGTGCAAGAGTAAATAATTTTAGCTTGCTTCCTTTTCATAAAAATGTGAAAATTAACATTGAGTTTGCACATCATTATTATTGTGAAGCTGTTAATGTGCTGGCCAATTTATTAGAATCACTAACATTGATATACATGTACAATGTAGTTTTTGTTTGAAACCATGTCTATGTCTTGTTGCACCATTGCTATCATACTGTGGTCAGTATGGTGTGTTGATTTCTATCTATAAACTCATAAAATGCTCCAGTAGGATTATTTTCAATGATTTTATTAAGAATGCTATTGTAACAATAAAAGTTACATTAGAATGCTATAATAAAAAATTATTATTTAGGATTATTTGGGATTTGATTAAAGAAAAGTTGATTCTTCCATTTATTGATTTGGATATCAAATTCTATGATTTGGGAATTGAGAACCGTGACAAGACTAATGATCAGGGTAAATAGTTGTGTTGTTTTGTGACGTTAATTTATGAAGATAACAACAGTCACATTTGATTGCGCTGAGGCAATTAAAAAGTATAACGTTGGAATAAAGTGTGCCACCATTACACCAGACGAGGCAAGAGTAGAAGAATTCAATCTCAAGGAAATGTGGAAGTCGCCAAATGGAACAATCCGTAACATACTCGGAGGAACAGTTTTTAGGGAAGCAATCATCTGTAACAACATTCCACGTCTTGTACCAGGCTGGAAAAAATCCATAGTTATTGGTCGTCATGCTCATGGTGATCAGGTACAATATTTATAGATGAAATAATATTATTATTTCTTAAAATGTGTAGTATAAAGCAACTGATATTGTAATTCCTGGTCCTGGTAAAGTTGAACTGGTGTATACCCCTAAAGGTGGAGAGCCACAGTGTCATACTGTTTTTGATTTTAAGGATGGCGGTGTTACAATGGGAATGTACAACACTGATGAAAGTATACGTGACTTTGCTCACAGTTCTTTCCGTTATGCAATTAGCAAGGGTTGGCCTTTATACATGAGGTAATAAAACCTATTACATGTAATTCCATTCATCATTATTTTAGTACTAAGAACACAATCCTGAAGCGTTATGATGGACGCTTTAAGGATATTTTTGAAGAAATATACCAGAAGTAAGTTTCATTTTGCTGCTATTTAAAGTAAAACTCTTGCGACAGAGATTACAAGAGTCAGTTTGATGCTAAGGGGATATGGTATGAACATCGCCTGATTGATGACATGGTGGCACAAGCACTCAAAAGTGAAGGAGGGTTTGTCTGGGCATGCAAGAACTACGATGGTGATGTACAGAGTGATGTAGTTGCTCAAGGTAATGCTTATTTTGAATCAGTATTTTAAAATGAAGTGCTATAGGGTATGGAAGTTTAGGCATGATGACCAGTGTCCTTGTATGTCCTGATGGCAAGACAGTTGAGAGTGAAGCTGCTCATGGAACTGTGACACGTCATTATAGAATGCACCAGCAAGGAAAAGAGACATCTACTAACCCAATAGGTACATCATTCAATGCCATAATAATAATGAAATCAATCATTTCTTTAATTTTTAGCTTCTATTTTTGCATGGACTCGTGGTCTTGCCCATCGTGCTAAACTTGATAGTAAGTGTCATTAGTTTTGAACAATGTATATTAATATTTATTTTCCTTATAGATAATCCTGAATTGACACGTTTTTGTGATAATTTAGAAAAAGTTTGCATAGAAACAATTGAGGCAGGGATCATGACTAAGGATTTAGCTGGGTGTATTAAAGGGATACAAAAGTAGGTAGAATTAACTCAAATAATTATTTACAATTTGTTTTGTAGTGTCACTCCTGATGACTATCTCAACACTTTTGCTTTCCTTGACAAATTAGCGGAAAATCTAAAGGCAAAGCAGGCTAAATGACTAAATGAAAGTAGAAAGTCACATCTTTGACTGAGGCCGCTGTATAGTATGTAGTTCAATTTATTTATTATTAATATTAATATTAACTTATTAGTAGTATCAAAATTATTTTTGTTTGATTATTATGCTTTAATAAATTTGTCTCTTTCATAACAAAAATAGTAGCCAGATGCATCTTTTTTGTGCATTGCTAATAATTCAATTTCTTCAATGTTTTCTTCTCCAATTTCCTCAGTCCAGTCAGAATAAAGATCTTCATTAATTTTTTTAATTATAGGCCTACGTTGCCGGGAGAGTTTAGCTATTGTCATATGAGGTGTAAAACCTCTCTTGTCAGTTGAGAAAATTTTATTTTCTTCAAACGTATTATGAACTTGACCTAGAGCATTACCATGTAAAGCAAAAAATGCATATGTTTATCCATACTTGCAATCATTTCAAGTGTCTTTTTACTTTCTTCATTGACTTGAGCATACAATACCTTGCTGCCAAATGAAGAGAGTCCATTGAACTTGATTAGTCCTGATAAGTTTTGCTCTTTGAGTAGTTGGCTCACTTGTAAAAGAGCTGCTTTACCTCTACAAAATAAAAAATAAAATATATGAATCAGTAAACATATCAATTTTGTTACACACCTCTTAATGTCATCATCATTGTCCAGCTTAATCACCATAAGGGTAATATGCATTCGATTTATAGGTACTAGAACATGATTGATTTTGGGTTCCTTTAGCATCAAATGACGATGCAGATGTTCAATTTGACTGCAAACACTGACTGACTTCACCGGTAATGCTACAAAGGCATTTGGAACTACACGCTCAACTTTATGTTTCTTGAGTTTTAAACAATAGCCATCATTAGACTTTCTAAATTTACTGTTTTTACTGCTTTCCTCACTAATGATTTCCTCTACATCAATGGCAGATAATGGACACTCATCTTCATCAGATGATACCTCAGGCACTCTACAGTGAAACGATGCACCAGTACTAGCAAAAGACCCACTATCTATAGCACTACAAGGGACAGTAGAATCTACTACTGAGAAGTCTGTTGGCATTAAATCTGGAGTTGAAATTGAGGTTGGTACAGCAGAATATGGAACTGCCAGTTTCTTGTTCACTCCATTAGCAGATGAGGATGATGCAGCCATCACTACTGTACATATCAAACGATAGGTACACGGAAAATCTGAAAGAGTTTTATAGTAATAATTATTTATACATTTTCTCAAAACCTCACTTTTGATCATCAGTTCATCAATAACAAAAACAAATTCACATTCACATGGGCGTGTCAATACTTTATTTATCACGTGATCATTTAAAATGGCTGCTGCAAGGCAAAGTTTTGGATTGTTTTCAAGAAATTTTTCACTTCTGTCTCGATCTGCAGTTCGCCCATTGAGAGGAGATGTTGCAAATGGTCCAGGACAGGTAAGGGAATTTGATATTTTGTATTATAATAGTACTGCATGGCTGTGCATGCAAATATTAGTGTGTATTTTTGTGTAGGGCAGAGAATTAGTTATATGTATTTTACGCATCAATATTTCATAATTCAAATGGGTTACATAAAGAAGATGGCAACGGAAGAGGCGTGGGATACTTATGTTTTTTTTATTAGGGTTAGGATTAGGGTTTAGTTTTTATTTAGCCGCACCCCCCCCTCTGCAGTACCATTTTTATGTGATCTGGCATAATGTTTATAAACCTTGAATTGACTTGGATATTTGCCGCCAGAAGTAAAAAAGAAATTGTAAATCTCTACCCCTAACCATAAGGGAGGGTGCTTTAACTAAGTCATGAGAGGGTGTGGTTTCTAGGTGGAAAATATCCTAGTTGACCCTAGACCTTCAGTCTTGTTTAGTTACAAGAAAAAAAAGCACATTTTATTGAAAAGATTATGTAATATTGGCCTTTAGTAAACCATTAATTACTTTTATGGTTTTGTAGGTGTCACAAAATAAATGTAACAATTGTGCCTACACAAATAGTGTTTTCCCACCCATTACTGTGAAGTTAATTTTTGTGCAGCTTTATTTGTTTGATGGCACTTTTTGTATTAGTGCATGTACATGTAGAAATTTTTATAGCTCACTAACCTCACTTCATTTGTATTAACGTTTCACCATAGAATTATACATTATTGTACATGTGCTTGATGTGTGTAGTGATTATGTGTGTTGTTACTGTTGTGTAGTAAAACTTCCCCTTATGTAATGTTATGCTGCAGTATTATGGCCATGTACAATTGCAAATTTAATAATGTTTGTGTATTATGTTCATCCACACAAGCTATAGTAAGAATAAAAGCCACAGTGTGCATATAAAAAATTTTGTTTATGCCTTATTAAATTTGTAGCTTTAAGAGTGATTAACGCTGCTCCACATAAGGTTTATTAGGGTTTGGCATAGTGCTATTGCAGTCTTTTCTGGTACATATGCATGTTCTTATGTTGTGTAGCAAGTTTGAGCTAATTCCAATCAAAATTGAATTTTTTTTACAAATTTTAAAAGTTGCTCCAAAAGCCATGTACATGTACTATTGTAGTGTTTGTCAGCTCATGCATGCTTTTTAGCTCACTTAGCATTCTTAATGGGAAACCCTGATCCACATCATTGTGACTAGAAGTCCCCATTAACATACATTGTATAGCAATTCTTCACTGTGATTTGTTTTTGGTTAACAGATGAAAAATCTTTTTGCATGTCTTCAGGCTCAGTGACAGTCTTGTAGTTATTATTTATTGTGACTACGAACTATTAGAAATTCTGTGTCTGTACATTAATGAGGTAGACTTGGTAGTGGTGGTGGAGGGAATGATTACGTGTGTTGACTTATGACAATGCACTATCTTTATTTTCCTTCACTTATTATTCTAATTGCACATATTATACAATGGATGCAACTTGTCTACTGTGTAGATGCTGCTTTTGGTTTAGGAATAAGTGTGTTGTGTTGATTAAATTTTATAAAGCAAGTTTTTGAAATACTATATGTACTACTAATCTAAAGTTTTCACTTCAATGACATTTGTTATCTATTACTGTTATCTACTATTACTATTGCACTGTGTCTCATTATAGCAACACATGAGTAAGTAATAGTGTCACTTCCAAATTTGTCACTGTGTACTTTTTATTATTGCATTTAATGATCTTATGTGTCTCTGTATGCCATAGCAGTGTTTTATTATTATTTTCTTATTTAGAACATGCCTTTCCAAACAAAAAACAAATTTCGTCTTGTTGTGACAATGTTTGGTGCTGCTTCTTTTGCTTTCTCATTACCATTTGTGATGGTGGTCTACCAGATGAGGAAGAATAGTACATAATACTGCTAATCTAGAGCTATATCATCATAGCAAAACATTGAACATTAAACATTTTAGGTCTTGTTAGTATCATACTTGAGTATTAAAATTAGTAATAATTATTATTGTATATTAAAAAAAATTAGATTAATGGATCAAAATCCACTTTTGGTTTATGTGGACTGGAGGGATTAGATGCAGTACCAGGATTGTGTCCACCGCAGCACTTGCTCTCATTGGATCTACTCCAGTGGTCCCCATCAATACTGTGACCAAGGAGACCTACGTCACTGTACCGTGATTGATCTTTGTCTATTCGGTTAACTAACTCACAAACATAATGTTGAAATGCCTAACAAATATCATATAATGAGCTTAAGAAATACTTCAGTTTCATAATAATGTCATGTTTTAGGCACAATAACAATGACTAACCTCTTCAATCCCTTCACCGGTTTTTGCACTAACTTCACCAAAGCAAGCACCAACACTTTTAGCTATTTGTTGTCCAGATACTGTTGGTACTTTTCGTGCACTTGCATTATCTATTTTATTTCCCAACACTAATAGCAGTGGTTGAGTAGGGCCTGCATTCTGTTGAAAAGATTGAAATAAAATTATGGTCGCATAAAATTTAATCTTAACTGTTGTTATGTCTTCAATCCACTTTGTAACATTGTCAAATGACTCTATACTAGTTATATCATATACAACTATCACTCCCTACATGTATAAACCAAGAATGTCGCAGTCAGCTGTCATGTGATTATTATTATTACTTTAGCTCCACGATAAAATCCTCTTCTTAGTGAGTCATACCTTTCTTGACCTGCAGTATCCCATAATTGTAATTTGTAACGTTTCTCTCCTTCTTCTACTATTTTGCTTTTGAAATCAACACCTATACATGTGAGGGGGCTTTTAAAGGATTGTTTGTTTTTTTATAGTTTCTGCTAACCAATTGTTGGGAGAAAACTTTCTCGAAATACATCTTGCGTGTATCTTAGTATAAGGCAGGTCTTTCCCACTGAGGAATCACCGATGACAACCAGTTTAGCTAACGCTGTAAATTCCATTTCTCTATCTGCAATGCTGCTATTGCTAGCTTGCCTTCCAGCAGCCCCTCCTCCGGATGCGTCTTGCAGATTGTGGGCGGGTCAATTACGATTATTACGCACACGTGCGTTTATAGGCATTAGGTAATGTGAAGTCAGTGTTGGCTGAACTCATCGGCTGAACTAGTGAACTTCTGAAGGGCTCACAAGAAAGATTCGGCAAAGACGATGCTTTCTTTAAGAAAGTTTACTCGGTTGTGTCATATTGCATGCAGGCATAGTAGTACACAGTAAGGTTCATTATAATGCTAACACTTGAGAGTAATATTTAATAATAGGCCCCCCAAGACTGGTATTATGATGCTAAATTTGGGAGGCCCCGAGACCACTGAAGATGTGCATGACTTTTTATTACGTCTGTTCTTGGACAAAGACTTAATTCCATTACCAGCTCAAAGGTATGTCACTTGTAAACAAATTGATGCAACTATGAATATTGTTATGATAGCAAACTTGCCCCATGGATAGCAAAAAGGCGGACTCCAGTTATTCAAGAAAGATACAAAGAAATAGGTGGAGGGTCACCAATACGTATGTGGACCGACAAGCAAGGGGAAGGAATGGTGAGGCTGCTAGACAGTTTAAGCCCTGAAACAGGTATAAATTATTATCTTAATTATCAATCTAAGTTGTAAATGATACTGACCATAAGGGCCTCATAAGCATTACATTGGTTTCCGATATGCTCATCCTTTAACAGAAGATACAATCGATCAAATGTACAAGTAAGTGAAATCGCATTATTACTACAAGTACAAAACTGTTTGTAGTGATGGTATTGAACATGCTGTAGCATTTACACAGTACCCACAATATTCTTGCTCTACAACTGGCAGTAGTCTTAATGCAATATATCGTTATATTGAAAAGTCAAGTCATTTAAAGTCTGCCATGAAGTGGTCTGTTATTGATAGATGGCCCGTTCACAAGGGATTAGTAAAAGTAATTGTCACATGAATAGAAATGTCATTAATGTTTATATTGTTTGTGAACATAGGCATTTACTCAAGGCATCGAATCTGAGTTAAAGAAATTTCCTAAGGAAGTTCGAGATGATGTTGTGATACTGTTTTCTGCTCATTCACTACCAATGAGAGTAAGGGAAGTGCCATTGTAAGCCATATAAATTTTTGTTTTCTATAGGTTGTGAATCGTGGTGATCCTTATCCTCAAGAAGTTTCTGCTACAGTTCAGTATGTAATGGAAGCATTGAATCATTCAAATCCCTATCGTTTAGTTTGGCAATCTAAAGTAGCATTTTGGAATAACTATGATGCTATTAATTTTTTTATAGGTCGGACCTTTGCCTTGGTTAAGCCCACAAACTGATGATGTTATAAAGGGTCTGACTAAGCGCGGGAAAAAGAACATGCTACTTGTTCCAATAGCATTTACTTCTGATCACATTGAAACTCTTCATGAGTTAGACATTGAATATGCTGAGGACTTAGCAAAAGAAGTAAGATGTGATCATAATAATTATACAAGTATTAACGTTTTTGTGTATAGTGTGGAGTTGAAAACATTAGGAGGGTTCCATCGTTGAATGATAATCCATTATTTATTGAAAGTTTGGCTGATATTGTTTTCAATCATCTCAAGAATGAAAAACAGTGCAGTCGCCAGTTGGCCCTCAGATGCCCTCTGTGTGTTAACCAAACATGCTTAAACATGAGAAATTTTTTTGTTCCACAAAATAAAAACTAATAGAAATAATTTAATCAAATTAATAAAACTGTTTTTTGTTCATTTCAGTTGTTTATTCTTTCAGTAAGTGCATTAATTGCTCTCATGTTTTCAATTGTACGTGAACCAAGATATGACTCATTTAACTCACTACTAAGAGTCTCTGGTTCAAACACTTGTTTCCATTTGGTTCGTTCACGAGGACTTTCTGTCTGTTTGAAAAGATCATCAGAGGACCATGTCATGTGAAAGTCATCCATTGCAAGAGGAGTCTTTGATTTTTTAAAAATATTAAAGATGCTCTTACGTTTGTGTGAGTTAGGCGTTATTGAAACAGTTCCAATTACTGATTTTCGAACTAGTGGTGAGTTAGATTGTTTCTTGAGTGGAATATCATCAGAAGAGAAGGACTGTGAGCGTGGTACGAAACTGGGTTCATCACTATCACCACTAATTGAAAAGGGTCGATGTCTTGCTTTTGGTGAACTGAGTGGAGTTGGTTTTTTATCAGCTTTATTTCCCAGCAATGCCATCATACCATTAAGTTTGGTGAGACGGTTCGATGCAGCAAGTAGTGTGGGATCTTGTGGGCAATTAATGATGCCCTCATCATATATCTTTGCTGCTTTTTCCCATTCATTCACTACACAAAGAGCTCCTGCCATTAGTAAGTACCACTTTGGTTCATTAGGGTTCAGAGTAGCAGAGGCATCAGCACGCTCGTATAAAAGTTGCAGTTTTTTTAGTACTTCACTACATGGCTCAGACGAGAGGCTCTCACTGGATGACTTTAACTTATGAAGCTCATGTCTTAAATGTTGTCCCGTCACGCCAAAGTCGTTTGTGCTCTCCATTTCTACTTGCAATTCAATGTCTATGGCAAGATTGAACCTATCGGTAGCTAGCTGGATATCACCGGCTTGATAGGCTAGTCGACCTAATTCGCTGGCGGTTAAGTATTGGTCTAGTCGGGTTTGCAAAGAAGCCACAGTCTGCTGTTGGCTTGAAGTTTCTTCCTCAAAGAGCAAATCATCATCAAAATCACATATCGAGGAGTCCATAATTTTGGCTCTAACAAGTAAGCCGCGCCCAGCAAATGAATTTTAATTAGATTTGGGCCTAGGCCTAGTTCTAATTTTAGATTTAGAAAGGTGATGTCAATTCTTGATCTTAAAATAGTCTAGACCCGCCCATATAGGGAAATCACCCGGTTTTCCCCCCCTTAGTTTTGTAAGTATAAGAATCAGCTTTTCAGTAGTCCCAGTCAGCAGCAGTGTCTCCTCTTAGCTCCGGCTTTTGCACAGTCTCGGGTTTCCTAAAGCAAGATAGATAGACAGATCTAGATAGACTGATAGTTCTTGGGCTACAGCAAGATGATGTTATATCTAATTGGTGCTATACTCATTCCGCTTTTACCTGTTATTTCAACTGGAACCAGCAGTGGTAATTTTACACGTAACACATGTATTACATATATATAGTGGGCAATGATAATGGTAGTATAGGCCACAAAAATTATAATCACTGATGGGGCATCGCATTGGGCACATCATTAGAAATAATGTACCGTATGGTAGACCTATGGGTGGCAGTTCACACCTGGGGTCAATTACAATTACAATGATATTATTGTAAAGGCTGGTTTAAATATGATGTTAGGCTTGTGTACTGTTGATTTTTAATCAAAAATGTGGGCAATTTGACCTTTTGATGCATGCTTTCTGCTAGAATAGAACCAGATTCTCTTCCAGCATCAGGACTAGCATAATATTGTAAATTAACCTTAATTGTAAAGGAGGCTTAACATAAACAAAATTGTAATTGAAATTTTGATCAAAATGAATAGTCATGGCTAGTGTACTGAATACTGATTACCGAATCAATACAGATGTAAGGAAAATGCTCTCATTTACTTTAGAGCCACTTCACATTACATGACCATATGTACATGTACATGCAGTGTACACTAGTAGCTGGAAGTGTGACAATCAGGGTTTCCCAGTATACTGCTCAGCTTCTTGCCAGCTCATGAGGTGTGCTGTTTAGTTTGCTCAGTAGAGCTTTTGTAGAAAACCCTGATCCATGGTATTTGTCAAAAATGGCTAGTCAATTTTTTGTAATTTTTTTGATACATATACATGTACATGTTTTGATGTTATATACATGTATCTAGTTTGAGCTGATTTCAATCAAAAATTGAATATTTAAGCTTGCTAAAATCTGGCCTGAGACCATAAAAGTATCCAGGAGAGAATTCTTTGTTTTAATTTTTTTTTGATACATATACATGTTCTGATGTTGTACCGTATAACAGGATTTATTGACATAGGTTTTATTTTGACAAATTGACGATTTAAAATAAATTGTCAAATTTTATAACCTTTCAAAATTTTGTATTTTGTACCACTTGTACGTGAAGGCACAAACTTCTTTTATTTGTCAAATTAAAAATTGCCAACTGGAGAAATTTACTTTTTTTGTCAAATTTGTTACTCGTCTATAAATCCCGCTATACGGTATATGTAGTTTGAGTTGATTCCAGTCAAAATTAAATCTTTAATGAATTTTAATAATAACATTAAAAACGCTTTGTAAGCTCATGAAGTGTGCTGTTTAGCACACTTAGCACACTTTGTGGGAAGCCAATGTTCTATGGCAGCTAAACTGCAGGTTTTTAATAGCAAGTCATGTTTCTGTTTCATGCAAAAACATATCAAAGTAGCATGTTTAATTGAAATTACTTCAACATGGAATAATTGTAATGCTAACTGAGTCTATTATTTTACAAAAGGAGTGTAATGGAATGTGAAATTGTAACTGGCATTCTAAATTGACCCAGAGTTGGAATTGGGTGTATTAATTCGTAGTGGGATTCAAATGATTGTCTTAAAATAGCACAAATTACATGTGCATTTTGATAGCTGTACAACATTAGGACAAAATTATATTTTGTCAATATTCTAGCTGCATGGTATGATATGATTGCATGTTTTACAATTCAAATGCCCTAGGTTTATTTTAGTGAGTATGAATTTTGTGAATTAATCAATTTTAGCTATAATTTTGTTCTGAAATGACAAGAAAATTGCCAAAAATTTTTATCTCTAAGACAAATTTTGGCATTGACAATTACACAGGAAAGGGTACAATAATTTAGCCATGCAATTTTAATTCATGCCTAATTGCCCACATAAATTCGAGATATGTATACCAAAAGCAGTATTAAATTGAACTAATTTTTTTACTTAGGTAAATGTTTTGAAGGATTTTTGACTGCATTTGATGCAAACATTTCACATCAGACAGTTTTTGTGGATAACGGCAGTGTACATGTTGAAGAAGTTCAATCATTCCTTTATGATAACCAAGTTCTACCGCTGACCACGTCTTACCAACTGACAAAAGATAACATCACATATGTCGTATCTAAAAATACTATTTTGATGATTAACTCGACTAGGTATAAGCCTATAGAGTTAACGTGCAATCCACTCTCAATTACATTTGGACCAGAGTCACTCAATCAGACTATAATCTATGGTCTCTGTCCTGGAGTTATATTTCGCATAGAACTTTCGCCTTCACATCCTCCTACTCCTCAGTACTTTCATTTGAGACAGATGTCAATGAATTTCAATGGTACGATTATGTTTGATAGCCATAATGCTCTACACTTTTTGACCGGTATTGGGAGTTTTTTGTACATCAAAATTATTCGGTCGGGTGAATCGGCAGAATTGGACGTTCCTTCGTGCAGGTTTGTAACGAACATTAAAATTGTTTCAGGAAATTTCATGGCTATATTTTGTGCCGACAGCCATGAAAACTCTTCTATTATTACCTCGGTTCATTTTCGAAACCTTTCGATAGAGAATTATGTCAGCGTACATCTTGATGAACCAATAGAACGTGACATTTTAACTGTCAATTCACTGGACAATATCGTATTATTGACAGACAGCTTTTCTCTTCACATCATTGATAGAGTTAATGGAAACTATAAACTCCTTGATACAAAAGGCAGCACTAAGATTGCTGATACGACAATACTTAGTTCAAAGCGGGCATACTACATTACATCAAGCCTTGCAATGTTTTCTCCTAATGATGTTCTGAATGGAATCGGACCTTCATCTCAAGCAAACATTCAAGCCTGCGGTCCTCCGACCTGTGCTCCTTCCCTCGGTACTATAGATAATAAAGGGATTGTGTATTCAAGAACTGAAACATCGATTGAGTTGAGGGATGATGATGGTGACTGTCATGTGGTAATTCCTCTCAAAATTAAAGCGAAGTTTTATGTACACAATTTAACGTTACACTCCACAGAACAAGCATCTCCTAGCTCCTCAACTGGACAAGTGCCTCATGAAATTGTTATACCAGTTATTGTTTTTGTGGTACTAAGTGGTATTGCCCTTTTTGTAGGCACTGTCATTGCTGTGTCAGTGAAAAAAAGTCAAAGCCGAAAGAGAACTTCATTTTCCATTGCTCAAGAAAGTGTTCAAGATAATGGGCAGCCTGGGAAAGGTATACAGGAAAGTGGGGAATGTATACAAGAACAAGGGCAGTCTGCTCAAGAGTGTTCTGGCACGCAAGAAAGTACGACCCTACCAAACTACCCAGTACAGCAAGGAACCCCCTGTAGCTCCCAAAAATCATGATTCTACTCAAGAAATCAAACAAAGTTTAGAGTTATTGTTTATTAGTAATGTTAATCAACTTTTCTTCATTTTTTGGTACACAAAAAATTGATATTTAACTCCATTCTCTTCGATGACTCCTTTTGGAACTTTTTCATCGGGATCACTATAATGATTAATTATTATTGATTATTATGATTATTACATGTATGTTTGTAAGTAATTTATAGCTGAATTTTATCAGCAAAATCATTCTTACTATCTGTCTTTATAATGACTTAATAAAAGTTAGAGGTACAAAATTTAATGAGGGTGTGAATTTCATTCAGTAAGCAGGCTGATGTAGCTTACAGTAATTGCACACTTACTCTATTAGCTTGAAAGAGTCGTCAAGTCCTGGCCAAAATGTGTCTGACGGAAATTCTCCCATGACATCAGTAAAGTATACTTTATCAGTCAGTGGAGAGGATAAAGCTTCCTAAACAAATAAGACAATTTAAAACAACAACTAAATCATTCACACCAGACACAATAATTTGGATAAGTTTTAAAAGCTTGTGTTCAGCTTGAAACATTAATTCTAACATGTAACTCACTCTATATACTTCAGCTCCTCCTAGTATGATAATATTTTCTATTCTACTTGACAATGAAGGAGAATTGACTTCCTCTACAACTGATTTAAGACTAGGGCATACCAAATCCACTTTTGGAAACTCAGAGCTAATAATATCAATAGAAAAAACGTAGAGTAAAAACCTCACCTTGGGCGACTTGTTAAGACAATATTGAAACAGCCTGGTAAAGGCCTTTTCACAGATTCATATGTTAAACGACCCATCACAGCAGCATTCTGTTTGTCTAAAATTTTAAAAATAATTTATGATGTTTAGTAAATACACATTACTTGGGTCTTTAGTACTTTTTATGAGCTGAAACATAACTTTCCGATCAGTCCTAGATAATCATAATCATTAAGTTTGTGCAGAAAATGCCAGTAAGTTTTAAAACTTTGCTCAATAACATAAAAACAACTGACTAAATTAAATAAAAGTTGATTATTGTGTAGCTAGAAATTTCTGTAGCCTAGTAAAAAATTTCTTTTTTGCAGATATTATATTACAAATGTACTTTGCCTGCCATCGCTTAATATAGAAGTAAAATCTTCCAGTTTTTAGGATTATTGCGTGTTCTCAAAATGAACAAAAATTTTGAATTGCATGGCTATCTTTATCATGGCTCCCATAGTAAGGATGAATTCATAAAAGAGGAAAACTTCAGTCTGCCTGTCACCCAAAATCTGTCATTTTCCTCCAGTTAAGAGGTGCGTGTTAATTACGTTTGTTGCACAAACCCATTGCTTGAGACCCAATATCAAGAGTAGATAATAATTAGAGGAGAGTGTCCAACTGGCTATAAGGTCTGCTTCATCACGGCGTAGAATTGAAGAGTCACATTCAGGATATTTTCAGTATTTTTGAGTAGTTATTCAAAATTAACTAGCAATAACTACTCAAACTCAATGAAAATACGGAAATATCCTGAATGTGACTCTTCAATTTTATGCCGTGATGAAGCAGGGGGTATTGCACAGTAGGACACTCTCCTCTAATTATTATCTACTCTTGCCAATATCCATAAACATCATAATCTAATTCATATAATTAATATACAATGCTTTTTATAAATTTATATTTTGCTGTGATAGGTCTTAACAAACCTTATCCTTGGCCATGGCATGTCATTTTTATATGCAATCCCACCATTTCTTTCAGCAGCAACTATATGAATGAACCTCTTCATATCTTGACTTGTATCTTCCATATTGTTACCAAGGAGAAGGGAGGGATATTGACTGGGAGGTGCTAAACAATTGACCAAACCTATTTTCAATTTTGCTAAGAGGGCAGCAATGGCTGATGAGTCTCCTCGTCCACTACGACCTCCCATTAATCTCAAAGCTAGAATACAGAAGTATCAACATGCAACTGGTACAGATCCTTCCACTGATGTTACTGGCGGAACCGAGGAGGCATCACAGTCAAAGACATTCAATGATTTAAGAAGTATGACTCTAGTTGGTGAAGATGGCTGGGTAATGGCGTCTGACGGGCGATCAAAGCGAGAAATATCTCCTATTCTCCCACCCAAACCTCCCTCACGAAAGAAGAAGATAACAGTTGAGCCAACAGACGCGGATCAGTCTTCCTCAGTCAAACCTTCTGTCTCTCCCTCTGCAACCCCACCATCTTCTATCAAGGGGCAACAGAATAAATCAGATAAATTGAAGTCAACAGATTTATTCATCTTACCTGGTTCTAGTCCTGACACAGCTGCTTCTCATCCTCCTAGACGGTCTCTCTCCTCTAAAAATGTTCCTCCACGTCCACCACCTCCATCGATGAAGCCAACACGTAGAGTTAATCCAGATGATTCCTTACCTGTTACTAATACAACTAGTTACAGCAATACTATTACTGCACCTCCAATCCCAACAGCAAATTCCATTGACACGACAAAGAGACCATCTGATTTTGGTGATGGATCTGTTCCTAGGGACAGGAAAAGCTCAGGGGCTGATACAAAGAGTTCTGAAGAGACTTCTTCCCTTTCAGATTCAGTAGAAGAAGCTACTACACCAAAACCATCTAGTAATATGACTATTCCAATGTCTTTGTGATAATTTTATCCTTTTAGTTACACGTCAACCAGCAACTGGAAGCATAAGGTCATCATTCTTTGGTAGGTTTGGTTCAAGGCCTTCTGTAACCACACCAACTGAAAATGTGAATTTTGAGAATTCAATAGAGCTTGAAGAGTCATTTGATGTAATGTTATGCTTCTCATGTTGTTTTAGTTATGTTTTCTTTTTGTATGTTAGGTTATACCAGATCGTACTGTTAATCTTGAAGATATGGTCGTTAAAATGAAAGAAAAAGATGCAAAGCTACATGATGCAAATGTAAGTTTCTTTTATGTGTAAAACTGTTGAAACTGTTGTTAGAAACTATTGTTATTGTTAGTTGCTAGTTGGTAATAACATGTATTTATAAAGGTGCTACAGCTTATTCACAGTTGTATTGGTTGTTTATGATTTAGATTTATGAAGTAGTACAAGCTGTTGCTCGTGAAGTGCCCCATTGTGCATCCACTAGGGACCTTCCTCCTTTTATTTCTGATTTTTCTACTGCACCGAGGGAAAAAGTTCTTCATGAATTGTATACCACGGAATACAATTACGTAAAGCAACTTGAGATGGTGGTTGAGGTACAGTATTGTACTAAATGATACTAACATTATTTATGATTACTGTTAGGTTTTCAAGCCCCAGTTAAGTCCATTAATAGGAGAAGATGCTAGTAAAGTGTTTGCTAATGTTGATGAGTAAGTGTTACCTGGATCCATTTTGCTATCTCTTTGTTTTATTTAGTATCTTAGCATTCAATCGTGGCCTATTAGCATTATTGCATACTAGATTTAAGGATTGGGATCCTGATAAAGAATGCATTGGAGATATCTTTCTAGGCATGGTAGATATAATTATTTATTATTTGATGTTGGTATTGATTTTTGGTTGACAGTTTACTCAAACTCATAAGAGTATGTATGCTATATACTGCAGCAATTATGATAATGCTGAAGCAGTTGTCCTAAAGTTGCGTAAAAGAAAAGATGTTGAGAGCCAATTATTAGTAAGTTAATCTACGTTAGTATCTCTGTCACTAGTATCCTTTCTTGCTAGGTTTGTCAAAGTGATCCTCGTGTTCAGGCTGGACTTACACTACCCATGTTTTTAATCACTCCCGTTCAAAGGATTCCCCGTTATATATTACTCATGAAAGTATTATGACTATCATACAGTGCGTATTGATATCTTTATTTAAATAGGATTTGATAAAAAGGACTGATAAGGATCATCCTGACTATCATCAGTTGACACAAGCCCTTGACAAAATGGTTTGTGAGAATTGCTGCATTGACACTCTGTTTATTTATATTGTAGGGAAAATTGGCTGATTATATTGACCTTCAGATTCAAGAAACACAGTCTAAAAAAAGATTATTGCAACTCAAAAACAAAGTTCAGGGTCTCTCTGTAAGAATGCATGTGTTTTATTACTACCGTATACATTTGTACATGTAAATTCAGCAATTTAATTTGGCAATTGGCAATTTGAGAGATTGAAATTGCCTACAGGCGAATTACCACTTATTGATGTACATGTACATGCTTGGTGATGCACATACACGTATGTGTATGCACAAAAATTAAGTAGCAAAATTTCCAAAATTAAGCACCACCAAATTAAAATGCTATTATTAAATATATGTATTAAATGTATTATTAATGTGTTGTAGGATTTAGAACAACCTAATCGCTCACTAGTCAAAGAAGGACAAGTATATCTTCAGAATATCAAAAAACTTTATCAGGTTTAAACTATTATATGTCTTATGCATAAAATTATTTAAAATGATATAGTGCATTCTATTTAATGATGTGCTTGTGTTTGCACTGGGGGACCGTAGACAGAGCACCGTTGAACTTGAACTTAGTCTGGAAGCATTGTGGGTTGAAGATCTCGAAGACAGGGACCCACAAACAAGTATTTTTATAGTCAAGACACATATTCTGTCACTTACTAAAATTGCTGTATGTGTAGGTAGTGAAGATGCTATTGAAATTTATACTCCTCAACGACCATACAGAATATATGTGAGAAGCAACTCTGAGAAAAAACTGTGGCTACCTAAAATTAGGGAAACAATTCATCAGCATTTGTTAGCTGCCAGTCAGTTGCATGATACTGATTCAAGTAAGTTTAAGTTTTGTAGCATAATTTTTACAAAAGATAACATACTGGTATTTGTATAATAGCTTCTCGCAGAGCCAACTTTGTTTATCAAGACCAAAGGTCATACAATGGTGACTTCAATGATGCTTTGGTATGAGATAATTTGTAGCAATAAATTTTTTACCTGTTTACTAATTAGCGTCATGGAAAAGGAACAATGCTGTGGCCTAATCACTCGCAGTACATTGTGAGTTTGTTTCTTTGTCTGTTCTTGCAAGTTTTGCCTTTATGTTTTAGGGTGACTGGATTGAGGATGAAAGGTGTGGCAAAGGTGAATTTCGATACAATACCGGGGATAAGTATGAGGGACAATGGAAAGAAGACAAACAAAGTCAGTGAAATAATAATGACAAAGTAGTTGTTAAAATACAGTATACATGTAGATGGTGAAGGGTCTCTTGAATATTCTACTGGTGATGTATACACAGGCTCATGGAAAGATGGATTAAGACAAGGAAAAGTATGCAATGATTATTACCTCCTTTCCAATAACTATAAAATAGGGAAAGATACTTTATAGTAATGGAGATTCCTTTCATGGTACATTTACTTCTGGTCATATTGATGGTAGAGGCTCTTTGAAATGCAAGAATGGTGTTGAATATACTGGGGAATGGAAGACCTCTCATGTAAGTTGTCATTTCTACTTCATGTGTTGATGAAGTGTATTACTTTAGCGTCATGGCAAGGGCACCCTAACAACATTAACAGGTAATACATACACTGGAGAGTTTCGTCACAATCAGATACACGGCAATGGTAGAATGCAATATAATAATGGAGACAACTATGAAGGTGGATGGAAGAATGGAATGGTTAGCATTGTTTAGTATTAAAAATTTACCTGCTTAATTTCATGTATAGCGTCAAGGTAATGGTACTTTCACTAGCAAAATACTAGGCAGGTATGAAGGTTCTTGGGATAGAGATTTACGTCATGGAAAGGGAATTCTGAAGTATAAAAATGGAGACTTGTATGATGGTTTCTGGGAGCATAATAGAGTAATGTGCAATGTTTAATGTATGGTAATAATGGTACATGTACATGTATATAATAGCGTCATGGGAAAGGAACACTAATATTAGTCACTGGTGAGAGTTATACTGGTGAGTTTCGGAATAACTTGAAAAATGGACAAGGAGAGATGAATTATACTTCAAAAATGAAATACAAAGGACAATGGCTCAATGATTTGGTAAGTTCACTCTTTTCTTAATTCACAAGCATTGGCGTTAAATTAACTATGATTTGTTTCTGAAAACATAAAAATTGCACAATTTTTAAGTTGTAATTTTTGTGAACCTCTATATTCATTATGCATACTGTATGTATGTGTATAATACATTCTGTCTATTGTATAGCGCCATGGTACTGGTCAAATGATTTATGAAGATGAATCTGTGTATGAAGGGCAATGGGAAGGGGATTTACGGCATGGTGAAGGCAAAATGACTCTAAAAGACGAAATAACTTACTCTGGACAATGGGAACTAGATCAACCTTGTGGAAAGGGTGAACTGAATATTCCTGCAGCTAATTATAAATATTCCGGTACATATCATAATAAATACATGCACAGTACTTTTGGTGTAATCATTATAGGGGATTGGTTAAATGGAAAAAAAGAAGGTAGAGGTGTTGAGAGTGCAGAATATGGTACATATTCAGGTGGATGGAAAAGTGATATGAAACATGGTCATGGAGAAGAGAGAACTATTCTTGGGACAGTTTTCAATGGCCAATGGGAACGCGGAAGGAAACACGGCCAGGGAGATAGAAAGATTGCTTACGGTCTAGTTGAAACACAGGTTTGTGCTCATTTGAATTTTATAAGCTATTATACTTTTGTTTAGCATTGGAAGAGTGGTCAGTTACAAAATGATCCTCTGAGAATGACAGCTGTTGAACTACCGCACTTGTCCCGAGATGATCTTTGAGTGTTCTGTATTATATTGCATTTACTTGTACATGATGTGTGGGTAAAGATTAATATTGACTCTGTGTGCAATTGTGTGTGTGTGAATTATTATTATTTTGATAATAAACTATTGAATCTATTAATATAAATCTCACTCACTCACTGTCAAAGTGACTACCTAGCATAGACTAACAGTAAATTATTGTATGTGGCAAATCAGAGCAATGTCGGGCATGACAAAAGATATTCCTATTACTCTTGATAGCACTGCTGTTGGTAATCACATGAAGATAGTAGTCTTTGGATCAAAGCTCAGTGTAGTCACAAGTCAAGATATCAACATTGCCTGGCAAGTGATTCCTTCTGGTAGTGTGGCATCATTTCAATATCCTTATGAAACAAATATTGGAGTTTATTACTACTCAGGCTCAAATAAGATTCTAGTGCTATCACAAGTAGCAGCAGCTCCTGGCACTACATGGGATTATCTAGCAAAATCAAGTGATGAGGAAGGAACAATAAAGCTTGACCGTAAGACTATAATAGTGTGAATTGTTAAAATAATATGACATTGTTTAGAGTCTGTTGGAACACGATCAGATGGTATGTACGCCATTCTTAATCAGAAGCCAGATGCATGGTCAGGGAGACTGGTTAATGTGGGCTTGTACAAAGATAGTAAGCTTTTTATGGTAGAGCCGTCAGTTGGTGTTGATACTTATGCTGAAATGACTGTTTCTAACAAACTTTATTTTGCAGTTGTTGTCCACAGTGATTCCATTACAAATGGGAAAATGTTTGTTCCTTCATTTGTAAATGTATTTGCTAAGCAGAATAGTGCTAATACCATACTTCCTGAAGTGCTAGAGGCTCAAGTATCTCAGTTAAAAGAAGTAGATCTCAATCAGTATCCAAATGGTGTCACTGTCACTATAACTCAAGACAGAAGTACACTGAGATTCATTTTTGACATGAAAGCCACTAAATGAACTATTGAGTTTATACTAACAATAACTGAGTTATCTATTAATAACAGTATGTATTGCATCTAGTTTTAAGTAGTTATATAAAGCCTTTCTTGTCTGTTGAGTTTATTCTTTCAGATCTAATTTCAGTTCAATTCTAGATCTAATTTCAATATAATTTAGCCACTGGCTACTGGTACTTACTAGATATACTTACATATGTGATTACCAGTAAATACACTAATAATGCTGGTTAAATAATTTACAAAGAAAAGGAGAGAAATTAAATTTTCAATAATATAATTATAAATGAAATTTCTACTAGGTTCTCAAACTGCAGCCACCATGCTTCCTGATGCTAACATTGTCAAACTAAATCAAATACACTCTAACATGAATAACATAATTATGTACAGCTGCGTAAATTTTTAATTGTTTATGTAATGCATAGAGGCATATGCAAGGATGGAGTCAAGGATTGATGCCCTCTTAATGGAGAAAAAATGAAGTGAGAAAACTCCAAGTACAATGTATGCCAATTATACTTTGCATGACGATTGGTGTGCCTTCATTTCAGACCATTTGTGTACATGGACTGAAGCTACACACGTTATTTCAACAATGCATCAATACATGGACAAATAATAGTTACTATAAAATAGTGATATAATGTAAAGACAGTCAGAAGATGTGGCAGTAGTTCTTAAAACAGCCATTAATTTTCTAGGAGTAACTTTCAACATCGAAATTGCAACAAAAAAGTAAAAATACAAAATATAAAAAATACTAATTATACCAAAATAAGTTCAAAATTAACTACACGAAGATGTCTTTTGTTTTTTAGAATTAGCTAGATACTTACCATCTGCTTCATCTCTGGACCTTTTGTTGGAATCAAGGGCTTCTCCATTGATATCCTTATTCTCATCGTTAGACAGAAGTTTTGGCTTTTTGCTTGAACCAGCTTGTTCATTAATCTTGTGCAGCTCTATATTTGAAAAAAAATTATTGTGTGCATATGTACATCAGTTACTTTAACAAGCTTGTCCAAATTACTAATAAATTAATAATACTAACCTTCCTTGTACTTTGCTGACAATCTGATAGCAAGACTGCTAGTGAGTTTTGTATTTTGATCTTTTAGAAACTGAATGAAACATTCAAAAATACTGCCATCTACATTCACTGTGTCTATTAAACGACCTATTAATTGTTGTAAAGATTCATCAGCAGAATAACGCCTTGAATCAGTGATAGACTCCCTATCTTTTGTAGTTATGATCCTGCTGTCTACCATCATATCAGCAAGGTCATCTAAGTTAATTCGAGATCGTTTTATATCTGAATTACTACGTGTCAAAACAGAACAAGCAACTTCAGCATCATAAATTTCTAAAAATAGGAATAAAATATACGAGAGTCTACGGTGTGCTTGCATATACCTTCCTCTGTGTCAACAGGTTGTGTGTCATTTTCCATAAGCTTTGAGGTATCAGTAGTGTCAGGATTTATCTGTATTCATCATAAAAAGATATTATGAAAATATGAATCTTACTTTATTGTACCATAATAAATGACAGCAATCCAGTTTCATTGTTTTAGCTGTATATTCACAATAAGCTACCTTAACACTTTTACTAATGATTGCAGGATGAGGAGCAGAAAAAGAACAAGAGTCACACAGAATACCAAATTTAATCTCATAAGCATAACGAAGTGATTCTATTATCTTCTGTAGGCCAGTGTTTACAGTTTCAAATATGTCCCCAACTATATCTGTATCATTGCATTCATCACGCAATTTGTACTGAGGTTGTACTTGAACTTCAAGATAAGTTGGATGACACAGTAAAATCACAATATCATGATATTCTCCAATAATAAATGTCATCTTGTTGCGGTAGTGAGCTCCTTTCTTGGCCAGAGTCCACACTGATGAAGAAAGAAGGTAAACAATCAAACAACAGAAGACACCAACAGGAACATATCCACACTCAAAAGTAATAAGCAAAGAAGAAATTTTATCATAATTTTGGTTATCAATTGCTGACCTTATGTCTACTGGCTTAAGAGCACATGGCATAAAATATTCTTGATTTTCCATTGGTGCTACAACATAAAGATGTTCCAACAAAGCCACAAGCCTGTCAAAGGTAAGTGGATCACCTTTATCCCGTGCACATAACTCGTTCAAGGCAGATTTTGTGAATGTACCATTGTTTTGAAAATTGTGTACAACTGAAGCATTCCTCACTTCTTCATTGTTAGTAAAACAGTTAATGATTAGTTTTGTAATTCTGTCAAACACAAACTGTAGATCAGTAAAAATCACATTCTCTAGCCCCTTGACTGTAGGGTAATACATTATTATACCTACTCTATAGTGCAAAAACCAAAGTGCCGTTTTAAATTCATCTTCATTAACAATACCACAACTCTCAGCCAGTTTAAAGCATGCGTCATACAAAAAATGCTTCCTCTTGCTTTCTTGAAGCTTTATGCTAAACATATACCATGATATCTGAAGTGGGCACTGAAAAAACTGCCTTTTCATAACATCAGATATTGCAGTACGTAACTTGCTTATGTCACCTTCTCTAGTGTCTATTGGAAAGATACAAAAATCAGCTTTGGCACCACAAAATTGAACAATATTACTGTTTAGCAGATGTGAACTAGATTTAATTTTCTTCTTCAGTTCATCATTTACTTTAGCTACTTGATCAACATTTGCTAAATCTTTGTGTGTAGCAACAAGAAAAGCTGATGAGGTAGACTTGTCTTCAATTGATGATTCTCCAAGCCCCCATTCAGCGGTACTACTTCTTAAAGAAGCAATGCTACCTAGTGAACGAAATATTACTTCTTCATGAGTCAAGGAAGTCTCATAAGGGCTTGATTTTGTCCCATTGGGCGAAACGTATTGTATAGTGTAACGTTGCTGTAAGCTTTGAGTGACTTTAAATACAACAATAACAATAACTGGACCAAATATTAAAGCTGGTAATATCTCATGAAACTCTGGTTGACCACCTGTGTCAAAGATACATAGCTCTGTGTAGTCTTCACTACAAGTTTGGTGAACTTTTCTAAATTTATCTTCACATTGCTTTCTTTCACTGCTAGAGAGAGACATCAAGTTATTTGCTAGCATTGCAACACCTTTATCACTTCTTAGAGTATTTTTAGGTTTAGTATTTAGTTTTATATCTTGACTGTGTGCATCAGCAGGTTTTTTAACAGATAAATCGAAATTAGGGCCTGCAGTAGAAAGAGAATTCTTAATTTCAGATTTTGATGCAACGAGAGACTTTTCTTTTTCTTCATTATACCAGCTGTGTAATTTTTTTTGTTGTATAAGATTTTGAAACTGATAAAAAACTTTATCATCTTTCTCTTGTTTTCTCCATTGAGCAACCTCACTTTCTGCTGATGTATGAGCACTCTGTTGTGACAAACGACGAAAAGAACCCAATGATTCTGAAGCATCTACAATTCCAGTGCTACTGTAGTTTTTTGGAAGTGGTTCATCATAGAAACGCCTCTTTAAAGTTGTCTTGCCAGCACCAGGAGGACCAGTAAGAATACACTTGACAATGCGTAAGGGTATAATTGCATTACTAGTGTGTAATTTTTGAATATCAAGAAAAAATTTAATCTTTTCGTTGTTTGCAGCAAGGACTTCACACTCGTCTGGAGAATATTTTGACAATAAAAAAGATGCAATGTCAAAGTTTCTTTTTTTCAATGATATCTCTAAAGGGGTACCCCCATCACCTTTAGCTTTAAAGGTACATTTTTTGCCTTTAATGCTCATAAGATGACAAACAATATCCAAATTGCCAAAATGTGATGCTTTGTGTATAGGCCCTTCGTTAAAATTATCTAAAACATTAATATCACATTGAGAATCACTGGTAAGTATTTTAACAAGTTCAAAGCCATCCCCTAGTCCCTCCACCATGCATGCATAATGTAGTGGCGTGTGACCTTTTTTACCTTTTTCATTGAGACAGCAGTTTCTGCTCATAAGATGTTTAACGACATCAATGCTGACAGACTGAACAGCTACATGAATGGGTCTATCACCGTTTCGATTTACTGCTTCAATGTCACATTTATTAGTTAAAAATTTAACTATGTGAAGGTGACAATTTTTACAAGCAATGTGCAAAGGAGAATCCAAAGTTGAAGTTGGAATATTAACATCAATCTCTTTATCATTTATAAAATGCTGCACAATGTCTAAGCATCCTGATTCACAAGCCAAATGAAGCGGCGTGAGGCCTTTGACATTTTTACACAATAAATTGCAATCAGAGTATTCTGTTATAGTTTTTATGATCTCTAAACACTTCGACTCAACAGCTATCTGCAGTGGTGTCAACGAATTTTCATTAAGAGAGTTAATGTTGAAAATGTGACTTCTAAGAAGATATAGAGCTATGGAAAAGTACTTCAAATGTATAGAATGATGAATAGGATAGCTTGAATCATTTACAATAGCATCAAATTTCTCTTTGTCTATATTGTCTGGCATATCCTTTTCAAATATGATGCTGAGGTATCACTGTTGTAATAAATAAAGAGATTTACTAGATTTCATCTTAGGTGTGCCAGTGGTTAATACTGATCTGATACAATGATGCAAAACACCTACATCTACTTCCTGAGCTAGATAATGAACTACATCATCAGCAGCATAAATTACAGCATAATAAAGTGGAGATTTGTCCTCTTCAAAGAAACGCTTAATGCCACACAATTTATTAGCTTTGTTGCTCTGAACAAAGTTAGATACAGAATCCACGTCATTCAGTGCAGCAGCAATGTGAAGTGAAGATAAAGTTATGTCGTCAAAGGTAATAGGCGTAATTTCTGTTTGCAAAGGTTTGAAGACTCGTTGAAGCGCTGCTATTAAGGTTAATACTATATTGCTACTAGATCTAGATAGAGATACATCAATGCATTCGTAAATATCATCAGGAGTATAGAACGAACATGCTAACATAATCACATCACTACATTTATTCATACAAGCATAGTATAGCAACGATTAACCATCTTTCCAACCCATGAAAGGGGCAGCTTTTGCTTTGCTTCTGAAAGGTATTTCGATATTCGCCTCGTTGTAGAGCAAAATAGGGTGTACACGATTGATTTATCGTTAAGTTTGTCTTCATTCATCGTAACGCCGCCCTTAAGTAAAGAAATCCATGAAAGAACCAATAAAGAGCTGGGGGTAGCCATTATTTAGAGAGACGACGAGAGCTCAAAGCGCGTTAATTAGCAGTCACACCTCTTTTCATTATGATGCGTGGTTGTTGTGATCTGCTCATGTGCAGTACATATAGATACTTCAAACTTCAGATAGCTAGGCTAAGTGTTTTGTGATGTCCTCACAGACTCACTCCTCAGGCTGGATCTTGGTTAAAGAATGGGAATAATCAATTCCTATGATTAGGCTTTAGCATATCCATGTACAGCTTTTGAATTAAAATTGGTCCTTCTAATTCAACTTGTTACAGTAGTTACATGCACAAGTTACCTAGGATTAGCCCTAAGTTATAAAGAAGTCTCTGTATTAAACAAAATAGAGGCTAATCTAGACATTTTTACCATACCAAATAAGATGTGAGCTGCTTCAACGTTACTAAATGCTGTACATGCTTGGAGTCCTTTCATTATTGTCCAAATGTAAAGAGTGTGAGTCTCATCATTGTTTGAAGAGAAATTAGCAATAGCAATGTAAACTGTCCTTTGCACTACAGTCACTAGTTGTTATTATGCATTGAGTCTGCCTGTGCATAAAATGCGTAAATGCTTCTGATTTATGAAATCCACACAACGGATCACCGGGAAATGTAACTTAAATCAAACAAGAAAGTGACTTCTATTGTCAAATTAAGAATTACATGAATTAAACTAAATGTTAAACTAAGGTAATATTTCAGTTATTTGATCAGTACCAGGATATGAAGGTAACTTTACATTGAACCTTTGAGCAAGCTCTGGAGGAACAACACGTAATCCAAGAAAGTGACGGCCAGTAAAATATCTAGCACATATTTTAGGACAAGTTAATGAAATCAACACGTCAGGGTTTAGACCACTTCCAGTCACATCACCTTTTTCTACATCCCATCCTATAAATTAATGAAAATTAATATTTAATGCTAACTTAGCTATAACTACATTTGTATAATAGTTAAATTATATAAAAAATTAAGTATACAGGTAACCTTGTAATGCACATGTATGCAGATAGTTAAGTCCACGCCAATTAGAAATTCAAGAAAATTGTCATTTACAATTGTTCTCAGTCTCAGCTAAGGGAGAATTCTTGCATGATATCAAGTTAATTCTGATATTTAAGTTATAAGTAGAAACTTGGCAATAAAACATTGTTAAGTGACAATAAAAGGGTGCAAAAAAATGTGTTTTTTGGCAAATTGGCAATAAAAGGTTCCACATTTATGTATTTTATCTTTTAAATAGCAAATTTATCAGAAAGCTAGCTACATGTATGTTATTCATACCTGAAGGAACATCCACAGAGCAAATAGGTACCTGACACTTTTGCAGTACTGATAAAACATGATCAAATGGAGAACGTACAGAGCCTTTAAAACTGAAGCCAAAGATAGCATCTAACAGAATACTGTATTGGGCATTTATATCTTCAGGTGAAGGCAGCTCTGTCAAGAATGGAATGGATAGTTTTGTACATTGGGTCACGAGAATGTTATATATTGGCTTATTGGTCCTTTTGGGATAAAATATATTCACATTGTAACCCTATAAAAAGAAACATAAAGTGAAAAAATAACCAGCTTATTTTCCTAAATGAATTTAAAAGGTTTAGATGAAATTATACAATATAACGTAATGTATTTTCTTAGTGTCAACCAGACCAGGGGTCAATTACAATTGCAATTAGAGGCTCAATTACAATTACATAATTGTAGCTGAAATTGAGGCTCAAGTCTTTTCATCAAAACTGAGTTGTCATGGCTAGTGTACTGACTATAGAACCAATACATGACGCAGGAAAAAGCTCTCAATCTACCTCAAAAGTCACTTCACATTACATGACCATATGTACAAGTACATGCACTGTACACTAGTAGCTGGAAGTGTGACAATCAGGGTTTCCCAGTATAGTGCTCAGCTTCTTGCCAGCTCATGAGGTACCGTATAGGGGTTTTATTTTGTTGGTATAAGATTTCTCGAATTTGTTCAGATTTGCCATTTGTTGGTATAAATTTTCACGAATCTTACTTTCTGCAGCCATTTTTCCTAGTGTGCCACACCTCTTTTGTGTAATTTAATTTTGCAAATTTAATGAAAACGCGAAATTCGCAAAACTTATTACCAGTGAAATGTATCCCCTATACAGTATGCTGTTTGTGTTTAACTTGCTTTGTAGAAAACTCTGGGTATTTTGTCAAAAATGGCTATGAGAGGATTCTATATTAATTTTTCTGATACATGTTTCGATACTATACATTTAGTTTGAACTAATTCCAATCAAAACTGAACTTTCTTAGAATTTTAAAAGTGGTCAAAAAATCTGGTTCAAGATTGTCTTAGTCTCAGCAAATTTTTTCAAAAATGGCTAAAAAGACTCTTCTTTTAATAATTTTTTTTGATACATCTGATGTTCTATATCTAGTTTGAGCTGATTCAAGTCAAAATTATATTTTCTAAGTTACTCAAAAGGCATAAAAAGCTTAGCGACAATAAATTTAGTTATTACTTCTCTGACAGCTGAACAGACAGTTTTTTTAACCATGTTTCTGTTTTATGCAAAAACATATTGAAATAGCATTTTACATTAAATTTACTTCAAGATGAAATAATTGTTAAATTGAGTCTATTTTACAAAAGAAGTGTAATTAAACGTGTAATTACATGTATAACGAAGGTTTTGTAATTGACCTTGGGCCTTGTGTCAGCCAACTACATAATTATACACACTGTAAGCATTATTGACATACAAAAGAGAGAAGATGTCTTGCTGCAGCTAATCCATCACCTCCATTGTTACCAGGACCACATACAATCAATACTTTTGAAGGTTTCTTTGGATACACCTTAGCCAATGCTTGTGCACAACATAATCCTATTCATTAATACAATAATAATAGTAAAAGAAGTCATTCGCCACACAAAAATGGCTTAAGTCAAGTATTTAAAGTCTATCTCTATTCACTTGAGTTGCTATAACTTTTGACTTACTAATTCTATTGTAAAATACACATATCAATGCATGCTTCATATATACATTGCTTTCATAGTGTAAATGTAGGTCTAAAGTGTATATAGCACTTTACTAAATTTATAAAGTGAAATGTTTGCAGAAACAATTTTTATTGATTTGCCACACCCTTAAATGGTAATTGAATTAATTATTAATTTTACTAATCGGCAATAATTTTGTTCCTTAAAAACAAAGAGGTTCAATTATACGTTTTCATGTTTTCATTTTATTTTATATGACTTTTTTGATCTACTAGATCTGTGTTGAGTAGAAAAATGATGTTCATTGGGATACTGTAAAAAAATTTTCTTGGAAGCCACTGTAAGGGTATAATAAACTACCTTAAGGAGACAATTGTTTGCGGGTATTTAATTTAGCAAATTTTAGCGATTTAAAAAAAATCGCTAACTTAAGTCCGCACTAACTTTAATAACTTCATTGAAAGCGGGTGTGGTCACAATGAATAAAATGGCGGCTGTCAGCAACTCTAAGCTTATTTGCAGCAAATGGTCAGCAAGATAAGACTGAACTGTTGCCCAAAGACTTAGACAAAGCAGATGACATCCTTTTTTGTTCAGTGACTGCTTCTAATTGTAAGCAAGATAACTTTACATTTTTGGAGCAGAATCAGTGATGAAGCTTGAAGCAATTTAAGCAAGATTAATGCAACAAGATCTACTGTATTTAGACTTGTGCAATTGCTTTGCTTGCTCATACATGAAGATCACAGCACATAATCTATAGCTTGCTTAGGCTCACCCCAAATGCTTTACATTCTTTAGTAGTTTTATAATACCAAATGATCAAAAACGCTAAATTAAGTACCAGCCAAATGTCAGTACCATGAAAATCACTAAAATGCTAATGCTAATAATTGTAATTATTACATGCTAATAATTGTCTCCTGAAGGTATATGGGCTGATAGGCTAAAATCTGCCTAATGTTCTTTTCCAACAAAAAGGCTCCAAATTGTTGCAGTGGCACAGAAATGGAGATTAAGGTTGGACTGGATACAGCTCCATTGTTTAGCTGAAAAAATTGCACCTTTTTATCATTGCAGGCTGTACAAGGGTCAGGCCTCACCTGAATAGTACAAACTATTAACTCAGCTTTTCATTGTGGCAGTAGTCCATGCTCGCGTTTGCGTTCAGACATAGATAGTCGAATATAAACTTGACTATCCATGGTTCAAATCATTATACCTGCTATTTCCATTAATTGATCTATTGAATATTCATAGTCATAAAATAGAGCATTGTCAAACTGTTGAGCTGCTTCCTGTCCAAGATATGTTACGTTAGAAGCGCCAGTAGCCATTGATCTGACAAAAGGAGTTATATAAGGCACTGATATTAATTGATGCATCTTACCTGTGACCTTGTTTGAGAGTGCTGAGACTGAAGTACCTACTAGAGCTCAAGAATCTTAACAAACGTGAACCAACCCACACAGACATTCTACAAATTTCACCCGGGGCGCAGTCCCTTCCTAGGCCTAGCAAATAATTTACTCTAATATCTATGAAATTACTCAAGGGGGCTGGGGCGCCGGATGCAGCGGAATGCTTGCTGCTTTTGTAATTTTCTTTATTTTTAATTATAAAAAAATTCTTAGAGAAATAATATTCTATAATTTTTCATACTACACTATAAATAAAGTTTTGACACTACACAATATAATTATCACAGCTTAGAACTAGCTTATTGCTTTTTTATTGAACGACTACGTTAATATTTCATTATACGACTGCTACTATATTCAGCGACATAAATATGTCCATTCTTATCCAGTGCTATACCATATGGAACAGATAATCCTGAGATTAATTTGACTTGTTTTGTGTCAGAACTCAATACATGAAGGTAGCCATCATTACTTGATACAAAGATACGTCCTTCATCATCAATAGCAATACCATTAGGGCTATTAAAGTTTTCCACTTGTGTATAAAGTGAAATTTTACCATTGGAAGAGAAGACTTGAACATGGTGTTTATCATCAGTAGCAACGTGTATCTTTCCTTCATTATCAACTGCTACATCAGTTGCATTGCCATCACATAGTATGACTTGTACAAATGTACCATTTTCTTTAAACACTTGTACTCTTTTGTTGTTGTAATCAGCTACTAATATATTACCTTTACCATCAGTAGACATACCACGAGGGCTGGAGAATTTTCCATTTTCATGACCATAACTACCAAACTGACCATGATACTGACCAGTAGTAGCTGAGAAATACTGCACACGATTCAAATCACGATCGGACACATAGAGCCTATCTCGTACCAGCAATAAACCCCAAGGATATCCAAACTGTCCATTGCCGTTACCTTTAGATCCAATCCTTCTTACTGCAGCACCATCCTCACTAAATACCCGAACAAACCTATCCCTACTACTAGCAAATACTTCACCATTAGTATGAACAGCAACACCAGGAGTATTATTCCCCACATCAAAGGATCTCTGGTTAGTTAGTGTGGTATAGTCCCTTGATGCTTTTACCGACAACTGATAAGGACTACCTTTAATATGCTGACCTCTTACAGTCACTGATAGCTCATATTGACCAATATTTTGAGGTGTGCACGATACAATAGCTGTGTTGTTATCAGTATCTACTGGTAAAACAATCCTACCCTCCTCTTTACTCTTATCACTTTTGATAAGAGAAGCCTTTAAATAGCTTTCTGCTTTACCTATGCCTGCTGGTAGAGCCACATGGAATTTCTTTTCTTTCTTTACAGTTGCCAATGGAATAGCTAACCCACTATCAATGGAATAAAGTGATGGATCAAGCTGCTCAATTTCAAAAACGCTCCCAAATTTTTTGATTTCGTTACTTAAAGTAGGCACATGTAGACATGTTAAAATCGCGTCATTTTCTTCTATTTCTAGAGGCAGTTTCTTATACTCTTTAACAGATTTCTCTAGTTGATTGGTGATGAGTTTCCCAACACTGAGAACTTCACCTGGATCAGTGCGCTCACTCAATGATGATGCAAGTTGACAACCATAAGAAACCTGCTTTACCAGCTTACGAAACCCATCCAACTGCTTCTCAACAGAATTCTTCTTTACGCTAGCAATCTCTTCTGTCTCCATTAGTAGATCATTGCATCTCTCATCTAAAACAGCTTTAAGCTTTTCAAATCTTTCTTTGATTTCCTTGCTTGCATCTTCTTTAGATTTTGCTATCTGCTGTAGCATCTTCTCTCCATTAGCAATAGCTTCAGTGACTGGAGGAACGACCTCATCACAACTAGCAACACTTTGCCTTAATGCTTTACGCGCTGTTTCCCCTAAGTCAATGTAGTCTTCTATCTTGTCCATGTGGCTATTGTGATGGATCGGCAGGCAGTTAGGGCAAACTAATTTCTCACAATTATTACAATAATAAATCAACTTTTGATCTGTATGTCGCATGCAATACCCCTCTTCATGCTTCATAGCAGGCAATTCAATAGATTCCTTTGCTTGTAGATTGATCAACTTGTGATTGGCTTCTTTCTTGTTTCGGCTATGAATTTTCTTGCAATGATCACACAAAAACTGGCCACAATCATGGCAATACACGATGGCTGCATCACTGGAATCATTAGCACTACATTTACCACACCATATTGCTTCATTACTACAGATCTTTTTTTTGATTGAAGCCTCTTTTGATTCATGCTCAAACCAAAGGTTTTGAGTGAGGCCTTCAATTTTACCATCAGGTAAATCAATGCCAGTGTCACATGATGGACACTTTAATGAGGGACCAGCACCACCTTGTTTCTCTTTAGCTTTTAGTATACACTTCTTACAGAATGAGTGAAGACAGGGAAGCATGAGGGGGTCAGTGTAATACTCTGAACAAACCACACAAGTCACAGACACAGAGATAGAATTTTTATTTTCTGCCATTATGCCTATTGCCTATGAGAAATTGAATAATCTTTGGTAAATGGGTAAAAATTATCTCACTTATTATTGCTGCTGTGGACTAGATTTTTGCTTGGCTTGTTTGTCAGCCCCGCCTTGGATTGCGTGAAATAACACCCCCGCAATTGAAATACGATATTGGAAATTATAGTCAAATCTAGTATACTAAAACCACGTGTCAAAATTGTTTTGTGTGTCCAGCGGGCTGTCCAGTGTCTACACTCTTCTTTTTCTTCTCTTTAGTTTTTAGTAATTTTTAAAGTATCCTTTCAGAACTGAGCAGTTTCGGGTCTAAATGGAGCTCACGTTGCAGTGCATTTGGAAAGAACTACAAAAAGTACGAAAGAGAAAAAGAAGGAGGAGTACCACACAGAGTAAGAATATGGATTGCAAAAACCCTGATATATTATTTGTTAGCACTGCACATAGGTACTATTCTACAGCTGCTTTCTCAAGAAATTCTATAGAATGAAAGTAACCTAATAATTATAGTGGTAGCTGAAGGAGTATATGATTTCAGTTGGTGATAAGAGTTTATTCTGAAATTTTTTATTAAAAAAAATTTTTTTTCCGAGAGCTTCGGAATGTCTTCTGATTATAATTTTTATTTTTGGAATTTTTTCTGATTTTTTCAAGAGCGTGGGAATATTTTTCTCTGAAATTGATAATCCAATAGCACAAGCACTCTACCTTGAGTGAGTAGATGCATCTACATGTATATTTACTTTAGGATGTGTGTGAAACTGACCCACACTATGTTAGAAGATTCGAGAGTGGATGTTGTGTTGTCAATGAAGAAGTGGGATAAATTTATCAGAAGGCAATTAACTTGACAACAATAAGATACAGCATTAGCAATGCTGGAATACTTGAACCCCCTCTCTCTCTCTTTGTGTGTTTATACAAAATAATAGTCTAATTCTGATAATTATAGAAATAATTTTGAAGTTTTTATCTGGACAGCAAATGCAATCAGATAGTGAGCTGTGAGCTGAACACTTTATTTATTTATCTATTTTGAGATGCCAGCAGTGGCACTGGACCTATAATATGTACTGGACAAAAGGACAGTTGTCTGAGCAACAAAAGGTATAATAATTAATTGATAGATTAATTAATTAATAGGTGGTAGCAATAGCGTAATGCGTGCTTTGCTCATTTTATAATTCTGGCCCCACTACTTTCTCTCCCCCTCTTATTCTCTCTCCCTCGATCCCCCCTCTCTTCTCCACCTCTCTCTTTTCTTTAGCCTAAGAAAACTATAGTTAGTGCGTCTGTTTAAGTTTTACTTTCCTAACCCAAACTGCACAGGAGAAATGGTTGCAAAGATGCAATTAGGTAACTAGAACAAGAGTTGTGCTATGTCATGAAAAGTGGCTGGGTGCATCATTGAACCTTATGGCTATAAAGAAAACTACCCATACAAAGCATCTTGTGCAGGTGAGTGTGGTTGTGATTGCAGGTTAATTGATTTAAACATGATGCACATTGAATAGGTTGATGTAAGAGGAGTACCAGCAATACAGTTAATTTTGTATCAAAACGTCAGCCATTAGCTGTTGTCTTTGATATGCAGAAACATCTTATATTAAAATGGAAGAGAGAGTATAGACCCAGTTTATTATCTAGTACTGATTTGCTTAGTGATTTATGTATAGTTGGATGTTGGAAAATAATTTTTTCTTTATTAAAAAATTTTTGAATCAAAATGAACAAATTAATAGTCAGTTTATTATGAGAGAGAGACACACACACAATGTGTGTATCACAGATCAAAAAAAGTAAGATTGAGAATAACAAACATTAACTTGTATGTTTATTTATTCTAACATTATACTTATGTGTAATAGTTTATATTGCAGGTTTATTAAACAACTACTTGTTGTTAGCATCAGCAGTTAGCTACATATGTATATGTATATCCATTCTTATCCAGTGCTATGCTCCATGGACACATAACACATAAAGATGTTCAGCAGGGATTTTGCAGGCAGGGTTAAAATTAGATAAAATGCTGTTACCTAATGTATTAGGTATGAAGTAATTGCATTTTCAATTAGTGACCTTGCCTGTTACATCCGTAATTTATAGTCTTCATGTATTTTATATGCTTCATAGCAAAAACAAGCTTAACTAATTTTATTGGTAAAGATGATGCTGCCTGATTGTCTTTTACTCCTTGCAATTATTGGTAAGAATCTAAAAATGATAGTTATTAGTTGTTATTGTTTCTTCAGGTAATATCCTTAATGTTAAAGGACAGGAACCAGTGTGTGCAAATTTCATGGATCAATCACTAGTGACACAGAGAGCACAAGAGATAGGTAATAATTTAGTTGGAGGATATCTTTCTAATGAACTCAGAATGCTTCAAGAATATGAATTTGATTGTATCACAAATATAACCAGTCTCTTTTTGGGTATTGATGTGAGGATTGCTACTGACACTCGTACGCTTTTTCCTAGCATTCAGATTTTCAGACGGAATAGTGTAAATTTTAATCAGCTTGATCTCATAGATGGCAGTGAAAGAGTAATTTATTATTCCACCTCTAACGTCAGTACTACTGGATTATTTGAATATGCACTCAACCCTCCCATGAGTATAACACATAGAGATCTTCTAGCTGTATCACAGCCACTAGAAGAAAGAAGTGTTGTCAGATTGTACTATGTCAATGGGGTCAGTTCTAATAGTGAAAGTCTATCATTTGGGTCTAAAAGTGTTACTCTAAATCCAACCACTACAAACCAATCAATACTAATATATCCAGTGTTAACAGGTAAGACACACTTTGAAAATTGATCCTACAGAATGCTTTTAATTTTTTTAGATAGAAACTGTCTGATTAGCAATTTGATCAATACTTCATTTGTAATAGAAAATTCCCTTGGAATACACGAGTCTCAAATTTTTACAGGAGGAAGGCAGTACTTATATCCAGAAATGATTTTTTCATGTAATAGATCTGTAGTGAAATGGATCTATGCAGGCACAATTGTAGAAAGTAGTGATGGACAACAACCTGAACTCCAAATATGGCGTAAAATAAATTCTGAATATGTTAAAGTAGGATCTAGTTTAGTTAATGCTAACACAGTGATTGGAACTAACCTTTATGAGTTTGTTCCTCGGACTCCACTGCAGTTTCAAGAAAGTGACATATTTGGTGTTCATATTCCACCTTCTCATCAGAGTCAGATACGTTTACATGAACAAGTAGGAACTGGTCCCAAAAATATAATAATTTCTACTAGTAATGCATTGTCACAAATAAATGCAAGTGATTTAATGAAACCAATCTATAATAATATTCCATTAATCACAGCAGAAATTGGTAAGCTATTTTTTTAATGGTAATAATAATAATTTCATAGGTCTAGACCAACCAACTGCCACTCCTATGACAGTGAGAATTTCTTGTAAGCACATCATAAAAACTTAGTATGCAAAAATTTGTACATTTTTAGCAGGTTTTTATGCTTCCAGTGTTTCTGACAGTGTATCTGCTTTCAATACTATGTCTATTTCGAAAAATGTACCTGCAACCAGCACAATATCTTCTGTGTTGATTTCTAGTGCTACTATGCCTGTATCATCGGTGAATCCATCTAACACTGTATATGCAACAACATTATGTTCTAGTACTTCTGTTTGTGTATTAGTAGCAGTTTCAGTGGTACTGTTTTTAATTCTTGTAGTAACTGTCATGATAATATTTAATATCTTTTTTATCCTTATTTGGAAAAGGAGGAAGATTGCAAGTGGGAAATCTACATCAAAATCATTAGGTTGTAATGATTTAACAAATGCAAGTTAGTATTGTATTACTTTTTAAATATACCATTATAATGATTATTTTACTATAGCTCTTCAGGAAGAGACATCAATTGAAAATTCGCTAGATGATTTATCATTGTATAACAATCCACTTTACATGAGTAATGTCAACAATAATCAGCAACTGTCTGTCATTCATAGGGAGAATCAAGATATAGCAACAGAAAGAAATCTTTCGTATATTTCGAACACATGCAGTACTAATAATGATGAATTGTATTACTCAACTGTTGTCAACAAAGAATAAACAAGATCATGATGCAGAGCTGGAACATTCTAATTGCACTGTTACAAAAGTAACTGCATTGTGACTAATCAGTGCTATTGATTTAAATTTCAAATACTTTAGTTCAGTAGCTTAATAGTAATAATTATGCCTCACCAGGGGCGTAGCTGGGAAGGAAATAATGAAAGGGCACAGAGAAAAATGGCGCGCGAAGCGCGCCGAAAATTTGGCCACACCCCCTTTTTAGCGTTCGTATAGTGCACTAAAATAGCATTTTACGTATTTTAAAAGCATCAAAATCTTACATTTTCAACAATGATTAATGTAAAATGAGTGTTTTGTTTCGTCTACTTCTCATTTCTTGTACATTTACTGCTGTGCAATGTATTATAAATGATTACAAGGTGGTTAATTTATATTACTAGGTGGTAGGTAATAAAACAAACAATGAATATCATTATCTACAACAATTGATGGGGGGCCCAGGCCCCTGTAGGCCCCCCCTCAGATACGCCCCTGTGCCTCACAGTTAATGATAAATCTACAACACCATGAAAAATTCAGTATTGTTTCATAAAATTTGCATGTTTTGTAATATGAAATAAGTTTTATAAAGCATGTTTTATACACCGTTGATAGCATGAAACAAGTTTTATACACCGTTGATAACATGAAACAAGTTTTATGGTGTATGGAGACAAAAATCTGCTTCTAATGCAGCACTACTGCTTGTGGGCGTGGCTGAAGTGTAAAATATGACAGAGGTTGAGGTCGAGCTTGAAGTCGTGAAACTTTCTCAAGAACTGAATGACCAACGTGTACCAGTGGAAGATGAAGAGAAGAAAGAGGAACACCCACGTCGTAGTATAATATGCTCACTCTCCCCGAAAGTAAAAGCCTACAAGAATGTCATTGGTGCTGGGTTGGCATTCAACCTCATCCTAAGCAGTGTGGTAGCCCTAGTCAGCCTGCAGAGTAGTCTTAACGATGAGCAAGGTTTAGGACTGGCTACGCTTGTGATAGGAAGCACGACTTTTCTAATATCAGGTATATTTACTTCATCGTTTATTAGAGCACTTGGAACTAAATATGCTTCTGTGGTTACATACACAATGTCTTTCATTTACATTCTTTCTAATTTTTACCCTACTTGGTATACACTGGTGCCTGGTGCTTTTTGCTATGGTATCTCTCTGGGACCAGTCTTTGCATCTGTTAACATTCATGCAACTGTTACAGCAATGAAGTACGCCCCTGCACTTAATGAAGATCCTGATCACCTCATTGCATTCTTCAATGGAATTGTAACAATGTTTTTCAAGTTAGGGTACTTGCCTGGTAATCTAGCGACGACCATCGTTCTGTTTAGTGAGAGGTCGCGTTTAGATGAAGAAATTGTTGATTCTTCTCTTCGTTCTGTCTGCAATAACACTGAAGTACAAAATTTGGATGAGACATACGTCTATATCTTGTTATCTTCATTCTTGATCATTGCAATTATTTCTATTTCAATACTGTGTATATTTGTGGATAATCCTGGAGTCAATTTGAAGTTTCAGTCTTGCTGTAAAGCAGCTACTGTTTATGTTAAGGATCCTGTTATTGCTACTTTTAAAATGTTCATTAATTGGAAGATACTCATGTTGCTTCCTGCTGCTGTACTGTCTTCCTTCCTTTCTTCTTCTACATTAGGAATTTTATCTAAGGTCTATATAAATACATTAGTGTAAACTATTACATATGTATCTCCTTTGATAGGTGTATGTATCAGATTGCATTGGTGTTCATTGGGTTGGTCTATTTTCACTCACTTATGGTACATGCAGTGGATTATCAGCTATAATAAGTGGTAGATTAGTCAAATATATTCCCCAGTTTATTATGGTGTATGTGGCATCTACTGTCATGCTTGGAGTGTTGTTGTTTCTGTTGTTTTGGGAGAGGGAACCAAGCTATCTTGTAGCATTTTTACCAATAGGAATATTAGGATCCTGCGAAGGAATTTGGTTTAACATACCACCAAGTATGTAATTATTTTAAATTTACTTATGCTCACTTTCTTTCCCCTCTCTCCTACCTTTTTGTTCCTCTGTTACTCATCTTCCAACTCCACCTATCTTTTGTAGTTCTTGTTGGTTTGCTGTTCCCACAGCAAAAAGAGCCAGCATATGCTACCATAAGAATGGGGTTTGCTCTTGGTTATATCTTAGGATTTTCGGTTCCATTATTTGCAACTTTCAGCACCAATTTGTGGATTGAAGTCGGGCTATTGCTCATATCAATAAGTACCTACAGTCTGTTGTATTTTAAAACACAGACAAAAGAACAGATATTTCCTTGCTGTTATAGGAAAATCATTCAGAAATCTAATGAATAACGAATTTTAATAGTAGTCTATTATTATGTCTTTAGTCTTGTTGAATCAGCAATGTTGAAATAAATACTTGATGAAAGGCGTGGCTCAAATACAATGGCAGTTCGCGTTTTAAGATTGAGAACAAGACCTGTTTTGTTAATGTGTAGGGAGGCTAGTAGTACTAGACTACCTGTTCAAGAAGCTCTTACAGATAAATTCGGGAGAAGTCACACCTATCTGAGGATATCGTTAACCGAAAGGTGCAACTTGAGATGTACGTGTGTAAAGCATCAATATTACTTCTTTCATATCATATTACACCGTATTATGTATAATAGGTCAGTACTGTATGCCAGAGGAAGGAGTGGAGTTAAGCCCGTCATCTGAGCTATTGACAGCAAGTGAGATTGTTCGTTTAGCAAGTTTGTTTGTATCTCAAGGTGTGAATAAAATCAGACTGACTGGAGGAGAGCCACTCCTACGTACTGATTTGCTAGATATCATAAGTAAGTTGTGTGATCAGGATTCATACAGTGTATTTTAGAGATGTGCATTGTGAGCATTTGTTACTACTACACATAACGAACAACTGTTTAGCTCACTGTTTAGGAAGAATGGGCAAGGCAGTAATGCCGTAGTCATTTTGGGTCAATTACAATTTCACTCCTTCTGTAAAAATAGACTTATGCCATGTATACTATAATTACTATTTGATATGTTTTTGCTTGATGAAAACATGGTTTGCTTGAGAAATGGTAGTTCAAGTGTCATGAAAGTAATCACCAGGGTTTCAGACAAATTGTGCTATGTGATTTAAATAACATACTTTATGAGCTTACAAGCAATGCATTGCTTTTAGAGTAATATTAAAATCCATAACTTTTGATCGGAATCAAATTAATTATACAACAAATGGTATAACAGTGACAACTCAGTTTTGATCAAAATGTTACATTTTGTTTATGCAGGCAGCAGGTTTAAGCCTCAATTACAATTGCATTATGTCCAATTACAATTGGGTTGACCCCAAGTCTATTACAAAAATATGTTGTAATTTTATGTATAATAGTTGAAATGGTAAAACTGGTGATTTTGGAAGGATAGAATTTTGGTAAATTAAAAAATTTTTTTAATTTTGGCAAATTTTTGGCGTGCATAAAGGTTGAAATTGGTTGTTTTAATTTTTTTGATAGCTATCAAAAGGCCAAATTCACAAAAATTTCACCTTAGGTATTGCAGTTTTTATGTACAGTATGTATTAAAGAGAGCCATAATTTCATTGAATATTAGTAACTGACTTTAGACCGCTCCAATTAGGCCACTCCATTGTTTCTCCTTTCACAGGCGGGGCTGATGTGGGTGGGTGGTTTTATTTAATATTCATTAAAATTTTGGAAGATAAATTGATGCATAAATAATCAAATAATTATTAATTATTGCTGATGCAGGCTTGTGCAGGTAGGAAAGGGGAAACAATGCATCTATTTGGACTGCCTTATTATATTAAATAATACACTTTAGTTGGGCTTTCAATAGCTCAAGAAAAAAGGCACCCTACAGCATTGTGTTTTTGCTGTGGCCTCATGTACAAAATTTAAAATTATTTAAGTACACTGATTTATTGCTTTATCTTTAGCCCAGCTCTCAGCTATATCTGGATTGAGCACTATTGGACTTACTACAAATGGGCTTACTCTTGCTAAGAAGGTTCATTTATTAAAGGAAGCAGGTCTCTCTTCTGTCAATATTAGTCTTGATACACTCATACCACAGAAATTTGAATTTATCAGCCGGAGAAGAGGTGACTTTAATAATGTAATGTTATGTTCTATTTTTCATATTTTTAGGTCATGAGCGAGTATTGAATGCAATTGATAGTGCTATTGATAGTGGGATCAATCCTGTGAAAGTAATCATTTTCATAATGAAAGTAATATTGTATAGCTTCAATATAATTATAGGTAAATTGTGTTGTCATGCGTGGAGTTAATGATGATGAATTGAATGACTTTGTTGCTCTCACAGAAGAAAAGGTTTTTTATTATTGTTATTGAAATTTAATTTTTCTGTTTTTGAAGCCAATAGATGTTCGGTTCATAGAGTACATGCCATTTGATGGAAACAAATGGAATACAAAACGTTTTTTGCCATATCATGAAATGCTTTCATCTCTCCAAAATTATTACCCATCATTAGCCAGGCATCAAGACAGTGAAAATGACACATCAAAAGTTAGTTTCAAATTTAATGATTGTAATTCAATTGAGTATTACTGCTAGCATTATCAAGTGCCTGGCTACAAAGGAAGAGTGGGTTTTATCACATCAATGAGTGAACATTTTTGTGGATCATGTAACAGACTTCGTATAACGGCAGATGGAAATCTTAAGGTCAGGTGTTGCCATTAGTTATTGTTGTAATGTGATGTATTGTAGGTGTGTTTATTTGGAGCTAGTGAAGTATCGTTAAAAAATTACATAAGATCTGGTGCATCAGATGAAGAACTATTACCAGTGATATCTGCTGCTGTTAAGAGGAAGCATCCTCATCATGCAGGTACCTGATACAGTCATAGTATTAGATACTAATTTCTGTCTGATTAGGCATGTTGACTCTTAGCAAAAGGAAAAACAGGCCAATGATTTTAATTGGTATATATATATACTCCATTTTTATTTATATTAATTCTTATAATAATTATTTTAGGAGGATATCATACAAACGCAGCCAGTTTAGTCGCTAGCAGACTTCATCTTCATAAAATGTATTCAACTCTTTCACACATTGGCTCAGATGGCAACCCAAGGATGGTGGATATCACTGGAAAAAAGCACACAATGAGGACAGCTACTGCTGAAGGAACTATTGATTTGTCGTCTGAAGCAATGGAATTATTTACTAGTCCTATAGCGAACCCTAAAGGCTCAGTAGCAGCAGTGGCTAGAATAGCTGCCATTATGGGTGTGAAAAAGACTCCAGAAATAATCCCATTATGCCATCCAGTGAATATTACTAGTGTGGACATTACTGTAGATGTAAAAGACTTAGCTGTGATGATTAAAGTATGTGTAAAAAGTGAAGGACCTACTGGTGTAGAGATGGAAGCATTGACAGGTGTTTCATCTGGGCTGCTGGCTATATATGATATGACTAAGTCAACTGGGTACAAACATGTCATCAGAGATATACACCTCATTACAAAAACTGGAGGCAAAAGTACATTTAATAGCCAATAATGAAATTAAAATTTTTAAAAATATTATTGTATAATAATTATTGTATGTTGTTTAATGCTATAAAGATGATACTCAATTTTTTGATCACATAATGCGTAAGAGTAAAGATGTGTGTACTCTTAAGCCCTACAGGCAAAACATTATAGCAAGGAAATGATATTCTGTGAAAAGAGTTTGACATTCCATTGAGTGTCAAAAAATAATACATTGATAATCAACTAGGAAGGTTAATTAAAGCCTGAATTTTTTTACGATAATGGTCAGTGTCTTTTGCACACTAATACCACAATGGAAATCGAATGCCTATTGCCAAGTTGAAATGGAATTGTAATATATACTGATTTGACAAAATAAAAATGTATAATAACAAAAGTATTTCAGTCCATGCATGACCATGCTTCTTCAGCAAGCATGTAGTATTTATTAGCTAATTTCCCCTTCATTTCTTCCATTGCCAGATCTGCAGCTTCTTGAAAATACTGCCCAGCTTTTTCATAGTCAGTGCTTAGCCCAAATTTACCTGAAGGTAATATAAAAATGAAAATACTGTTAAAGCATGACATGTTTATAGTTATCTAAAGTCAACAAGCATGCATTGATCAAAGTAATGGAATCAATTGACATTGTAAATCATGCTACAACTAAATTTTGTACAGTTAACATAAAGCAGGAAACTAATTTCTAGATGCATGGGGATATGACTTTATACCTGTATTGTACATGTTTCCCAATTTGGCCATAATGATATAATCATCTTCTAACGGCACTTCACTTTCACTTTTAAGAGAGTTCAGTGCTAGAGTGTACCAGTGCGCAGCCTCTTTCCAGTCCCTCTCTGAATTCTCTCTAATGATTCACAATAATCACACAAAAATATACAACTAATACCCTGTCTCCAGTATTCTTCCAACAACAATCATTGCTTGTCTCAGACCAGTCTTGGCTGCAGACTTCAAATATTTCAGTCCCATAGCTTCATTATCTGGTGTTGCCTAATAAGAAATAGAGTATCATTCTCAAATGATACTAATAGTTTAATGAGTATTCAGTATACCTCAACAGAAAGACAGTCTAGCTCATAGTGTGGTAGTTGCCTATATATGCAACCTAACTCAAACAAGGCAGCACCTAAACACAAGTCCGCTGCTTTATGTAGATGAAACAGTGACGCATCAAGGTCAGGTTCAGAAGTAAACCTTCCTTTAGAGTGATATATTGCCATTTCATAGTGTACCTACATGTACATGCATAATGAATTTAGTAGTAAGAGTTCAGTGAAAATTGTACCTGCCCCAGATTGACATTCTTTTGCTCCAATGAATATGATTCAACAATTGTGTCACCCTCCATCAGTTCCAATGCCACACTAGATATTCTGTGCTTCACATTTTCCTGCAACTATTAATAGTAGTAGTAAAGTGGTATGGTCATGTACATAAAATTAATTAACACATACCCTAGTAACAGTTGCTTCGCTCCCTGTCTCCTTTGATTTGTCATTAAACACATCATCAGAGATATGCTTGTTTTCAATTACAGGACTAGAAAGCGATCCAGCTGTTAGATCCAAAGAAACTCTTTCAAAAACATCCGACAGGCTCTTCCTTTTACTACATAATTGCTTTGGTACTGCTTCATCATTATCTATTGGGGTGACAACTGTGGTGGTGGATACCTCCCAACTATGAGACATTAATCTAACACGTTCCTAAAAGGAAAGTACAGAGTTTAATGAGTTTAATGACAATGAAATGTACTTTGTCATGGAGGTCAAAAGAAGATAGTCCAAGTGCAGAGCAGAGAGGTGAGCAGAGATGAGATGAGAAGAATAATGCCATTCCTTTATCACCAAGATTAGCCTCACCATAGTCTTTCATGTCAAGTGTATGAATTTGTGGGTCAGTATATAAATCCCCCACTCCTAGCAATGCATACAGTGTATATGTAGTAACAGTACTGACAACATCTACCTTGAATATCAACAACAATTAGTTGGTGACCAGACTTTTCAAACGTAAAATGACTGAATGCCTGCCATTTAATACAAAAAATTACAATAATTGTTACTATACATGACAGTACCTGTGGAGTAAGCCTGTTAACATCTGAAATATAGCCACTATTTGAGTTGTATTTAATATAATTGCCTTCCATAAAATGTTCGACACAATAATTTGTCTTGCCATTCAGTGGCTCCTTCAGTGTTATAAGATAGGCTTGAAAAAAGTCAACCTGCATAAAAACATATTCAATCAACTACCAAATATTTTACAGAAAACAGGCCAAAATTAAATGAAATTCTAGAGTCAATACAAATAGGAATGAGAGTTCACATTAATTAATCAGCCAGGTAATACGCAAATTTCATTAATATAATAATTTGCTAGTGTGTCTAGCATTCATTGGTTCGGGCATTTATAAAAGAGTGAGCACAGCATGACATCATAATTACAACAGAGGTAAACATACTTTCTTTGGAGGGTTTCTTTTGTTATATTTCTCTCCCCATAACTTGGCATCCATCTGAAGTTGAACATCCTGTTTCAAAGCAGTTGCAGATTCTTCACTTTTATAACACTTAGCAACATAATTCGATGCATTGTGCCAATCAGGCTGCACTGAAAACTTGGACAACTTCTTCCTGCAATATCAGTGTGGCATCAAAATCGATTTATAATTATAATAGTCGTCAATATATCTACTTACATTCTATAGCATTCCCTCATAGCACCAAAAGCAAAGGGCTAAAATTAATAATCTATAGTAACCTAATCTCATATACACCTAACTAACTTTTTCCTGCATTTTAATCAACACTTCATCTTGCCACCATGACTTCGATCTAGGATTATAAACATGTCGGATTGCCACTCTTTCGGGGAGAGAATCAAAATCTATATCTTCCCAAGGATCTTCTAAGGATTTAACTTTCTTTACAGCTTCTTCCCAATGTTTCTTGGCCAGAATCGACGCCATAGCGGAGTGAAACACAATCCGAGGTGATCCTCCTAGGCTTTACAATAACATACAACATGCAGGCAATAACTAGCTCCACCCACACAAAAAGTTCTTTTAAATTTTCAATACATTCTTGATTGTACAAAATAAGAAGAAAATAGACACAATTCAGTGGTTCCTGTAATTATGAGATCTACTACTATGAGACTTGGTCCTCTTGGGGCTTTTGGAAGATGATCTTCCTCTTTCCTTTCCATGATCACGTTCCTTTCTTCTAGGACTCCTGGAATACTTTCGTCTTTCTTTTTCATTTTTTCTGTGACTTGAGTCAAATTTTCTTCGCCTAGGACTCCTTGAGGTCTTTCTTGTATCACGGTACCCTCTTCTTGGCCTTGGACTACTAGATCCTTCTCGATTCTTATAATCTCGATCTTGCTTTCCTTTTCTTTTTTCAGGTATGAGATCTTTGTCATCAAATACCATTTCGTATTTGTCATCTACTGGTGAAGGTTGGCTTGGAATCGGTTTGTTGTGCTTTGTTTTTGCTAGAGACTGACTGAAGTCAACATGTATCCTGCGGTCATCAATAAGGACATTATCCATTTTAAAATAAGCTTTGATGCAGTCGTCTTCAGTCTCAAACTCAATGAAAGCATACTGAAGTGAATCCCCTGTCTTTTGATCTCGAATCACTTCACAACTCAGAATTGGGCCAAATCGTGAAAATATTATCTCTAAATCTTCTGAAGAGGTAGCCGGATTTAGCTTGCATACAAATAAAACATTTTCTGGAGGCTTAGCATCGGCATCAGGTATGTCACCAACCATTTCGAGAATATGAGCATTTGCTTTACTTTCCTTTAGAGCGATAGCTTCCTGTATTTCAGCGGCACTTTTACCTTCAAACTCATCAATGTCTTCATCTACCCCAATATGATTAGTATCAGTGAGAGTGGCCGGAGGGCTAGGCGAGCGACTAGGGGGAGCAAGATCAGGTGGATCAGGGTAAGGATCCTCCAGTATCACAGTGTGCAGTATACAAACATCTTGTAGAGGCCTCCCATCTTTATCAACCGGTGACTGACTTAACTTTCCTAATACATCATTGCCCTCGGCTACTTCACCAAACACGCAGTGCTTACCATCCAGGTAATCCAGGTTTTCCCTCAGTGTGAAAAAGAATTGAGAAGTGTAACAGTTATTCTCATTTGTGACCATTGATACAGTCCCCAGTTTGGCATGCTTCAATCGAGGCACAGCTTCACTCTCTACGTATTTAAAGCCCTCTCCTTTCAGAGCACCCAACAAACTAGTCCCACCTTCACCTGTAGCAGTCGGATCACCAGTTTGAGCTATAAAGTTGCTCTGCACGTTGTAAAAAAGACAGTAATTATAATACTTGAGTTTACAAAGCTTTAAGAAGTTAAGACATGTCTTTGGCCTCTCTTTAGTGTACAGATCTACAACCAAATCTCCCACAGACGTCTCTATCAAAACCGCCATTTTGTATCCGTGATGATAAATTCTCAGCTCCTCCCTCTTCCATTCAACTACTCCACCTCAATGAATCGAGGCCACCTTCATTGAGCTCATTCACTGTAACTTGCTCATTTACTGTCCGCGGTGATGGCAGATGAGTCACCAGCTAAACGAGCGGTTCTAGAGTTACAGAAGATCCCAGGAAACGACATATGTGCAGATTGTGGCAAAATGGGTATGTTGTAGATAATTGGCCTGCTTTTTTGTATAAAATATTATATATATTACAATGCTCATTAAATTTGGGAATTGTTTAAGTAATTTGAGGTTTGTGTTTTGTCTCCAAATGACACATTACAGATTCATTGTTAAGATACAACAGATTATGAATAGGTGTTTGTATGATACATGTAGCCATTAGTGGGTACGGTTGAGAAATGCTGTGGAATGTTGAGTTAGTTCTTATTACAACTAAGAGCTGCTGACTCAAGCCATTAGGTACATTCTTCCTTAGTTGAGTAACCAGCTAGTAATTATTGAACTGGGAAATGTAGTGTGTCTTTAGAGGTTTACTGATTGTAATCTAGTGGTTTGAGATTTCACATTAAATATTGTGATAAAATGAAAACTCTATTTTGCACAGACCCTGTTTGGGCAGACGTCAGCTTTGGAATATTTATTTGCATTGATTGCAGTGGGATACATAGGGGACTAGGTGTTCACATTTCTAAAGTTAAATCAGTACAGTTAGACCAGTGGACTGAGGAACAAGCAGAAAAAATGAAAGAAATGGGTAATGTGAAGGCTAAAGAAATTTGGGAAGCAAAGGTACCACCATGTTGGAAGGCTCCTACACCAGATGACTGTTTGTGAGTTTATTTATGTCTTATATTGCTTGAGTATGTACACATGGTGTCAAGAATAGTTTTGAATAACTTCACTGTTTTGTTTATTTGTATTTTGGTATTTTGAACTCTTAGCTAATTTAAAATTCTTACCATAAGTATGTTTGGCTGTCATTACTGTAAAGTATAATAATATCCTATAAGCTTTTCATTCTCCTCCTAGGTTTTTGATTAAATTGTAAAATAGAATAGCTTCCTTAGTGTCAAATCACACGTCATAGTTTATTTTGACAAAAGTTACATTGTCTTTCAATTTATTATTATCATGATCATTATTGTAATACTTTGGGTTAGATTTAATGCTGCACAGTAACACATGGAGAGTAATGTTAACTTTGTAGTAAACTTGTGATAAGTGCATACCAATGAGAAGACATAATTTGTTATTAAGATACATGTATGATATTTGTTTTGTGAGACCTACCACTGCCACAAGCAGTTACATGGTTCATCGTGTCAAAAATTTGATTTGTCATTGTTTTGATAGCCTTCTTTATTTATAGAATGTTTGCATATTTTATAAGTGCATGTATATTGTGATTTATCTAAATTACCTCTCTTTTTGATGTAAACTTATGTTCTATACTCATAATAAAGCCAGTTTTGTGATGCATGTATTTATTTATTGATAGAGTGTGTAGAGATCAATGGATTAGAGCCAAGTACGAAAGGAAAGAGTTTATAATTGAAACTAAAGATTCAGACAAACCATATTTACAAGGTAGATTTTGTTATGCTTTGAGCATTTGTTGTAATGTGTTCATGCAGGCTTAAAGAAGGGATTTCTTCATAAGAAAAAGAAAATTGACAATGTATGGCAAAGTCGATTTTTTGTTTTGGAAAGGGATTCGTTAAGTTACTACAAAAAACTTCAGGTTATTTATTTTAATGTTTAGTTTTAGTATAATACATTTATATGTAGGATGTGCATCCTGTTGAGACTATTCCTCTTGACAAGATTAATGTGACTTTGCAAGGACAAACGGGCCATCCAAATGGGATGCAAATAATTGCTCTTATCAAAGGAAAATCCAGAAACATATTTGTATATGCTGAGCAAGGCATTGTATGTTCTAAACTTTGTAAATTACATCATTATTTGATAAATTCACACAGGATATTATCCACTGGTTCTGTGCAATCAGAGCTGCTAGGCTAAATTTTTTAAGAAGAACCCACCCTCAAATTCCAGAAGAACAAGTAAGGCTATGATTTCTATTGCATAGTGATAGACGTATTTGCTTACTGATTTCAACTTTGTTACTACTGTATAGTGGGAAATTTTCATGGCCCAAAATTTTTTTGTGGATTTTGCGGTTTTTTTTTAATTCACAAAAATAAAATCCGCAAAAATCAATTTAATATGCTTCAAGATGGCTTAAAAGTACAAAACCACGAAAATTAAAGCCACAAAATTGATTTTTAGATGGACCTGAGAAAATTTTGAGCCACAAAATTCTTGCTATTAACTTACTACATGTACATGTATGCCACATTATTACAATTATGTGTTGTGTAATTGATAGTGTCAATTGAATTTTCTTTTTAGCTTTATCCATTACTTTCAAGAGATTTTGTTAAAACTGGTTATCTTCATAAGACACCAGCGAATAAAACAGTAAGAGAAATTATTGTTGTGCTTTGCATTGATTTAAATGCTTGTAGAGATTTCAGAAACGATTTTTTGTCCTTGATGATAGGAGAGTAATGTACTTTGAAAAACCAACAGTAAGTGCAGTTAATTGTGATAATGTCCTTATGTACAAGTAATTAAACTAATTATGATTTTTTTATCTATTGTACAAGTACAGTATATGCAAGCAAATTATAGTCCTTGACATAGAATTTTTATTTGAAGGGGTAGTTCCTTTATGCCACTTATTTGTAGATTGATGTGTTTATAAGATGTTGTGCAGATGTGCAATGTTATTCCCTATGATAACACAAGTGGACATGTTTATGTAGCATCCTACAAGTGTATGTATAGTTGTTGGAATGTCTACAATATCATAGGGTTTTAGTCCATGATTATGCTTAGTGCAACTTTAGAACCGTAAGGTGCATTACAATTTTTGATATGTTAACTCAACACCTTTAGCTGTGTATACAATTTTTAGTGCCACTTCATTATACTTGTAACATAATGCACTACTGAGTACTGAGCAGTGTGAATCTGTCAGCCTGTCACCATAGTAAATTTAATACCGTATAGCGAGTTTATTTGAGAATAACAAATTTTGCGAATTTTGTGGATTTTTGAAGATTTGTGAAATTAAATTAATTTAGTATGATACAAGATGGCAGAAAAGTAGCAATTCGGGAAAATTAATTCCGTGAACCTCCGGATACAAGCCATTCACGAAAATTATTATCCTCAAAATAAACCCGCTATGTGGTAGATTTGAAATAAGATGTTTATTTGGATGTATTAGTTAACATTGTTGCACATTCTAGTGATTACAAGTGATTTGTTGTTTAGGATCCTTTTCCACTTGGTGAAATTGTACTTGGTAACCCATCAGAAGGCTATTCTGTTGATGAATCCGCTCCTCATGAGCTAGGAGCTGGAGAAAATGCTTTTATCTTAAACACTCCAACAAGAACCTTTCCATTGCTTGCAGAAACTTCAGAAGACAAGTTGTCGTGGTTGACGGTATTAAGAGCAGCTCTCGAGAAGCCTAGAGATGCAATTTTATCTTCAGAAAATCTATCCTATCATACAGAGTGAAACATTTTATCGTAATTATTAATTTATAATTATTATAATCATTGATTTTGGATTAATTATTTTATTCTGTGGTATTAGATCATTTTTACTACTGATTTTGGAATAACGATAACTTTATTGCTTCAATACTGCTTTTAAAAAATGTACAGTTATTGAAAAACCACACCCATAAATTAAACAGACTAGCCTATGACTCGCTGAAGAAGAGTACGAGGATGTCTGGAAGTGAGCGCTCACTGCTTGAGCAAGCTCTGAAGGAGGATGGCAATAATTTGTGTGCAGATTGTGGGAAAAAAGGTATCTGCCGTGTTATTTTGCTAGTACAGCAAATTTAGCGGATTGTATTTAGGACCAGATTGGGCATCCGTGAACTTGGGAATATTCATCTGCATCGATTGTGCTGGTATTCACAAACGACTTGGCACTTCAGTATCGCACATTAAATCTGTAAAGCTAGATCAATGGACACAAGATATGATACAGGTATGATGCTAATCTATACAGCCATAGATAGCCGGCTTCATCACTAGTCTGTCATCACCCAGGATGTTGGCACTATGTAATTTGTACACTTGACTAAGAACTGTGCCAATATTATTGTTGCAAAGTTGTTGTGTGTGCGCTTGCTAGATTTCTCTGAATTTTTTTGAAAGAACGAATGACTGATTAGATGAAATTTAATTTACATTCCCTGTTATATGATCCTAATTCCGTAAAAAATGTAATGCTACATACAATGTAGGACATGATATCTGTTGGCAATATTGAAGCAAAGAAAAAATGGGAGCATAAAGTACCCATTATATGGCCAAGACCTACTCCAGATGATAAATTGTAAGTGACTTCCTGTTCTAGTGCATCAGGCCTACAAGTTATTACAATGACACCAATCAACTGACAAAGCAATTACTACACATAATGCACACACATTACAGGATGTGTAGAGAACAGTGGATAAGAGCAAAGTATGAAAGAAAAGAGTTTGCACCTTCAGCTCCTGAAATTCTTCGACCTTATTTAACAGGTAAAAATGAATTATTTTTGCCACATAAAACTGTAATGCTCATGCTTGTAGGTCTTAGACAGGGATTTCTGCACAAACGAAAGAAGAAGAGTGACGAATGGAAGTCACGCTATTTTGTTTTAGATGAGGAAAATTTCAGCTACTTCATTAATTCTCAGGTACATGTATACCTGTATAATTATCAATCGTGTGTGATTTGAAGGATAATGAAAGACAAACAATCTTTGTGTTCTGTTGTAGGATCGTAAACCTAAAGCTAGTATACCCCTGCTTGGACTTAATGCCATGTTTGATGCACCAGGCTTAGAGGATCACAATCACTCAATGTTGATAACATATCGAATACGTGGCAAGTCTAGGAACTTGTTTGTTTACACTGATAGTGCAAATGTAAATAGATTACCTTTTGACATGATGAATAGTTAACTTTTATAGGAAATGATGGATTGGTTTTTGACCATAAGATCTGCTAAATTAAAAGCTCTCCGTCTTAAGTATCATGCTCCTGATGAAGAAGTAAGAGTATTACTTATGGTTTTAGTGTACTAATACTTGCAGTTAATAGATAAAGTTACTTGGAATTTTACACATGCTGGTTACATGTACAAAATGCCTCCTAATCAAAAGGTAACAAAATTGCTGTGTACTTGGTATTATTCACACCTATAGAAACTTCAAAGAAGGTTTTTCGTCTTGGATAAAAATAATCTTAGATACTATGATAAACCCAAGGTATATAATTATTAATTTTTTAAATTTTATGATACTTTTATAATGTTTCAGGATGCATATCCTCTTGGCGAGATTCTGATTGGACCTTCGTCTGAAGGATTTTTGGTTTCAGAATCAGTCCCACATCATCTGTCTGAGTACAATTACATTTTTGTGCTTCAGGCGCCTCATAGATGCTTTCCTCTAATGACTGAATCAGAACAGGACAAAAAGCATTGGATGACTCTTTTGCAAAACGTTATTGAAGGATCAATGGATAAGTTGGATGATGCTCCTGATGATGCTTATGTGACATATGAAGATGAGAGAGATCATTCTCTCTCAATTTGATCATTAATTTTAATTCATTAAATCAAAATTTGTAGCAACTGCATTTTCATTCTTATTATTGGTGTTAGTGAAATTAGTTTGTGATAAGCATATTTAAATAGTTTTTATTGGAACAAAGAATATTAAAATTTATGAGTAATACTAAACAGACTATGAATAAACAAACAATGTTAAGTTCCATTTAAAACAAGTCTAAACTATCATCTTGAGAAAAAAACATTTCCAATTCTTCTTCAGTTAAATACTTCTCACCATTATCAGCAAGTGAATTTTCCATTTCTTCAATACTTGCAACCTTATTCTAAAGTAATAAATGTAACAAAAAGTAATGTAAAACCACACTTACTATAAGTGATGGGCTAACAATGACTCCACTTTGCACTAGTTGAGCTATCCTTTGACGGCATGCCAGTTGAGCTACTCTTTGACGGCATGATAGATCTCCATCTAATGTGGTAGCTGATATCTTCTGACTGCCAGATTCTAATGCAGTAGGTAGCACAGAACAATCTGAGTTTTCAGATGAGAAAGAAGAGTCCAAAACTCTTTCTTTAGTTTTGTCAACTTCAGAGAGAACAGATTCGTCATTCACAATTTCAAGCTTCCTCTTCTTGGTTCCTCTTACAGATCTGTTCATGTAATAATTCAAGATCCCATGACGCTGACTCAATACAAGTTTATACTTATCCTGGCATGGGCTTATGAGTGAGCGATGATAGACACTTGTCATGTCTACTGGAGAGTGTTGAGTCTGACCAGGTGGAAGGTACTGTGTCAATACTGACTTATCATTAATAAAGTCATCGTTAAGATCATATTCATCCATGTCAGCTTCATTAGCGTCACTTGATCCTGAGCTATCAGGATTATCTGCTTCCTTGTTAATAAAATCTTCAGCATCAATAGTATCTGCTTCTTCTATGTCTTGTAATAATCTAATGGCAGGTTCTGAATTATTTGGTGTTGGGGAACGTAAAAAATTAGGTTGCCTGATTGTCACACGCCCACGTAATCTTTTAGTGACCAGTTTCTTCAGAAAGACATCTTCACTATCGGGTGTTTGCAGATGACGAGGAACTGGAGAATCAAACTGGTTTTGAGGAGAATTTGAAATCAAATGTGACGATGTTTGTTGCAGAATCTTTGTGCTTTGAGGTGTGGAACAAGTGACTGCCTTGTGACATTTTTGTGCCACAGGACTTTCTGGTATTGTACAAACGACATCTGTTGCTAAAGTACCATCTTCTAGCACTTCTCGTTGACTATCTAAGTGATGTGAAGGTGATCCGTTACAAAAACTGTTGTGGTTGACAGTGCCTTGTCTTTCATCCCTCATCTGTATGCCTTTATCATCAGATCTAATATGCTGTGTAGACATTACATCATCTAACCAATCCAGTGTATCTATAGCTGGAGGTAGAGGAACAGATCTTTGACTGGAAGTTACATTGTTACACAAGTTCAAACCTGAGCCAGCATCATTAACAGGGCTATGAATCATATTCTGATCAGTTATGAGGCTTGTATTACAATCATCAAAGCTTTTCTGATTTTTTGGCATGGCATGATCTAATGATTCATCATTTGTCTGTAAGTTATCGACAAAAGTAAGAATATTTTTTAGAGCGTCACAAGACAGTGAATGACTTACAAAATGAGTAGCTGTTGGTGCTGTCAGCAAATGTGTCCAGCGGCTTAAACAAACAAGTGATCGATTAGCAATGGTAGGAGTAGGCTCAAGTTTACATTGACCTGATGATAACAGAAGCTTGGGAAATAAACAGCTAATCATGCCAGTTTCAATTGACTTTGCTTCATGTTCCGTCAAAGCAAAATTACTATGCCAGTATGCTAATTCACTTGACGTCAGAAACACTCCTTTCGGATCATTCTTCAAATAAATCCCAATATTCTTAGAAGTAGGAAACTTGGCAGTAGTTTTAGGAAGCTTCTGTTTACTATTAAATTTTTCAATTTCAATGAATCGCTTATCAACCTTAGGAAATAAATGACGTGGAACCATTCTTGGACTAAACTGGAACATAGTCAAAGACTTGGAGCCATCCCTGATAGCACGATGAACACTAGCCTTGTTGGATTGACTTTTAAGATAAATCTAAAAAGAGAAAAGAGAGTGTGCCAAATAATAAAATGGACAAAAGAAAAGAATCATAATCACACCTGTTCTTCTTTTCCCTGGCTTACAATGACCACAATTCTTCCTTGCCTCTTTCGTCCAGTACGACCCATTCTTTGTATCAAACGGACAGGAGATTTGTGAGCATCAAAACAAACTATCAAATCTACTTCCCCAATATCAAGCCCTTCTTCACCAACACATGTAGATACAAGTGTATTATAGCCACCTTCACGAAACTTCATTATGACCTATTATACGACTAATGTAAATCATACCAGGGCTAATATTTTTTGGAAACATAAAATTCCAAGTAAAGAGTTACAGTGTTATTACAAAGTTGTTTGTTTACCACACCTGTATCAACAGGAACATTTGTATACAGTGTAACTCAAAGGAATGAAGAGCATTACAAGTCTATAACATACCATAATCATACAAGTACATATAGGTAAAATTTTGAGAAATCTTTGTAATTAAAGAGTAATCCATGGTGACATGGTTTAATTAATAGTTTGATAAGTCAGCAGTTCACATACTATACCTCTTAATTTGAGCAATACACATACAGTAATTCATCATAAAAGCAGATGCACTATTGCCACTAAGATGAAGCACTATGGTGCAATGGACTCGCCTGCTGGAATTCACCTGAGTGATATGTATTACTTGTACTGTGATATTTTAAGCAATTTGAAAAAAATTATTATTATTGACTGCATAGTTATAATGATAATTAAAATAAGCTATGGGTGTGGTCAACAACTAACTAAATCATGGCACATGGGTAGGAGAAAGAAGAAAAGCTGAAATTTATTTTAGCATCTGAAGCTCTATTCCAAGAAAGAGTTGGCTTAGAAAATTTTTCTAGATATTTAAAAGAGACTGAGAGAGTTTAGTTGTTCCTGCTTTCCTCAGTGCCGCCTGAAAAATTCTCAAAGAGGCTAAATCACAAAGTTTGAGCAACTGTAACTCACAAACAACGAAGTTAGGACAAAATCGTTGTTTTTGTTTTTCGTTAGATGGGATTTTCTACCTCTGAAGCAAATCTCAGCCCTGTAGAGTGAAACATGAGCTCTCACCTGAAGAGAGGTCCCCTGGTTTAGCAGTTCATAGCTTTTGGTGCCATGGGATGCTACAAGAGCATAACTAGATGAAAGAAAGCAACTTTATCTGTTGCTAGAAGAAGAAATAGAGCTCTAGACTGCTCAGACAAAAAGATAAGTTTTTTACAAATCAATTAAACTGTGTGGACAGAATGACAACCCAACTGCTTAGTACCCGCCTACGCAAGCGTGGCGAGTCCAATAATGATACAAGCCTACAAAATATTGCCACAAAGTAACAAATCAGTGCACAATGTGAAATTAAATTTATTATGTGAAAAAGTGATAATGCCTAGTTCCTATACAAACCATTAAGGAAAATGGGCATGATACTTTGTCTCACAATTTAATGGAAAAAGGATTACACAACAAAGTCAAAAACTGTACATGTAAAATGTACTACATGTAAAATAACATGTACAGAGATAAATTTGCAACAATTTGAAAAGGTGGTCAAGACCATAATTGTTCATTTTTCAATTCATGCACAAAATATTTGACTGCAAAAACCATGTTTACACATGGTTATTAATAACTTCTAAGTAATGCACTGATTACTATCACCTAGACAGAACCCGTACTATTAATATTAAGTCTTATAGTAGTCTTGAATTCTTGATGCCAAGGGATAACAGGTTTTTGTAAGGTGTCTAGACACTGCACATACATTTACACATTATAACACTTTCATTCAAAGTCTGGGTTGACACACATCACAAAATGCAATGCAAAGTAAAATTTGGCCAACTTTGTGCACTATCTGTGTCATAAAGGTTACATCATCAATGCAATTTTGACTGTACGTCAACTATAAACATGCAGGATTAAGATAACTAATAACCAGTCCACACATACATGTACATGTATGCCTTAGAAAAAGTTTGCGTGCGTGGTCACTGTAAATAAAGTGGCAATAGCAAACCTTGAAAAGTCTTAATGAAAGCAGATTATACATGTACATGACTACATGTAGGTATGCAAATTTTAAAGACATTTTAACAGTTAACACTAAAGCTTCAGCTCTATAGCAACTATTTGATGCACTTTGTCAATTAATTAAGGCACTAGGTAGAAATAAAAAATACATTATCACAAAAGGCTACATGTTTAAGCTGACATAGTATCATTTTGATTTTCCATTATTATTTCACAGTATCAGGGCAATTACATGTAAAACTCCAAATTCCAAAATGCAAACTATAGGTACTACATAATTAAGCATAAAGGAGTTGCATCACAATAACAAGGTAAGTGCAACATGTACATGTACATGTAAGTATGCAAAAACCATATCTATGCATAAGCTCACTTCAATTTGCTCTTTTTGAGTTTGTCCTTTGCCGCCACTCTTGTTTTTACCAGTTGATGAATGACCAATAAAACTCATAACTTGAATGACTGGAAAATGTCGAGATAACATGTCTGCTATTTCACGGACACTTTCCCGGTATTGGGAGAAAATCATGACTTTGGTTGGTGAACCACTAGAACTTTCAAAATGTGATAAAACAACTTTCTCCAATTCCTTTAACTTAGGATGACTATAAAAAAAATCAGCTGTTGGCTTCACTGAGGGGCAATACATAGAGCTGTTCAACTGTAGGCTAGTATTGACAGCTTCAGTCATTTTGCTGTCCAGGAATGACATCATTTTTTTGAAGTCATGACTATAAGAGAGCTCCATTTTAGCTCTTGAATAACCTTCAGAAACACTTTCTTTGAGAAAAACATAAAAGGAGCGCATGCCATGTTGAAGTAGAAGCTCATAGGCATGAAACAGAGAAATACAAAGACAAAATATGCCTTCAATAGCACTGGCCTAAAACACAAAAAATTAAAAATATTATCACTATTAATTATGCTACCTGAGCCCCACTTGGACACAATTTTCTAAAACTTTCACGAGCCTGCAACATTTGAAATTTGCCCAATCTGTCAACATCAGTAGAATAAATGAGATTCTGACGGGCCAAACGACTTAAAAAATTAACAAGCATCTATAATCATATTAAAAAATAATCATTTGCAGCTGCAATACTTTCTTAAAAGATTCCCTGACTTGCAAAATTTCCTCATCTAAAGGTACAACAATCTTTTCCACTTTCCTTCCATGATTGTATTGTTGGATGTCTAGCGAATCTTCACATCTCAACTCAATGTGAGCGATTTGAAGGTTATCAATAACTTGCTGAACTGCCTATTTTAACAAAACATCTAAAAAACATTATCATTCTGATCAACAAACCTTAAGATCACTACCAGGAGTAGCAGAGAGAGCTAAAACGCGTACAGTAGCATTTGCACTAATCAGCTTCTTGATTACCTGAAGTAATTAATTTCAAAGAGTACCTTAAGTCCACTTTTCATGCACATTAATAGCATTTTTATTGCAATGGTTCACAATTCTAAAAATTTTCTTTTCATTTTACCCGTAACTATAATGACAGTGTTTAATAATGAGTTCACTGAAATGCCATGCAGATTGGTCACAAAATTAAAAGAGGGCTTAAGGTATCATAACAAAGAATTTTCAATTACTAATTTACTTGACAATATGAATGATTTCCTAAAGCTTTGTGTGCTTCATCAAACACAATACAACAAATGTCCTCAGCATTACAGGTTTCCTGGTTGAGGTCATTCTGCAGAACTTGAGGAGTGAGATAAAACACTCGTTTTGTATTCCAGTGGTGATTTCTGTCTTTTGGAGCCACCGACCCTGTCATTTCTATTGTGTCTTCCTGAGGAATACCTAGAGTGAAGTATAAAATATCTGTATTATATCTGACACAAGTTGTTACCATTATATCTGGTAATCTTTAGACAAAAAATCATACATTTTATTTTTACACAGTGGTTCCTGTCTGAAAATTAACAATATATAAAACTAAAAATATCTTAGAAGGATCCTACAAAGTACCTGTGTTTCAAAAGCTACCATGTTTATTAGACTGTCTGCCAACTGCCGCGGGAGAGATACTGTACAATGTACATGTACATTGAAAGAAGATGATAATGCTACGTTTCTTGACAATGCAGGTGGTATCTGCAGAAAATTTTGTATACAAAAATTACACATGAATAAAACTTTCATAAATTTTAAGTCCGCACAAAGCTTTGCATTCCAAAATTAAATAAAGATAAAAATTACCAGATATACATTATACCAAGAGTAGATAATAATTAGAGGAGAGTGTCCTACTGGCTATAAGGTCTGCTTCATCACGTCGTAGAATTGAAGAGTCACATTCAGGATATTTCTGTATTTTATTTAAGTAGTTATAGTTATTGCTAGTTATTTTCAAATAACTACTAAAAAATACTGAAAATATCCTGAATGTGACCCTTCAATTCTACGCTGTGATGAAGCAGGGGGTATTGCACAGTAGGACATTCTCCTCTAATTATTATCTACTCTTGATGCAATTAATAAATGAAAATTAAACTTGTAAAATTTAATTACCCATAATGTTGTAACAAGCTTCAACTTGCTGAGAAACAAGGGGCTTTGTTGGTGCCAGGAAAATGACCTTCTTACAAGGATACCAGCGATAGAAATTATACATCACAACTGCAGCAATAAACGTTTTCCCAAGGCCAGTAGGAAGAGATACAAGTGTATTTTTAAAGAGGCATTTATTCACGATGTTGAACTGATAATCACGAATTGGATAGTTGGTAGGGTATATATAAGACTGGCCTGCCTCGTAATCAAAACCAGGAATATCTTCATAAACACTAGAATTGTTCACTGTGTGCCGCTCAGGACTCGGACAGGGCTTGGAGTCAGCAACAGCATCATCAGCTTCCCAATCATCAGCAAAGAATTCATCAACTGGTATCATAGAAAAGTCGAAATCATCATCAGTAGAATCAGAATTGTTATGATCATCGAGTGGATTTTGGGCCTCTTCCATGTGTTTGGCATAATTTCAATGGAATGGATATGGGTGGACTTTGAAACAATTGGTAATCACGTGACATGCAAATCACGTGTAAACACGTGGTTCACAAAAATCAACTTCCTTACTTTCAAAGCCTTCCAGTCCACCTCATAAACAGTTATTTGAATCATAGCATTTGTCATTTAAGTAAATTAAATATTCCAAACAAGGGTATTTTGTGTTAAAAATTACCAAGTATCAATACTGCATGTGTAGTTCCTGTTATGTAAACCTCAGCTACATAGGTATACATTAATCTTTTCAATAACTCAGGCTATGATTGACAAATTAGTGTTTCATTATTAGGTCTCATTTCATTAGATTATTCAATGGGTAAGATTGAACACTAAGAAGAGCCACACACAACACTAAAATAATGGTCTTTTGTAGTTTTTTTTTACACTACAAGTTATCAGCTATCTCTATCCTCCACTTCCCAAACCAATAATAATAATCTTTTTTTAAATTTTAAAATTAACATTACAACTGTTCTTATCTCTTCTTAAATCCATATTTCTTTCTTTCATAGAACAGATCAGTCTTTGAACTTCCCAAGTTTACAATCTTTGGACATCCATCCCGCTATAAATAAATAACAAAATAAAATTATCATTGATACTACAATTACTCGTCTAAAGTTTTCTACCACAAGTTTACCACCACTACAAACACTGGGCCCTTCCTCCCATATGAATAGGCCATGAGTCTTTGGTTAGGCCACCTACACATGTACAAACATGTACATGTGTGGTAAGAATTATTTACAGACCTTATTAGGCATTGACTTGATTCACCAATTGTGGCCAGTACACATTTTCCCAAAGAAAATTTTTAATTTGCTACTGCTTAATGGCAAAACCAAGTAAAACTGGTTGATCACCTCTAAAAGTAGCCTTTATGGCTGAATTACTCAAATGCATAAAAACTTTTAAGGACCTTTTATAATTTTGCTATGTACATATGTACATGTACATGTACATATTATTGTAGTGCATAGACTTCGAACTGATTCCAACCAAAATTCAATTTTAAATCATATTATAAAGCTCTTCAAAAGCCATGTTGCTGTGCTTAATTGCCAGCTCTGAAGCACAATTTGTGCCTTAATTGGGCATTCATTGCCACTCAGGCATCCCCTGTAAGCCATGTAGGCATTTACTTGGCATACATAAGTATGCATACAATAATGGATAAAATTTAATATGTTGATAGTTGTTCAGACAGCAGCCTGATTCAGACCTGGGGTAAATTACAAAACCTACATTTAAATTACAAAACTTACATGTAAATTACAATTAAACATTCAATTGCATTCATTTTGTTAGAATTACCATTATGCCATTTGAATTACAAATACCATTTTGATATGTTTTTGCATGAAACAGAAACATGGCTTGCTTAAGATTTCAGCTGACTTTTATAGAATTACAAAAGAAATAAATACATGTGCTGTCACCAGAGTTTCCCATAATGCCACAAAGTGTGCTAAATGAGTTAATAGCCCACGGTATAAGCTTACAAGCAATGTACTACATGTGCGTGGCTTTTGGAGTAATGAAAAAATTTAATTTGGATCTGAATGAGCTTAAACTAGATAGACATGTACATGTATGTGCAAATGTGCATATCGATGTACAACATCAGAACACGTGTATCACAAAAATTATAAAAATGGAAATTCTCTTCTAGCCGGTTTTGATAAAATTTGGCCTGCATGGTTTCAGGCCAGATTTTAAAAATCTTAAAATTCATGAAAGATCTAATTTTGATGGGAATTGCATGTAGCTCACTTTAGATATACATGTACAACACAAAACAAGTATATGTATCAAAAATGAAGAATTATCTTCTAGCAATTTTCGACGAAAAGGGTTTCTACAAAGTTCTACTAAGCAAGCTAAATAGCACACCTCATAAGCTGGCAAGAATGGGAAACCCTGATTGTTATACTTCCATCTACACGTACATGTACATGTGTACAGTGCATGTACATATGATCATGTGATGTGAAGTGATAGATGTAGATTGAGAGCATTCTCCTTGCATCTGTATTGATTCAGTACTCAATACACTATGACAACTTAATTTTGATAAAAAAAATCCAATTCAGGCTTAAGCCTCAATTACAATTACAATTATGCCATTGTATATGTAATTAAGTTCAGCCTCTAATTACAATTAAAATTATAATTGACCCCAAGTCTGTATTTATTAAGTTGCTTCTGGTTTCTGAGCTTACCAGGACTGAAATAACAGGACTCAAATAATGGGCATAAAGCTGAGATTGTTTGCTTAGTAAGAAATGTACACGCACATCATCATGTACAATTTTAACAAAAAATCCATTCAGTTATTGTTGTTATGTATATATAATTTCAAAATGACTACTGGGTAGCGATGAATATCACAATAACATTAGTACCCATGTTGAGTAGCACAGACTTACATCTTTCTCCTGTATTGTACATTCCTTACAATAGTATGCATCAGACACCCCTGGGCCTCCACATATGGTACACCGTCCTTGATAAGAGCCATAATTACATTCATCACAAATACGAACTAGTGTACATGGGCGTACATAAGAATCGCATATGACACACTTCCCATCACCTACATGTATATATATATGCATAACATACAATTATATACATGATGTGACAATCTATAGCACTCCAGTGACTTACATTTTTCACAGAGCCTGCCAATAGCTAATAAAATAACAATTAATAATAACAGTGAAATAAAAGTAACTACAATTTACCTACTCCTGGCTGTTTCCTACACATAATGAGATCAGGGTGATGCTTCGCCATGTTGAATCTCTTACCTCGGCCACCTCCTACTTTATCTTGGTTGCTATGACAACGATAGCCAAAACAGCTTGTGCCAATGAGGCATGAGGTAGCCGTTGGTTGTTAGTAAGTACTAGTTGAGACTCTCACCTGCAGCCTGGATGTGTAATGACCTACTGCACTTCGGAGGTAGCCCTACGTGTTCGGCCCATGAACCATGAAGAGTTCAAAATGGGTGCCAAAGTCACTGCTCGCACAGTTGATAGTAATGTGAGTTGATACACATGTACTTCTTGTAATAAAGGCATCTACATTTTTCTACCTGCAGCTTGTGGTAATTTTAGATCCAACAGTTGATCCTGATGATATTCTGCGTGCCAATCGCTCTCGAGAAAAGCAGTACATATTTGACTATGCTTTTGACCAGATGGCTACACAAGTCAGTGACACTGGTATTTTTTAGTTTTTTTTTCAGCATATTTTTAGGATGAGGTATATGAAGCTACAATGAAAAGGTTTGTGTGTGACATTTTGTCCGGCTTTAATGTGACAGTTTTTGCCTATGGACCAACAGGTTTAATGCACGTACATGTAACCGAGTCTATTATAATCAATTTATATAGGGGCTGGAAAAACTTACACAATGTTGGGTACTCCTAACAGTCCTGGAATCATGGTTCTTACTCTCAATGATTTGTTTTTTAAAATGAAAGCTACTGAAAATGATGTGATTTACAGTGTCACAATGTCTTATATGGAAGTATGTTATGTATCATTTGTGAATTGATAAAAGTATCATTTGGCAATTGGCGGATTATTAACTTTATCACTAAAGTGAAAAAAAATGTAAACTTCTGTGTGTTCTGTTAAAAAGTAAAAATCATTACAGAATAACTTTTTGCACTCTGTGCAGAAATTTAATTTTCAATGGAGCATGGCAAGTTGAATTTTTTACAAGAAAGATGAATTTAAGTAGCTACCGTTTGTAAATTATTGTCACATATTTTTATGTAATTAAACTTGCATAAAATTCAATTAGATTTACAACGAAATGATCAGAGATCTTTTGGATCCAAAGAGAGGAATTCTTGAGCTTCGAGAAGATGTAAATGGAGAGACTGTAGTGGCTGGTCTTTCAGAGATTGAAGCTACATCAACAGTACAAGTAATGGATCTCTTAAGCAAAGGAAACATGTGTCGAACATGTGAACCAACTGCTGCAAATAAAACATCATCCCGTTCTCATGCTATATTAAAAGTAGTAGTTCGTTCAAGGAGTCGTGTGATGGATGTTAGTCAGGATATACACATTGGCTGCTTGTTTATGGTTGATCTTGCTGGGTCTGAAAGAGCATCTGTTACTAAAGTGAGTAAACACCTTTTGTTTTTAGTAAAAAAGGTTTTTAACACTTTAAGTGGTAATAAGTATGTCTGGCACATAAAATATTTACACCCAATGTAGAATAGAGGCAAAAGAATGGTTGAAGGTGCACATATCAATCGTTCACTCCTTGCTCTGGGAAATGTCATAAATGCTTTAGCTGCTGGCCATGATAAAGTCTCTTATGTTAATTTTCGGGACAGTAAATTGACAAGAATATTGAAGGACTCACTGGGAGGGAATGCTAAAACTGTAATGATTGCTCACATTAGTCCTGCAAGTACATCTTTTGAAGAATCAAGAAATACTTTAAAGTATGCTGCAAGATCAAGGAATATTAAAACAAAGGTTAATTATTTCACGATATCAAGAGTAGATGATTATCATCTACTCTTGACGATATGTATTTGTTGCAACCATTTTTTATTTAGATTCATCAGAATGTTTTGGAAGTTCATTACCATGTTCTTCAGTACAATGACATTATCACACAATTAAAGTACAAGATAGCAACTCTGCAGGACAAAGTCAAACATTGCCATTGTTCAAGAAAACCTAGTACATACATGTAACTAATTTCAGAATAAAAATTAATTACAATGCTATTTTTAGTGGTACCTCATGAGCTTAAGATGTTACTTTCTGATCATCTAGAAATACAGTAATTAAAATAGTAAACTTTGAATTACATGTAATATTATAATGCTTTTTGCAGGCAGTCATTATCTTCTATTAACTTGCACTCACTACAAAATACAATTGATGCTATGAAACTTTCATCAGTTATTTCTGAATATGATTTTAGCATCACATGTAAGCATTATTTTTACAATAAAGCATGACTTCATTACTGTAGCAGTAGGTAGAACAAGTCTTGATGCAGATGCAAAATTTCACTGCCTATGTGATGGTAAAGATATATCTCAAGCAAGAGTGGAGTTGGCTACCTTAAACAAAAAAGGAATGGAAATGGAAGGATGCAAGAGAGAATTAAAGAAACAACTTGCTGTATTAGATGCTCAGTTGGTAAAATTTAAGGAAGTAAGTGTCAATTAAATTTATGGACTGAGCATTATAACTTTAAACTTTGCAACAGAATATGAAGAGTATGCCAGTACAGTACCAACAACACTTGCAGTATGTCCTTACTGGTCATCATTTACAACATCTTAAACTTAATCATGAATTGGATACAGAATTACTATCAATGAAACAAGTAATGTATAACGATGTGATAGCAGAACTTCAGAGACATAGTTCATCTGCTTTTCAATTAGCTGAAAGGCAATCTTTATTACTTAAAGGTGCATACCTAGCACTTAAATGAAAAAATTTAGTTTATATTAACACAGAAAATAACATATCTGTTCCAGAAGAGTTGTGTGACAAACTTCAAGATTTAAAAATAAAGAAAAAAGTACTTGATCAACAAATGGAAAGCAATCATCAAAGATTTGGCTCTGATGAAAAAACAGCATTAATGCGTCATTCTGGTTACACTGACCTAACGGAAACTGAACGAGATTTCAGTAGAGCAAGGAGTAATTTATCTGTATGTGATGTAGCATTGAAAACCGAGAGGTAACTATAGTTTTTTGCTTATACCAATCTATGTGACATAAATTTATAGTATTGGTTTACCAAGTATTCTACCACAATCAACTACCTCATTGGGAAGAACACGATGGGCTGATCCTGAAATACAAGTTCCAGTTGAAATTACATCTTCATTTCCTGCTTTGTCTCCAGTTAATTTGTCTAATTCAAAATCACTGCCTCTGCCTAGATCTGTTCATTCTTTACCTGCCCTTATTCCTGGAAACCAGTTGCATCCATCACCTCATGATGATTTTTCTAACAAAACAGTCCTACTTAGTGTCCCTCGAGTCTTAACCAAGCAGAAGAATAATGAGAAAAATGATGACACTACTTTTGTTGATGTGGAGAGTACTTCTATGTCTTCATTAAGCACAGGAAAGTCTCAAACATTGACAAAAGCATCAAAACCCTCAGCTCAAAATTACAAAAGAGGTTTTATTGATCACTTTTGATTATGATATCAATTAATTTTATTAGGTATCCAAAATCAACATTGTGCTAAATTGAAGGGATCAAAAGGAGTGATTCCACATGATTCTACTAAGCAATTGAAGGTTAAAAATGCTCAAAAGAGAACATCTCTTTTGCCTGCAAGCCATCAACGAGCTAGACTGGGTCAGAGCAAGAGTGTCTTAGTACCTCATAAAGGTATAATAATTGTTGTATTATTGTCTTTACAATGATTGAATCAGTTGTGGCTGATGGAAAGAAACTGCAGCATGGAACTTCACCATACCGAAGTTTGGTATCTCTTAAACCAAAGAAAAGTGTGACAAGTATGAATTGTAGTCATTTGCACCAATGTTTTTCTGTTGTTTTTAGGTCAAAGGAAATGAAGTTTTTTGCAAAATAATGTTTTTTATTACTTTCAAATCTTGAATCAATGATTATGTTTATAATAATTTTTTTTGGAATTAAAATTGACAAAGTTGATTAATTTATTTATTCTTGCATGCATTGAGCAAAATTGTCAACAATTTCACAATGCTTAGCTTTTACATGTACTGTGTAAGTGAAATGTAAACCAGCAGACTTTGAATATTGCATCAGTTGTTCCTTAAATAAAGCTTTGTATGCATGTACATTGAGAAGAAGTATCTATTGGATGGTCAGTGTTATACTTGCTAAAGAAACTTACTCAAATGGATGCTATTGTTTCATTGATCTACTCATGCTATACCAATGACACAGCTACAAAGGCATGAAGAAAAAATTGTCTTATTATAATTGTGCAGGCCACAGCATGTAGGACACGAACAAAAATTAATCATGCTTCTTTGTTTTTATGCTTTATTTTGTAGCATGGTTGAGTATTCTAGCTTTATCTAAACATTAAATTTCTCTAAAATTAGCATTTATTCATCATTATTTTACATGTGCTTTGCAAGTTCTTTTACACTAACAAAGTTGTTAATAGCATAGCATATAGCGTGTAGCATAGTAGCTGGCAACTTTATTGGCATTTGAAGTTCCATACAGATCCTTTTGTTGTAACTAACTCTTTGACGCTATCTACCCGCCAGTAATATGGTACAGCAGATTTAAGTGATCCTGGATCAAATATATTAGCTGGACTGGTCATAGTAACTTTGTACTCTGGTGATGATGTTGTAGCAGATTGCACTGATGATTCAGAAAGACCAAAATACACATCATGCTTATCTGCATTGTAACCTGAAAGCCACATTAAATGGCAATTACATTTTGCTGTATTAGTGCCATTTGGTGGAATAGGCATACTACTAGCAGTGTCTTGATGACCTGGTATCCAGTAAACTCCTCCATGAGCCATTGATTCCTTGCCATATGGTCCAACACCTTTTAAAACTAGATCAGAGTCTATAATTGGGCGAAAATCAAAATTATCAGGATCACGTAGTAGGTGCCGAACATCACCTTTAACATTATTGATATACTGACCTGGTAAGTCATATTGACACTCTGATGTTTTAATAGAGCTACATGCTCCGTTTTGTAGAATGTTTCCTTTTGTTACAGTGTGGCTGTTCTCTCCTTTCGCTCCATCTCCAGGGAACCCATATAAACAAAGATCAAAATATAGCTCATTGTCAAATGCTAAGTTGTTGTAACAATGATGATTATCACCTTTCAGTCTGATCCCACGTGTTGTCCATACCACATTATGTCTCATAGTTCCATTATAGCCCCATAATGCACCATCTACATCAGCTCTATCAAACCTCAAACCCCACTTCCTTGTATCATAACACCAATTATACTCCAATACAGATCCATTTTGAGCATAAATGTTAGTTTGAACATGTGATCCATCACCTTGCAAGTATTTAAGATCATAGAAGAGATTGAGGCGAACCTCTGATCCAATTGCTAATCCAAGTTTTCTGTCAAAAGTGTCTCCGTTTCCAGGGGCATAGCCTTCACAAGGTCCATTGCTATGGACAGTGTTGCGTACAAACACATCTCTAACTCCTTCTGATCTCAATAGAAACCCATCTCCTACACATGTAAAGTCATTGTATCGCCATATATTGTTCTCAAAAACTCCATCAGCACCTCTGTAGCTCATTGTTTGACCATCAGCATATTCAAAAGTGCAATTGAAAACAGAGAAGTTACCAGAATTCTGGACAAGGTCACCATTGTAATAAATAGTTGTTGTGTTAGGAACAGCAGTAGATCCCAATGCTCTATGACTATATGAAGGATAAGAAAAATAGCATGACTCAAGTTTAATGTTATTTACGTCTTCGGATTTTGACTGAGCTCTAACATGTACTGTAGTGGCAAAGAAATTTAATCCTGACAACGTAATATGAGCAGATCCATTATTAATGAAGAATGCATATGTTGATACTTTACCACGAATGTCATGGTCACTGGGGTTTTTATTGATATCACTCAGCCAAACATATACTCTCTTCTCTACAGGGTCAAAATACCACTCTGTAGGAGAATCAAGAAACTCTAACTTGTCCTCTAAAAAGTACCGACAATTTTGAGCAATGAAATGAACAGCTTTTGGCTTTGAAGGAACATAATAAGCAAATGAGGCATTTCCGATTGTGTGATTAGTGACAATTCCGGCCCATGTTAACCATTGACCAATGTTAAGAATTGCTATTGCTCCTGTAGCATTAATACCAGATTTGGCCAGATGTGTTCCATTATCAATCATCACTCCAGTGCTTTTTTCTAGGTTGAATGTAGACTCTTTTGAAGAGAATCCCCACTTTTTGTAATCAAATACAGACTTATCATACCAGAAAGCATTTGGCCATCTTGCATTGATCTGCATCTCACCATCTACAAACAACTGCCAAATATCAAAGTCAAGTTTAAGTGAATAGATATCATTTCTGTATATCTCCCAATGTCCCTTAATACTGGTGGTGCCATCAAATATTACTCTTTCCCCTGGATAAGACTTGAACACAATAGGTGCATAAACTTTTCCTTTCAAACCATTAATAACAACTGCTTCGGTATATGTTCCTCCTCTAATGATACATGTATCTCCAGATTTGAGAAATTTTACCGCTTTGTTGATGCTCTTCCAAGGTTTTTGTAGTGTTCCTGGATTATCATTTGAGCCATCATTCACTGAAACATAGTATTCTTTAGCTTTAACAAATTGAAAAGTAATTATTAGCAGCACTGTATATAACATTAGCTGCACATTCATCATGAATCAGCCCCACCCTTTAGCTGCACAACACCACAAGAATGAATACTATTATTATGACTCCAAATTGTGAAATCTTTTATCATACTAATTTTTATAGTCACTCCATTTATTTATTGTGGTATGCATTACATACTAACAGTTATAAATTATTTTCCATGACAATGCTTTTTTGGGGATAAATTGAAGTTTAATTCATAATTCATTAACAAAATTAATGTTTCAAGATCTAGATCTAATCAAAAAAATCTCAGGCAATGCTCTTAATGTTTAAAAACTGAATTAGAACCTCAATAAAATGAAACTGAAGGATATTATGATGAACTAAATGACTCTATAATTTGCAATTATTGGATCTAGTAGCTATTACGCTGATGACTGAAGCAATTAGAACAAAACAACTTCTGTTACAATCACTTTATAGCAGCTGGACATAATTATAGTGTCTATTGCAACATTTTGTAAGAGGAGGTACCAAAATTAAAATCTGCATGCCTTCATGCCTAGCAGTTGATAATCATTAGAGGTGAATGTCTTATTGTGCATTATGCCACTGATTCTTTAGTAAGGTTCATTTTTTAGGATAGTGCAGTATCGTGACAGTCAATCTGTCAATATGTACCTAGTTTGTTTGCACTCATGCACCTATAAGTGTGTGAATAACTGAGGGGCTAAAGTGAACCCCTCTAAGATTTTTTTGCATTAAAGTAACTGTTCCTATTATTAATTATGGAAAACTTGAACATCTGTCTACAGCACTTTAGAAAAATAGTGCTGTTTCTTATGGTGCCATTAAATGCTTTCATTGGATTGGAGACAAATCATCAGTGTGACTGATGACGACTAGATAAAAGAGAAACATTCGGACAAATGTTTAGCACAGCAGCATAGTCAGAATAGTCTACAGTCAGCAGTCAGCAATGGAGATCTACTTCCTGTTAATGCTTCTAACATCCTGTTTCATCGCCGCCATAGCAACCAGAAAGGATACGCCTACTTGCTTTGAAACAACAGATATCCCTCTTGTCAATCATGTCTCAACAAGGTGCTGTTCTCCAAAGTTACAACAATGAATTGATTAAATGTAAGTTAACTTTCAGTGTAGGGCTACAGGCAGTTTCCCATAGTAATTTTTCATTTTATTTAAAACTTCACAGTGTAAGTAGAATAAGAAAGAGTTACAGGGATGAGAGATCATATAATTACAGAGAGAACACTAAAGAGGATAGCCTTGGATAATACCACCTGATCAGCTCCATAATAGAGTGAATAAAACATCATACATGTAGGCTTGGTTTTGTTGGCCAAGTCATTTTACACCAAAGTAATATGTAATTATGTACTGAGGGTTTCCTACTCATGCTGTTGATCTCCCATTCTTACATTTTTTCTGATATGTGTAAATGTTCTTATGTTGTGCTAAAATTTGCTAATCAACATTGGATTTTTTAAGTTGGTCAAAAATTGGGCCAATATAGCCTTTGGTCTTATGGCAAATTAATTTTGTCAAAAATTGCTAGGAAAAAAATGGCTATGCATTTCTCAATATCTAAAATTTTTATGATATGTACTCATGTCCTATATCAAATTTGAGCTGAATTTAAATCAAATTAATTTTTATGAATTTTTAGAATTTGGTGAAAAATTAAGCAAAACACTATGTATTATAGTACAAGGACTTTGGCCTATAAACTTTTATATTCTCCATTTTATAATTTTTCTGTTACATATACATGTACCTGTTTTAATGTTATACTGAAAATTTCAGCTAAACCTGATTCTGATCAATGGATTTTTTATGAATTTTTAATGTTGCTTCAAATGCTATTTACTGCATTAGTCTTGCATAGCCAAACTCCTCCCCTTTTTCATGTTGGAGTACTGGTACCCCATTTTAAAAAAGGAAAGGAATCTGGCTACACAAAAGTGCATGTAGTACTGCTTGTCAGCTTATGAGCATACTGTTTAGCTCACCTACATTGTAGCAGTTAGCATGCTTTGTAGGAAAGTGAAACCCTGTATATACATATACAGTATATAAGTATTATGTACTTGCATTTGCATCTGTGGACAGAGGTTTTTACTCCCTTTCCTTTACTCTAATATCTATTGTTTGAATGTGCAATTAGATTAATTATTTTATTAATGATTTACATATCAGATCTGAGATCTCATTACCTAAATGTATGTGATTAAGCATATCCATCTTACCTGATAATAATAATGATAATAATAATAATAATAATAATGATGATGATGAAGATAATAATAATAATAATAATAATAATAATAATAATAATAATAATAATAATAATAATAGTAATAATAACAATAGTGATCACCTTGAATTTAGGTATTGAGGACTTATGTTCAAAAAGAGATGAACTTCATCAACAGATTTTACAAGAAGAAGAAGAAAAGCAAAAAATTCAGAACGATTTGCGTATATTAACTGAACGTTTGGCTCAAGTAAATGAAGGTCTTGCTCACAAGATTAGCACTAGAAATGAATATGACAGAACAATAGCTGAGTGTGAGATGGCATACAGAAAGGCAAGTTTTTGATTAATGATTTTGATTAATGCAAGTTATTGATTCTGGTGTCTCTTTGATCTTAACTGGTGCACTTTCTTATAGATTGTGCAACATCCTTTGTTGGCAGTGGGAGCTTTTGCCAAAGTGCCTGTAATTATACATGTACCTGTACTTGTGAGATCTATGGCTTGAATTTGGGAAGATCTGTCTGAGTCTGACAATGATGACAATTGCAATTGATATTATATGGACATTGTCCTGTTGTTATGAACACGTCATAACTGTATGTCAGGATAAATTTGTGGCGGCGAATTATTTGAGATTTTTCCCATACCCAGCAATTACTAATGGCTCCATGTGGTCTAACATGTAATTGATTTTATTGTTATGAGTATATAATTGCAGCCACAAATGATAGTTTGTAATCAAAATCATAATTATCTGCCTAATCGTGTCCTATGTAAACTTTTTATGCATAGTTTTAAATGCAATGAAATTCTAATGAAATGCAATAATTATATTGACAACTATTTAGTTTATTTGGCAATGCTCATAACCATATTAATTTGCTTTTTGATTCTGTCATACTAAATTAAAAGTTTTGAAAATGCCTGTTTATGTTTGCCTGTAACTCTGCTGCTCCAGGGAGTATAAAAGAGTTTTGTGCTCTAGATGACCCTCTTTTCATTTTATAGAGTTTTCATCTATAATGTTACATGTTCATGTACCGTACAGCAGGTAATTTTGGAAGGGCTAAAATTTGGTGAATTGCTAAATTTTGGTGATTGGCATATTTTTAATTTGGCAAATTTGTGACCGCATGCCACTGAGCATGCATATAATGGTTCAAAATGGCAGATTTTTATTTTGGCGAATGGCTATCAAAATGCCAAATTTGCCAAATTTAATCCCCTCCAAAATTACCAGCTATACGTTATTTGCACCAGTGTTAGCAGCTTAATCTCTTGTAACAGATTCATGATTTAGATGTATGCATGTAGATTTTAAGACTAAACTAGTAGTTATATTACTTTGGGAAATGTAACAATCACAATGGTTTAAAGTTTACTTTTAAAAAGGGAGAATAACACTATTGAGGGACACATTATTATGGCTTAATGCATTACACTGCATGAGAGAAAAATATTGCATTAATTTTTTTTCATTCACAGATGCATAATACAAAGCATTGCATGCATTATAAGTGATCCAGCCTTAATCTAGGTTTACTACATGTATGTGCATGTACGTACTTCACATTGTCTTAAAGAGCAATGTTAAAAATCAACTCGAGACTGTCTTATGTTGAATTCTCCAGAACGGACACAATGGGTGAAGTTATGTACAAATATATTGTAAACTTAGCTTTGAATTGTTCACATAGAACATTGCATTGCAACAGGAAGTATAAACACAAGGGTATAAATTTACATGTACATTATGTAAATATGGCCATTGGTAGTACTACCTACCGTATAGACGGAAAATTTTGCGGCAATTTAATTTTGCGTTTTCAATAAATTTTGAATGTTTTTTAATTTTGCGAATTAAAATTATGCGATTTGACCACGTTGTCTTGACCACTTATACGCCACGTGTACATCAAGATCGTTGATGGATTTTGGATTTTGTAACAATTGATAGCTGTGTGAGAGGGCATCATATCTACAAGGAAAACTGGGATCCTGTCATAGACGAAGTACTAGAATGTCACAAAGAAGCAAGCAACTCTCCATGATGCTAATGATACATGCCCATCGAGCCCACGTGATTTTAATTTTACAGTCTTTAATTATGCATTTATTTTTAAAACTCAAAGCGCATAATTAAATTCCCGCAAAATTTTTCATCTATACGGTACATGTATTCTAATGTAATTTTCATCACCTTTCCAAGATATTGCTGGATGTGCTAAATGTGTATAAAATATCTCGACCCACCCTTTCCAATCCTTTTCATTTTATGATACTACAGTTCCGATTCTTTTCTTTGGGGTTACAATACATTGTGGCCTCTAACCTCTATATAGTGGAGAATTCGGTAAAAGACAGTTTGACAAAAGTGTGAGGTTTTTTGTAGTACATGTAAGTAGTACTCTTCGCCTTATAGTTCTGCTAAGTGGTATGCGTAGTTATTCAGCAGAATTTGACACTTTAATTACTTCATTAATGTTGTTTGTTTTTAGTTATGTTTATTATTGTACAATATAGATTCTGGAAAGCTCTCAAACACTACTTCATGTCCTCAAGAAAGAGACATCTACATTGAAAGATAAAACTGCACCACCAGGTGGTACATCTACTGTCAGTAATCCTAAACACCCTCATGCTAATACAACTTAAAAATTTTGTTTTAATAATAATTTTTATAAATATGGTATAATTAAAGTGCATATAACCATCACTGTCATGGTCATAACTGCATCATGGATAGTTTAGTAGAGTTACAAAGCAGAGGTTGTAATAATAATAGTAAAGACAAGATAGTATAGTTAGTAGAGATGAATTCTATTATTAAAAAAATATTTATAATAATGCTTTTACTGCAATTGCATTGCCTATTAAGCCGCACCTTTTTAGGGGTGTGACCATTGACTATGCTGATCTTGAATCCTCATCATGGATTTTGATATGCCTTCCTTGGAGGAACCTACTGGGCCTAAATTTGTTGGAATACAGTTCTGTCAAGAATGGTAAGAAATGAACAGTGAATAGTAATCTATGCGGGTGTTGACCTTACTAGTGTGATTAATTTTGACAGTATGACAATTTTATTTCTTTTGGTGTAGAGCAAAATGTTGTGCCTCTTAAGCAAGAAAAATTAATTCATAGCATAGGTTTAACTGATCAAAAATATCTGTAATAGTACTAATAATAATAATAATAATAATAATAATAATAATAAATTATTAATAATAGTCGAACCAAATATAATAGTTGGTTGTGTTATAGTAATAACATGTTGTATCCTAAGGAAGATAAAGAGAGGAAAGTGTTACTACATGCAGTAAGGCTAAAATTAAGTGATAATACTCTTCCTTTAACCTTTAGTGCCGTAACTGTGAGTACTCACAGCCAGCAGGAGATAGTTGTATATATGTCAATAAAATAACTCATGAAGTAGAGTTAGTTTCGGAAGATTTAAATTGTAATTACACACTTATTTTTAGTGAACTTACACAAATAATAGCAGATGTATCTCAAGACCCTACACTACCAAGAACAAAGGATCATCCATGTCCCAAGTAACTACAATGTCAATGTTTAATATTGAAAATTAATGTAAATACAGATGTGATCATCGTGATGCTGTTTTCTTTCAATCACAGTCAAAAAAGGCTGAAGTATGTAATTAAGGGTTTAATTGCCTTCACATTTATGGTTCAATACAGGAAGAAATGAAATTATATTATGTATGTTGTTCAGAAGGTTGTGGTCACAGATGGACTGAATAAAGATTATATAAAAAACTACAGCACAAACAGTACACAATAAGAACTAGAATTATTTTGAGATAATAATCATTATAGTTAATCTGTGTTCAAAAAATAAAAAAAGCATTTTATGCTGCTGCTCCTCCACCCACACAGAAATCGTTTCTCCATAGACAAGCTCCAAGGAGAATCAATACACCAACAACAGCAACTAAGCATATCACAATAGCTGCAATGATACCAGCTTCTTGTCCAACTGAGCCAGTTGCACCGAGGGACGTCTGACAGTCTACCCCAGCTATACCAGTGCGGCAAGTGTCCTGTTTGCTACAAGTAGAGAAATTAATAATAATGTAATGTATATATTACAATAAGTGGCACTACTACAGCACAGGGCACTACCTTAATGATAATCATTGCTTACCTATACTGGCAATTTAAGAGGCTAGTTTCTTGTCCATTGCAGACTACATTTGCTATAACAATTGACAAATTACCAATTCCATGATTTGACGTTTCTACGGACCCATAACCAGCATAGCCAAGGCTGGAACAGACAACCCCAGCATCAACCGAACTAAATCCATCACCGCAGACTTGGCCCCACTTGTTGTGCAGGAAGACTTCTACCCTTCCAACTCGTGTGTCATAACTTCCATCACTATTTACCAAACGCAAATCACTAGAAGCAAAGACAAGAGAAACCAAGGACAGCAAAATCACAGCTCGAGACATTTCCAAGTTTCACAGAATCACAGTGCAAACGGCAAAGAGCAGTTCCGGAAGCTGCGCGCATGCGCACAAATTTTTCAGGGCCAGGGCTGCACACATGAAATCACGTTGCCAAAAATCTCATCAATAAAATTAAAAGTTAATAATAATTAATAATAACAAGAGTGAATAACTCACTCTTGATGATGATGATAATAATAATAATAATACTAATAACTGAAATTAATAAGGTGCATAACGATAGTCGTGTGATTGACTTGATGCTTTTGTCGCCTAAACAAAAAAGAAATAGATTTGGAGAATGATGATGATTATCTTGATGTTAAGTACATGTCAGTGTAAATGCAGTATTGAGTATTCAAAAGATTTTCCAGTATTAGAATCAGATACAGTACCATATCATTTCGTGCTGGATTTCAGTTACAGGTATCATAAATAAAAGCCAAGGAGTACTATACTTTGACATACTTTAACAGCTTCATAAATGAGTAGCACCCATGCAGGCATAGCTGGGGATTTATTAGGCCCCATATAATTGTACATGTACATGCAACACACTGTTACTTTACTTACTCCACTGTATCCTCCAGAATAATTGTAACTTTGGTTAGACTGGGACCACTGTGATCTAAAAAATTAAAATTAATAGTAGACTTTATACACAGATAGGAGTAAAAATATTTAGAAAAATTTGAGCAAACTAGATGCATAAAATATCTTTCTTCCTCTCATGCATCTAATGATGAACCAATAATGGCTTTAATGACAGAATTAAACAAAGAGTTGCAAAGACACAAAGCAATCAAAAGATAATAGATACTAACCACTGCTTTCTTAAACATAACATCATACACATCATTGTAATGCAGGACACACCACACAAATGTATAGTAAAATATTTCTAATGCCAATAAGTGCCTCTGCCTGTATACATATAAATGTCTAGAGAGCATTTAAGATTGACAATAAAAGCCCATGCTTGTTTAAAGGCTTTATCATGCCATTTTGACCATGTGGTTATGCTACAGGCAGGTGACAGAGAGCCTGAGACTTCAACTAAGAACTAAGAAGGAAGGTCATAGTAATAGTCTTCACCAAGAAATTTTCGTTCATAACACCTATCCTCATATACGTGTAAATGGCAATAAGCTGGCAGTTCTCTCACATGTGCAATTGCTATGGTACATACTGATGTGACACAACCCAATGGGAAAAACATGCTATTGTGGTCCTAACTACATGTAAAATATACCATAAAATGTAAGTAAATGTGTTGAATGAACTTAAGCACACAAAAATGGTACTATAAATCTACTTGCATTGTAACAAGAAGCAAGCAAAATACACATTAAATGTAAAACATTTGTGAAGTTCTACATTTATATAATGATATACATGTAGTTCTTACTGGAGATGGTGTGGTTGAGGTGGAGGTCCATAGTTTTGAAAGTTATAGCCTCCATGAGTATAGTCCTACATCACATAAAATAACTTTAAAAAATAAAAAACGACTCCTACATACTCCAATACATCACATAAAGTAACTCCTACACACGCAAACCAGAATTTAGGTAATGGCATAATACACATGTAATTTTGATAAACATACCAAATAAAATACCAGTAAAGCACAGAAGCTATGATGGCTATAAATTTAGCCCAAAATCAATTATGCATATTTAATTTTTGCAAATTTACACAGTCTGTCATCTTGTACTGCTAATAGGATTAAACTTTTGTCAATTCTCCATGCATTTTGAGTACCGTATAGCCAAAAAATTTCATGAAGAATAAATTTTTGTATTTTTGTGATACTGTTTGCATCACAAAAAATTAAACCCCCCGAAAATTAATATTAATTGGAGGCGTGGTTAACCACGCCTTACTAATAAACATGCCCTCGTGTCAAGTCGTGTTCTTGGTCAAGCTGATGTCTTTGTTACTCTGTATTGCTATTTTAGCCTTTTTAGGCATACTGCCTAGGTCAAAGATGATGATCTTCCCCATCACTGGTGTCCACACTGATTTGTAGACATGGTGCCCCTTGACACAAGATTCCGTCTCAAACATTGAATCTGCCATGTTTTAATTAAATAAAGCGTGGTCATTATTATTATTAAAATAAAATCACGAAAATATTTATCACGGAATTTAAAATTTCTCCATAAATTTCATTATTCACGAAATTTTAAGCCTCGAAAATTTTTGGCTATACGGTATCTTAAAATTTATAGCTGTCAAAAAAAGCTACATGATGATGATACATGTACATGCATAACCTTATGCTCATTCCTAATGTTTAAAAATATTGTTCTAATCAAGTAATTACACACTCACTTGATAACCTTGCTGTTGATGCTGTGGCTGATACCTAATAAGTATGTAATTACATAATACTTGAGAATTTACAAAATAATGCATGAAGTTAATATGTACACAAAGTCACAAACAAAACATATTTACAAGATACTTTGCAACATAAAATGAAGTACATGTGCATGCATGTAGTATACTACCAAATAATTTCCAGTTGCTTGTTGTAAAGATTGAGCTGAAATATGCATGTGATGCTGAGGTACATGTACCTTTGTATAAATTAATAAAATAGAAACATCCTGAAAGCAATTATGCAATTAAATTAAATACAGCACCAGCAGGAAGAATCAATAAGAACAGGTAAATTATTTATACCTTATTAATACTTGCCACAATTAAGTGTTAAGCTGAAATTTTAAAATTAACACTAATATTCAGACAATTTGAAGAATTACAATACAACAAAATGATACTGACACTAGCAAAAATATTATAACTGTTTATGCTCTTATGCAGCATCACAATGAGTTATTGACATTGTTCTCATACTTAAAGTAACCACACAAACACACATTTGATTGACACTTACCCATATCCTCCCTGATACTGAGAGTCACCACCACTCCTGTATCCACCACGGCCACTATTATGATACTGGTAAGAAGCATATTGATAATTACCACCATAAGGGCCACCACTCCTGGACCATGAAGATGATGATGGTGAACCAATGTTTTGAGATGATGGCCATGGGCCACGTACATCTATCAATGGTATTAATTCTTATACATGTATACTAATTTGCAATACTGTATAACGCTTTAATTTGGCGGAGTTTTATTTTGGCGATTGGTGGTTTGCAAGCAGAATCGCCAATATTAAAACCGCCAATCATTTAATGCACATGCTCAGTAATGCATGTGTACACAAAAACCGCCAAATTAAAAACCGCCAATTACAATTTTACAGCAAAATCGCCAAAATAAAGCACCACCAAAATAAAGCGTTATACGGTATTGACACCCTTGTCAAAGAAGGAATTATGAATTTAATTTGAGGGGCCAAGAAACCATCTCCTTAAATGTTTGCAAACATTTGTAAGCTACTAGTACAATCATCAGGTTAGCTTACTTTTACTCTTAGGTGGTCCAGTACGTGGGGTTGCTTCATTAATCTATATAAACATAACTAACAAAAGCATTGGAATGTGCTTTACCTCAATCTTTCGGCCATCAACAACTTTGCCATTAAGTTCCTCTTTGGCCCTTTTCGCGCCATCAATGTCAGCTAAAGTAATAAAACCAAATCCCTTTGATCCACGATCATTAAAAATGATTTCAACATCAACTATTTCACCATAACCCTGAAAATGACATGTGAAAAAAGAATTCAAAAACAAATTTGAAAAATAGAAGCTTATACTCACAGAAAACAGTTGCCTTAAGTCGGCTTCTCTGTATTTGAATGGTATATTACTTATATGAAGTCTTTTTGGTGCTACAGGCAGCTTTGAATTATTAGAGGATTGCTCTGGTGTATACGATGTTCGATAAAATTGATCAACTGACGGAGACGGATTTGAAGTATTTGAGTAGTTAGATGGCACAGTATTAGTAAATGAAGAGGAAGATACTGGTTCTGATGATGTAACCTGTTCGTTATGATGTGATGATGCTGTGTCTGACTGCGTAGTTATGTTCGTGCTCACTGATGGCTGCCTGTACATAGATTGTGATGAATAGTTTGAAGTATTGCAAGATTCTGAAAGGTGCTGACGAGAGTAGTGCTAAAACATAAAGAAAAGACACGCAGCATGAAGGTGACTAATTTATTCCTGGTTGAAACACATGATAATTCATGACAAATACTTACCTGTGATTGCAGATGAGATTCTAAACTAGACAACTGTGATGAGGAATCTTCCATACTATCATTTAACTTACCAGAAGCATTATCCACTGCGCCTTTAACAACTTGTGGGATGTCTCCAAGTGCCGCCATTTTGAAATAACGAAGCTCACGTGCGCATAACTTCCATAACAACCTTTACGCATGCGCAGTGCATTTTAGATTACACATAAAATTTAATTATTATGTCAATACATTATTTTATTTTAGAAATAGTAGAAGAAACATCACTAAGTTTATCAAGTTCATCCATATCAATGGTCATGAAATCATATGCTACAGCAACATTTGATGGTAAATCCTCAAATAGGTGCAACGAAAAACAGCTATGATCATGATGTCGCATATGATTATGATAGCGTTGACTAAAATGAGTAAGCATCAGAAATGCTGCATTCATGTGACGAGCTACTTGAATTGCCTCAGATTTAGTTGAATGAAGCCTAGCAACTGCATTAGCTTGCAAACTATCATCAAACGTTGCTTCATGAATCAGAAGAGACGCATCTTTTCCTGCTCTAACAAGGTCACGACAAGGTCTTGTGTCTCCTGAGTAAACTAGCTTCCATTTGTTTTTGTAATAAAGAATGATACCATGTGAATGTGTAGGATGACAAACAGGAACAAATTCCATTTTAAGATGCAAGGAAGGAAGAGATATTTCCTTCTTATCTACAGCAATAAAACGAAACTTCAGGCTGCTAAATTTACTACTGTAGTTCAGCAACCAATCAGATAAGTGTCTGGGTCCAACTACTAACACACTGTCATCATTAATACTGCTACCACTTAACTTTTGTATCTTTTGCAAAATACCAGTAACACCGAGATGATGATCATTGTGCATGTGGGACACAAATATACATTTGAGATTGCGCAGAACCTCATCAGCTAAAGTAGAACCAAAACACATGTAAAGTTGACTAAGTGTGCCTTCACCTGCATCTAAAAGCATGAATGCACCAGATGGCAAATGCAATAAAATAGAACTCACATTACGTGTGATTGACAAATTTGAAGCCCCAGTTCCCAGAAAGGTAATTTTTGTACGAGACGAATTGAATAATTTCTTGGTCAACTTTTCATGATATTCCATTAGCAACTTATTTTTTAAGTTCGATAGTAGATCATTAAAGTTAGATTTTAAAAATGGGTGTGCTTCAATAAAATCTATCAATTGATCATCTAGCATTAGATCGTTTAATACACTATCAATAGAAGAGCTGCACATTTTTGAAGAAAAGTTCTTATCAACCCCAAATCGTGTTAACGGTCGAATATGAAATGCCATTGAGCATTGTCCAATGATCACTGGACTATCAAAAGCAGGAGACAAAGATTTCTTATGACTTACTGTAGTTGGTAAATTGAAAATATTTGGTTCCACCAAATGAAGCAGCATACTTGAATAAAGACCAGGCTTAATAGCTATTTCTGAAGGACAGAAGTCAGGGTGCAAAAGAATATGCTGGCACTGATGAAATTGCTTCATCCACTGGTTATATAAAGTGGTTTCTAAAACAGCTTTTGGTGTAATATGAACAACAACTACAGGTTTGAGTTGAGGAGCATTGAGGAAAGGATGAGTGGTTATATCCTTCAAAAAGCCTGGATCAGGGCATTCCAAGACTAATGCCTGTGGTCCAACTTGTTCAGGTTCCAAAACTTGATGAGGATACACAGCATTTCCATTTATAGAAGTAACAGAAACCCCATTCAATAATGCCTTAAAGTCTTGGACAGATACAACCCCAAGTTCAATTGCTTTTTCTTTATCAGCTTTTCCTCTCAGTGTAGGCAACTGAATGACATAAGCGGCAATTGACTCTGACACAGTTTTACATAACGTAGATGGTTGGAGCTCAACAGCAGTCACATTTATGTCGTTGAATTTTAAAGTGGTAGGCTCATCAGATCTTGGAGTGAATGTTGCGTCATCGAAGTCCACGAATGATTTTAATGAATCACGCAAGAAAGTGAAACCACAAGGGCCAGTTGCAACAGACGAGTGAGAGGATTCTGGATTCATTTTAACCAATGTAGAGAATATTCCCCCCATGTTTTCCCATGAAGACTTTGTTAGAAAGATGTGGTTTACTGTGGAAGGTTTAATGGAATTACATGCTAAAGAAAGAAGTGCACGCTCTGGGCAATTGAATAAGTACCTTCCTGAACCAGTTGACAAACAGAGAAATGGAGAAAATTCAGACGAACCAGTTCCCAATACCAAAAGCTCACAAAAATTGCTTATTGGAGTACATAATAGACGACATCGACCAAGAATTGTACCACAAGCACTTCTACGCCAGAGACTGAATCGGATGAGAGGGATCATTCTTGAGAGAGACCACGTTGTCTAACTTCAACTTGTTCAAGTTTAATATTAATTTTAACCCAGCCCATAATAAAAAATGAATAATACAAAACAAATAATTCAATGCTAATTAAAAAACTCATTAAAACTAATACAAAAAAGCAGGAGCTACACCAACTCCCATTCCACTTCTTCTGATACTCATTTTAGCGACAGATGTCCATTTGTCTTTTTCAGGATCATAGCGATCAACACTATTGACTTTTGTGAGACTGTCACAGCCTCCAACCACATATAATAGTCCATCCATAACAGCAGCACCAAAACCACCTCTCTTTATAGGTAGAGAAGCAACAGAAGTCCACTCACATGTCTCAGGATTAAATTTTTGAACATGCTGCAATATTGTTGTGCCGTCATAACCACCGATAGCATAAAGACAGCCCTTCAGTGAGACTAATGCTCCAAGGCAACAAGGTGACATCATGTTAGCTATGACAACCCATATATCACTCGAAGGATCATACCTTTCCATGGTATCAAGAAGACAGTCTCCATCATGTCCACCTAAATTCATTAAAACAACAAGACAAAGGACAATATCATTGTACCTGCAGCATAAATATAATTGTCTAAAGCTGCAGCATACACAGCTCTCCTCTCAACAGTCATTGGTTGCACAAATCGCCACTGATTCTTTTTTGGGCAGTATTTTTCAACACTGTCATAATAAATACCTACATGATGTGTAATATAACTATGCAATGTACAATTACATAATAGGAATGTACATACCTCCATTTATACCACCAATGGCATACATACAACCATGTAACACAGCAAGAGCAAAGCCTCTTCTCGGTTGATTCATTGGTGCCATACTTCTCCAGGAGTCTGTCATCGGATCGTAACGATCAACGCTAGATAATGCTTTAGTGTCTGTAGCTGAAAAACCACCAACGGCGTATAAATACCCACCACATGTCGCAACTCGTAATCCAGACCGTCTTTGATTTAGTGAAGCAACTTGTCTCCATTCATTACGCTCGGCATCATAACACTCACAAATATCTAAGTATGGGTCATCTAAAACGGGTGGCCCAGATCCTCCAATCGAAAAGAGATACTCCAGACCAGGACACTGCCTAGGAGTTGTGTTCACACTTCTATTTTTCGCACTCCGTGTATCTCTCATATAATTCTTCTGTAAATGAAAGTCCATAGCTTCAATTAGGAGACCACGCCCATCAAAACTATCCATTACAAGCGGTTCACTCTGTACTTCTCGGCTTAGAAAAGCAGCAGACATTAGTGGCATCCTTACATTCTTTAGCAGTATGCCAACATGATCTTTTCGATTGTCAAGGTCATGCTTGATCCACGTAATGACAGCTTCATATATTTGTTCTTCCCCTCGAACATTTAAGTGACTATCAGAAGTAATATTAATTAATTCTTCAAGTGTCAGCTCAAGAAACTCTTCATGAAGAGCCACTTCAGGAAAGCGTTGCTGAACAAATACATTACACTTCTTCCAGAGGCGGTAACAGCTATGAGTGTCAGCAAACTTGCAAAAACCAAGACAATTAGAAGGATGAAGTTGGGCAATGAGAAAATTGCAGCAAGCTTCTTGGACACCATTCATTTGAAATAAACTGGCAGCTTGTAACAAGTGGAGAACATTGCTGAGATTAATGGTGAGAACTGATGAATAGCAGAAATCCAATAGGCTTTTAACAGCATCTGGGTCAAATTCTTTAATAGTAACTTCTCCCGTTACACTTTCCTTCATATCACCTGAAAACATGGCACGAAAATATAAAGAGCAAGAAGCAAGGACAACTTTATGTGCTCTATAAGTATGACAACCAACCTATAAATACATTAAGTACTAGCATCAATGAGCAATTACTTAGTGACATACTTTAATAATAACGTCACATAGCAAACCTTCTTCTCTCATACTCCAAAGGGAGGAAAATGCAGCTGAAGTAAAGTCTTCTGGTTCATAAATGAACTAAAAGTAAGAGGACAAGAAGTAAAAGTTGCAAGAGGTGTTTCTATTGTACATAAATGCATACGGTGCATTGATCTGATCATGGTGATATATCCCTAGCTGCTAAACAGCAGTGTTATAGCCCCCAGTAATACCTAGGGCTATACTCTGGGGTTACTAATATTTGCTTAGTTACAATGTATGCCTCAGGGGTCTGAATGAAGCCATGGATGCAATGCCACCTGTCCACACATAACATGTATACTGCCTCCCACTACCAAAGCCTAATGGACACTTATAAGAAGCAATTAACACTACACTTCAGTCAATGGTTCATTGCTGCACAAGCATGCATGGCAACAATGTTTTGATTTATAATTGGTGCTTATATGCATTATGAATATAAAAATATCAATATTATGTGAATTTCTTGCTCCAATTTGTTAAATAAAAAAAATCAATTATGAAAAAAGACAAATCACACATGTTCAGTCATGCTGAAGTTAAATTTTCTATCATTATTAAAAAATTTTATTTCTAAGCAAAAACCCTAGATTATACGACAATAATATGATTTATACTAACAAAACATGTAGAAAATGCACTAAGACATGTACTATGTATAACATAATGTATAGCTCAAAACTTTCAAAGTTGACAACTTTCACAGTTTAGGCATTACACAAAGTTTTAATCACAAAAATTTTTAGGGTGTGATTGTGTAGGCGTGGACTTGCCTTAATTAAGTGAGCATGTATGTCTTAAAATGGCACTCTATAGAGCGGTTTCATATGACGTCGTAGCATGTGTCATAATTACTTCCGTATCGCAAAATGGCAAATTTGCCATTCACTTGTACAGCACTATAAACTCTTCTGGCAGGCTTCCTTAAATATTAGCATGGCTAATTCATGCTGTTCTTTGATTTGCCTAGACTCAGGGATGCAAAGGAAACAAGAAGTCCTTGGATAGAGAACCAGTGAAGCGGCCGAAGTGAACACAGTCTTGTCTTGCTACTCCTATAATTATTGCTATCGCTACTTTTCTGCTTACTACTGCCATAATTGTACTCCTTTTCTGCCTTGTGCTGTTATAGAAGAAGCAACTTTACTGCTGTAAACAAATGAGGCTCATAAATTTTTGCCATACAAAAGTCATTATGACGTCAAAAGGTGACACCACTGCAACCGCTTATTAGCTGTACCTCGGAAAGAAGAACAAGACTCTATTACACTCATGCTTTTAATTTGCTTGATACTGTGGGCAGGCATTGCAATATGTATCCACCAATCATCTATCATGTACAGTACTGCTCAGCTATAAGTTTTCATTTACATGAGTGATCTCGAGCATTACCTGCAGCATTACTTGCAGCATTACTTGCATTTGCTACTAGCAAGAATACATAATATCTTGCTACTAGTGCACCACAAAACGAGATAAGTACGTGATAAATACACAATACAGGCATTACTTTGTACATGATAAGTAAACTTATACCTGAGTGGTAGGTACTGTATCTACTTGAATTTTCATGTTTTATATTGTATGTGCTTTTACTAACACCATTTAATTTTATGTATTAACTTGTATTTTGCTATGAACTTATCACAAAATAAACTGATACTAATAACAAAATAACTGGACTAATTACATTATTTTAAAAAAAGAGCAAGTGCTCAATGAGGGTAAGGAGAAGAAGAGTGAATATGACTAGCCGAAAGTGACTAAAGCATGAATACTGTAGCCCTTTTAATACTAGTTATTAAAGTTAATTGATTAATTAATGTACTTAATGACATTAATAACTATTAATAGTAGATACAAGAAGTATTGCTATGGCTATCTTATAACTACATCTCTCTACTTTTTCGATACTTTATCGTATACATGTAAATATGAGTATCATGTATACATGTGCAATGTCTGGCTGTGAGAGCTCTCCATAGGTGATGCCACCTTCAAGCATAGAGCTGCTAGCCACATCTTAATCTGGGCTATTTGCGAAAGTTTTATTATCATTATCATTATTATTATTGGGGCGAGCATTAGGGAGACCCACACTAATCTGTCTAGGTCTATTTGCGTTACGTCTTGTTTGTGAACGGAAGAATACGAAAATTAAATTAGCATACTAATGATAAATTTGGACCACGTGGGCAAAATTTATTTAGAGGGTGTGTTCAAAAAGAACAAGATGGCGGACATTTTAATGGGACAAACTCAGATTGAGTTTCTAACAGCTAGATAAAGAGAGAGGGGCTATCTAAAGCATCTCTAAAGGCTGAAGAACTTAAAAGCAGTTGATCTAAGACTCCTCTAGATTAGTCCTCTCATTGACAGAATTAAAATTATGAGAGAAGCTTGATTAGAAATTTAGCTTGCCATATTTTCTCAAAGTATTAGGACAGTTCATTCTTGTCTCTTTTACTAGGTCATTTTGGTCAGTGGTGTTAAATAGTGGGTTTGCTCTGTTCAGACCCAGCCAGACTATGAGGCTGGGGTCTGAATATGCATGCACGTTAAGAGCTGGATTGATTTTATTTCAGTAGTTTTATTTCAAAAAGATGTTAATTGATGGAAGCTTGATAACTATGGTAACATAACAACCAATCAAATTACAAAAAAACTTTTATTACTACGGCTAACTTTGGTAACTTAATGCTGGCACATTTTTCCAAAGTGACAGGATAGTTCATCCTTGTCTCTTTTAATGGGTCATTTTGGTTGTGTTGACAGACCCCGGCCATGAGGCCGGGTTCTGAATATGCATGCAGGCTAAGAGCTGGATTGATTTTATTTAGTTCAATTATAATTTCAATAGTTAATTGATGGCTCATGCTCGCCCCTTCAATGTTTACATTCACCCTAGTTATTATTATTATTATTATTATTATTATTATTATAGCTTTACAAATTCAGACAAAAGAGACACAATGATTAAGAGATGAATCTGAAAAACATATACCAACTTGTGGCAGAGCCTACATGCACAACACACACACACACAACACGCACGCACACACGCACGCACGCACGCACACACACACACACACACACACACACACACACACACACACACACACACACACACACACACACACCAGCAAGCAAATTGACTAAATAACAGTGCAAAGCACAGGCTATTTAATAATCTTAGATCTCATACAAATAGTTACAGGTGTTATGATTACGACTCAAGAGTGAGTGCTTTTGCGAATATCTTTCTTTTCACTCATTTGCAAAAGTTTTGAACCTCAAAAGTTTTGAGCTATACGATACCAACTTTAAATTGCTAAATTACGGCCATCTATCAATAAATTAAAGTTTATATTATAAAAACATTTCAATATTAATCTTTCATAGCAACATACACATTATGTGAGCGTTAGTTAAAACCATTTCTATAGGTAGAAGCACTGGAACAGAACTAAATTTAATTTCGTATCAATTAACTGACCAACGTGAAGTCAGGTGGCAAAATTACACTTAAGGTTGAACATATTAGTAGCAATTAAGATGAAATACATGCACATGTAATAGGGAATAGGTGATGTAGATAATTAGTAGGTAACAAATGGGTGGTGACAAGATGATAGCAGAATAATAAACATAAGATAGAGTAAAATTATGTTTTCCCATGAGGTCCAAAAGGAGAGGATTTAATCATATTGTGTGAAATTTTTTATCAGTGTTGTGCTTAGACAAGGAAAACTTTATGCAGCAAGAAAAAATGTGCATCTACATTTCATAATGTACAAGTATACACCATAAACCCAATAGCTTCTGGCAGAATGGTGAGTACATGATGGACCAAGAAAAAGGTCTTATATGTACATGTATATTGCACAAAATTTTTTTAGCTCTACAATAAGTAATTCTTAGTATGAGTGTGGTTTTTGACACTACCACATATTTTATAGAAATATTTTTTATAGTAAGCCAAGTTGCAGTCATGTAATTGTCATACAATTATGTGGATAATAGTTCACTCCATATGAAAAATAAAAGTGGATAAACGATAGTTTGGTGTGATTGTGGAGGCCTAAGCAAGTGTAGGGATCTAGAATCCCCCACCAGGCACATAACAGCATTATTTGCAAAGTATCCTTATACTGTTACTATTAAATTTCCAAACACAAAATTACACCCAAACAGCAGCTAGCTATTACAAATATTAGAGCAGCTTTACATTTAAACTTTAAATACAAGTTCCTACCAACATTAAAAGGCATATATAAATTCATTTGAATTTTTCGAGGCATTTTTGTAGGGCTCGGGCTATCACGAGCAAAGTGAAGAGCTAGATCTAGCACTAACCTGGGGAGCTTCTCTGTCTCTGGTAGATAAGTAAGGTGTGTATGATGGCCTAGAAGGTAGGAAAGACTCTTCAATTGGTCCTTCAATTTCCAGGTCCTCGTAGTAGCTTTCTCCTCGGCCATCCATTTTCTTTCGAATCTCCTCCCATTATATCAGTGGGTGTGCCACATGACATCTTCCTCAATTCTGTCGACATTTCACTGACAGCACGTATCGGCTGTCGGCTGGTTGTGTTGTGTCTGGCTCACTCTCTGTTGTCTGGTACTCAGCGGCAGGACTGAGAGCTCTGTTTATTGGAAACTAAATGGCAGCGAAGCATTTTAACCGTTTCAAGCAACTGGCAGGAGAGAAGCTCTCAGTGTGAGTGTTAAATATGTCCATTTTAGTACTAACTCATCAATTCTGAAACAATTTACACAGTCGAGAGAAGTCAGACCGATTGACGTCAAGCTTAAGTGAGGTTAGAACAATGTTGGTTTATTGTGCCGTTGTGTTTGTGATCGGTGTTTGATTAATTGAACTTGAACTTGTTTGTATATAGAGGTTCCCCATCTTGAAAGTATCCTTTAAATTATTGATATTAAATGCAATGATGTTTGTATGTCACTGTTTGTACATTCACTTTACAGGCGGAGAAGAAAGTGGAAGAGATTCGTAGCAGCTGTCAATCAGTAATAAAGAGATTGCATGCATGTAATCAAGGTTCTGGTAGTACATTTGAGAAACATCAGGTATGCAATTATGTATACATGTAAGTCTGAGATAGCTTTGTTTTAATGTTTCTAGAAAAAGTTGCCACATTATGCATTAGGAGTAAGTATGATGGAGTCAGCAACTTCAATGGAAGCTTCTGTTTTATCGTAAGTGATGAGTTTTGATTTTTATCTATTGGACAAATGGATTGTTGCAGAAATATTTTAAAGGAAGTAGGCCAAGCTCAGTTAGATATATCTAGTCATTTAACAGAGTATGAAATGGCTATGGAAAATGATATAATTCAGAATATTAATTCTATATTAGAAGTAAGTCTGTTTTCTCCTGATGGTACCAAATGGTGCATAACATAAGATTAATCACTAAAATGTGTCACTATTTGTGTTACTTTGTTTTGCTTATGATTAGTAACTATTTTATATTTTAGGAGTGTAAGAAAGTTGACAAAGCAAAAAAGAAACTTTCTTCTGCTCGACTCGATATGGATGGAACTAGAAATCGGTTATTAGTGCCCGTTATGCAATGTTTTGAGTATTATTATTTAAAGGTATCAGTCTATTCAAGACAAATTTTCTCCCAGAGCAGAAACAGTGAAATCAGAACTTGATCAGGCAATATCTCACTTTGAACAGTGCCAGGTTTGAGGCTTTTTTGATATGTACTTTTATTTGTAAACTCAGGACACTTATGCCACAGAACTTTTTTCATTCTTAAGTAAAGAAAGAGAATTAGCTGATTTAATGCATAAAGTGAGGTTACCTTTTGTCATTTCAATTGTAATAGTTTACATAATTGTTATTAGATGACTGTTCTTCAAATTACACATCTGAAAGAAAAACTCAATGTGTTAGATGAAATACTACCACGCCTAAATAAGACATTAGGTATGTTACATGTACTTTGTTGTTTTGCATATCATCTTTTGTGATGCCAAATCATGCTATTATGTTTGATGTTTTTGTTTCAGATGTGAGTGCTGAACGTCCAGCTTTTGGTTTCTGTTTATTGGATCATCTTAAATTGACTGAAAGGACCATCTCTTATGTTATAGAAGAATGCTGTTTAGAATTAAGGAGACGGGGAATGAAAATGGAAGGGATATTCAGACTTGCTGCTAGTGCTGCTAAATTGAAACTTCTTAAAGTATCTGAATATCTCATTCATTCTATTGTGCATTTAAAACTTATTAGAATGCGTTTGATGCTGCCTCTGCTGACGTCTCAACTCATGATCCACATACAGTCGCTGGTAAGGCCTTGTCATTATGTTTTTAGTTTGCAGTGTTTGTTATACATGTAGGTGCATTGAAGCAATATTTAAGAGAACTACCGGATCCTATATTAACGCACGAACTTCATGCTGATTGGGTTGCTGCCGCCGGGTAACTAATATATTCCTTATTATTGATTATTTTACCTATTTCATTTAGAGTTGCTAATGAAGGTGAGCGAATGCAACAGTTATGGTCTGTAACACAAAACCTTGCTCCTGAGAATCGAGAAAATTTGAGGTAAGCCCACTGTTGGAAACTCATCTTTTGTTGAAGGACATTTATCTTATATTCATGAGTTTGTTAGTGTCCACAAGGTACAGTAATTGTAGATCATTCCATTGACTACCTACACAAAGAATTGTGGCTGTGTATATTTTACATTGATCTTTTCAAGCTTTCAAAAATGATACCAAAAAGATATCAATGTCAAGTGTTCATTCTTGTGAACTATATGTCTGTAGCGACTTGTTGCAGGGTTCTGCCCAGAAAAAGATTAGAGGTGGTGGAGACTAACATTGTTCCTTTTAAACTTATGTACACCATACTAGTAGACTACAATATATGCTTTATGTATGGTTATTAGTATTAATTGGATGGTTGGCCTAAGTGATGAACTGGTTGGTTCATTTGTTGAGGTGGTTGTCCCGACCAACCCCAACCACCATAGGCAGAACTATGCTTGTACATGTATGTTCATTGTTGTACTCTTATTATGGCCAAGTAAATTTGTGGCTTCAGATGTGGATATAATATTGTACTTTTAAAATTAATACTACTTGGCGCAGATGTTCAATTTCCTATTTGTTTCAGATATTGCTAGCAATATTGTCAATACAGTTGGCATTACTGTAAATATCATTAGGTATTTGATGTGGTTCTTACATGATCTTTCAAAATACCATGAACACACTAAAATGAATGTGAACAACATTGCAATTGTTATTGGTCCTAATCTTCTGTGGTCTAAAAATGAGACAATGTAAGATTTATCTCTTCAGTGTATTTTATTGAGTCCAAATGTAGGCAAGGACTGGTTGGAGAAACAGCTCTGTATACAAGAATAGCAGATTGTTTTGTTAGGCATCCTTCATATTTCTTTGGTGACCCTCCTGCTTTACCTGATGATTTAGCTTCACCTGATGTAAAAGAGGAGCCTCCATTGTTTTCACCAACAAATGAGCCAAGCACTCCTGTTAGTAATGAAGACTGTGATTTTGAACAAGCTCCCACTGATCCTGGTGATTTAGAACGTAAGTTTGACAAAAATAATGAAATAATATTGACTTTTTGCTATTATTTTAGAGCAAGACACTTCATCACTAAATAAACCTCATGCTCTGCCTATTACTACTGAAGAAAGGTTTGTAGTTAGTAACTGGTTCCACTATTAATATATTTCTATGCATTAGACCTACTCCTCCTGCACGGAGAAATAGAAGCATAAAGAGGCAGCAACCGCAACCAGATGCTAGCCCTATACCTTCGTCTCCAAAAACACCAACTGGTCGTCCTTCGCGTCCTGCCCCTCAGCCTCCTCCTAGTCGTAGTAAAGCTCGTCCTCCACCTCCATCACCACCACGTGAAAAATCATCCCCAGCACTTCTGAAAGAAAAGCCATCACCTCCACCTCCTTTCAAGCCAAAGGACTCTTCGGTTGATGAAGAAACAGTGCTCTGATACATAATGTACGTAACTATACTTTCTTTGTTATTTAGTGCACTAGTGGAAGATGTGACTTTATTTCAATTTTACCATTAAGTTGTTGTGTTCAGTGTTCCTGTTATTGATTATTAATTATTATTATTATTTTATTTAATGATTATACTATCCAGTATCCAGAAATAAATGTAAGTGTTGAGCGATGTTAATGAGCAAAAAAATGGAGTAGGATGCATAATTGACACTATTACAATTTTGTGTCGTGCCAGGAGGTAATGGATGGAAGATGACAATGGTGAAGAATTTTGTAATTAGCATTGCATAAAAATTAATTTACTACCAAGACCAAGATGAAGTCTTTGTGATGGCAAGTTGCTCAGTACTGCTTTTCAAACAAAGCAAAGTCATTATAGTGTTAAATCACCAAAATACATTAATTTTTGTTAAAAATATAATTACCAGTCACATAAAGGAACTAACAAAGACTCAGTTCATTTAAGGGTTGATAAAAATTACATCAGCCTCAAAGCATCCATGATAATGGATTTTGCTATAAGACATCAAAGTATTATCAACAATAATATGAACTGCTATGGACAGAGTAAAAAGTCTATATTCCAAAAGACACCCCACCACCACTAATCTCCTTGCTTTTTAAGATTTCTCTTTAAAGGTCAAGGAGGATGAGAATATTCAGAAACGAGATTTTCCATTAGGACCATCACCGACAAACTCATGGCCCAATCCATTTCCACATTTTGAACATGATACCTATTTAAGAAAAGGAATCATTAATAAGGCCAGTACAAAATCTACATAAGGAAAGTTTCTATAATACTGTAAGTGTACATTGACAGAGCCATGATTTTAAGTACTTCAGCATAATCAATAACTATATACCCTTTACCAATAATACATGTAGTCCCATATTATAGTCAGTTTCTTTTAGGCAAGGAAATAGCATTTGATGCCTCGTCTCATTAATTTGATTATTGTAACTAAACTTTAAGCACATGCCCCCAAATTCTTAATAAAATTCCAACAATGAGGACAATAGCATGAATCATTGATTCTATGAATTTTAAGCTGGAGGTCCATGGGGTCCATTTAAGGCTTACATGTACAGTACACAATTTTACACAGCCTTTGAAATTGTAGGCTAATGTTGCATTAAATTATTAATATTAATCATAAAACTGAATATAGCTAAAATAATTATAATTAATAATTAGAAGCAATATGCTTCGAGCATCTTTAGAACGTACACAATGCATAATAAAGATAAAGAAACCATGGAATGCAGTCAATAAGACATGTTTCTACTGTTTAGTTGACCTACAAATGACACTTTGGGACTAGAGCAGTCTCTGCTACATGGTGTCCTTTCTATCAATGGTTAATTAATTAATTTACTGGGGAATAAACAAATGTGCCTTATAAAGAGGTGTCTTTTATAAGCAATCCTTTATAATGTACTGTAGACAATTCAAAGGCTTACTATCTCATTCAGTATGTCACATAGTGACATGTCGTGTATGTGAGACCAAGAGTAAATAATGGGTGTGACTGTTTTAACTCAAAATTTACTGTGGTAAAACATTACAGTAAAACATATTGCAATTGCTTACTAATTTGCAGTTGAGATAGCAATTGAGATTGACACGACACACTATTAATTGCAGCCATTAGTATTATAGAAAAATAAGTATAAACATAATTATAGAGACTGTCAAGTGTAAGGTTGTGTGCATCCAGCTAGGTCATATCATAGTCATGGAAAAATAATTTGGTAACAAATACGTGTAGTTTGGGCAAATGATTCGAGAAGCATACTTTATTCAGGAAATTAAAAATGACAAATATCATTATTGTGGATGCATACTTCACTCCAGTGGCAATACATGTATAAAGAGACAGCATACACAGTATATTTTTCGGGAAAATATCACTATACACAAAATCAAAGTTAGAAAACTATATACATTAAAAAGAAAGCCAATTTTTTGAAAAAAATATTCATCTTCATGTATCGTTCAAGTAATACCATAGATAATAGAGACTACGCAACTGTGATAGGAAACGGGATCACGTGATCCATTACATTGTGTATAACTGGGCTGTACAGTCCTTGTCTGCTGCCATGTTGGCCTACCGTTAGTCGGTTTTTGTCTTTTCTACAAAATCTGAGGGATTATAGGGACATTCTTACGTTGCATGATTTGCATCATGAGGTAAGCATTGTATTTTATCACTTACTCTTGTAAAATAAGCTTTCTATTGCGTTGGCTATACAATGGCCTCGCTATAAACAAGAGTTTATACTCATTTTTGCCTTGTCTCCCTCTGTAGGACACAGGTTCATTTGGCTTACTTTTGGGATTGACGCTGTTACAACCTAAATGGTTCAGCCCATTGCTTAAGCTATGTATTCAGATCCATATAAGCTTTATCCTCCACCTTTTGAGACAAAATAACTTGCAGACTCATATATTTTTGTCTCCCTCTCCTGCTTCAAGCAAGGATTTGTTTGAATTAAAGATTTTACTTTTGTTTAAAGATAATATTGATATATTGATTCAATGATAGTTGTGGCTATTATTTGTTTAAATTCTTTAATTATGGCAATTTTTTTTAATTGTGCAGCACTTTACAGTAGTAAACAAAGTTAATTCTTTAATAACTATTCATAGCTAGCATAATAATAAGACACAGAGTGTATCTCTGTTTCCAATCCCATATACATAGTCTCTATTATCTATGGTAATACTAAACTGATAAATAGTAAGGTTATCTATCACATATGGATATTGCTTCATATTGATTTCCATAATATGACTGCATCCACTAAAAGGGAATGTCTGTTAACAGAGGTTAAAGTTACGTCTAATCAAAGACGCCCCACAGAACTTACTGTATTGCGAATAATTTATTAGATGGACTTAAATTTGGGGAATTTGGTGTTTTCATAGCCATTTGCCTAAGTAAAAATCAGGTATTTTGAGCCATTATGCACATGTTCAGTGGTACGTGGTCAAAAATTCGACAAATTAAAATTCCCCAATCACCAAAATTTAGCAATTCGCCAAACTTAACTCCCTCCAAAATTTTCTTTTATACAAACAGCTGAACAACTATACTCTTTTCTACTTCAATTCTTCCTTCTTAACACAATAAGTATAGTTATCACTATAACAACAAGTAGCTCAAGATATTGTCTAGGTCATGCCAATTAAATTATGCTTCCACTTTCACAGAATCACAGGTGAATTCTCATGCAGACAGCCAACGTATGCATAATTACAGCAAAAGGATAATGAAATAATGAATCACTCATGCAGGTGTGTTTAGGTATGTGTGAAGAAGCTTGGGATGGCCCAATCTACATGTAACTACATGTAGTTATTCTAAAATGAAGCAAATTCTCACCAAAGATTAAAATACACCAACAAGGCTACAGGTAAAAAAACCTCATCTATTATTAATAAGAAATAACTGTTTGAATTTTTTGCCCATTAATCACAAAATTTTAAAATTGACCCAAAATATACACTGTTCTCCAGCTAATGACACTCCTGATAAAAATTTTAATGTGACATAACAACAAAAAGGTGTTAATAATAGTATTTACCTTCCAAGCACTACCATCTGGTCTTTTAGAAACACTGTCAGGAGCTACAGTGTCAGAAAATGCAGGCCAGGGACTGGAATGCTCAAACTTCTTAGTACTGTGAAACAACGGCTCTTTGCAATTTGAGCAACAGTACACACCTACATAAAGAAAAGTACTGTAGTGTATAACTCAGGCAAATACCTGCTTCAAAGTGATCTTTGTAGACCTCACCACCCCAGCCACAGAAAGACATGGTAGGATATGCTGACAGTAACAATATACAATAAGATGGAGGTCAGTTGCCAGGGTTTGTATGGGAGTGGCTTGAGGAGGAGGAGCTACATGTCGCGCGTGATCCTAGAAACATATTCTGCGCATGCGTCAACTCTGATCTTCCTTTTTCTGCACATGGCGTAGTGCTTTGGCGACAATAACAGGAGATCTAAACAAATCTTTCTTCAGGTATGATTCATTTTTACTCTGACAAGATAAATGTATGCCCTAACTAAGGTATTGGATAACCATGGTTCGTATGAATGTATTGAATGATGCTCTGAAGTCCATATGTAATGCTGAACGTAGAGGCAAACGCCAGGTTTTATTGAAACCATCCTCAAAGGTCATAGTCAAGTTTTTGACTGTCATGATGAAGAAAGGTACTTTTGACACGTCTTATCTAGATTGAGTTTGTTGTACTGTTTTTAAGGTTATATAGGTGAATTTGAGATTATCGATGATCATAGGGGTGGAAAGATTGTTGTTAATCTTAATGGTAGACTCAATAAGTGTGGTGTCATTAGTCCTCGGTATGATGTTGCTCTTGGCGACATGGAAAAGTGGGCCAGTAACCTTTTACCTTCCAGGCAATTTGGGTGAGTGGCAAAGTGTTGAAATTCAATATGTCACTTCTTTTTTATAAATGTGGGACATTCATACAGTAATACAGTTGTGTAGTAAAAGGGGAGCTGAGTGCCGCTTATTACTGCAAAGCCTAAATTAGAAGACTTGTTGCTCTAATGAACTTAACCTGTCACTAATCATTAACCAACATTAATTATGATAAAAACACTCAATGTAGGGGTAAAAATGGCCAGAAAAGCCACATAAGGCATGGCATAGCTTCCTATGACACTGTGATTTATGTATCTCTGCCATTTTGCTTGTGAGAGCAAGCTAATTAGAGCCTTATAAGGAAAAAGTTGTTACCCTAATCTTTCTTGAAGCTCTGCAATTGTTAGGTGCCACTAAAGTGAAGTGGAATCAATAGTTTTTAGCCCATTGTTTCATATTATTGCATACAATGTACTTCCACAATGGGCAGTGTCAAAAAAATTTCATTTATGGTATTCCAATAAGCATCATTATGAATCATGAACATCACTTGGGATGTGTTGGTAATGAGTTTTTGTAATGGATAGTCTACTTGAGTCAATGTTGTACTACATGTATTTCTTAATTTAGGTTCATTGTTCTAACTACATCTCTTGGTATTATGGATCACGAAGAGGCCAGAAGGAAGCACACTGGTGGAAAGATATTAGGATTTTTTTACTGATGCAGAACAATTTTGAAATAATATTGTATTAATTGATAATAATTATAACAAAAATTCTATTCAAACAGTTTCTTGCAACATATTACTAGCTAGTTCTTACTGACAAGCTAAGAGAAGGTAATAGCAACTAAATAAATGATTATCAACAACATACATCTTGCAACTTGTTGATCTGTCTCAAAAAGTAATCGCCATATCTTCGAGCCACTTTAGTATCAGCAATATGAATCATATCCTAGTTATGACCAAATCAATTCAAATTGGTTGTGAGAGGCATATACACTTACACCATCAATATAGAAATCTATATCAGAAGCAGCTTGAGCATCTGATGCCATCTGGCCTACTAGAGTAGATGTTCGTTGTCTATGCTAAAGAAAGTGATGATAATGCTTTACGAACATTGTCAGACCAAGCGGGTGTTAGGGACACTTAATCTCCCAAATTTAGCTGCCTCTTCTAAACTTTAAAAATCATTTTGCTAAGGTGTCATTAAATGCCCTATTTTGGTTTCCCTCTAGATCTAACAATGTGCATGAAAATGAACTATATATATATATACACACCTTAAAACGAAGCAGAAGTTCACACAATGCAGCTTCATCCTGACAATGATTAAAATAATAATAAAGAAGGAATTTAATACTTTTTCTAGAAATGAAGCTAACTTTGCTACAGGCATCGTGGTGTAAAACTTGAGGTAACTGATAAAGATTATATTTGGAATAGATTATAAAAGGCATTAAGTACATGTACCTTCTGATTACTGGCAATATCAATTGTGGCTCTAAGTCTCTCATAAAGAGACTACATTGATGTTCAGTTGGGGCCTATAAGTAAATGAGGACACAATAGAAATGAAGTTACATTTTTTACTTTATAATTATAGTTATCTGGCAATGCATCATAATCAGGAGCTACAGGTGAAATAAACTTTGGACAACATTGTGTAAAGAGCTTTTTAAAAGTTGCTGCATCACTAAAAGAATTAAATATCATATATAATGAAAGAAAGAACTAGTAATAAATACCCATCTTGTAACTTCGACATATCTTCTTGAAATCTTCTATCCTTCAATTGAGTATTGACTGCTTCATCTACATGCTATACTAGTTAAATAAATAATTGTATTACAGGTATTTTAAAACCTGAGGATATAGTGTCAGAACCATTGCTAGAATGTATAACATTTGGTCATTCTGCTTCACAACCTGTTATGATGATGGATTATAAATTAGGATAAAAGATGATAAAAATACCAAATCAAGCTGATAGGACTTAGGCTGAAAATGTTGTTTAACTCTTTGAATAAATACAATGATGTTTGAAAATACACGTACAGTGTCCTATTAAATTAACAAGTTCATTATGTAATTTAACTTGTAACTTACTCTATACTTTCTAGTCATAAAATAGGAAAATCCCAAATAATAATATAACGCTATTTGACTTGCAGGAACTCTAGTAGTTGCCAATACCTTGCAGCAAAGCAATGACACTATAATTATAGTACTATTGTTATACTTTCTTCGAAAGCTGCAGATTCTCAACAGAGCTAAGAGCAGCATGGTAATCACCAAGCTGACAGTGAAGACGTAACAGTCCGATCAAACTAAAATATCCTAAATTCTTGTACAATAAATGTGTACCAAAATTTCCAGCCACAGAGTCTGGGTCATTTCCAGCCATAAATGCTTCCAACTAGAAAATAAAATATGCAATACAAATATATATTAGCACACTAATATTGAAAGTGAGTAAGACATTGACCTCTCCAAAATAAAAAAATGGTTATTATTTGTTTACAGCTAATTTTAACAAAGGCTGCTACCTACATTTTGTACATTAAAAGTGCATAAAATGATAAAAGGAGTAAAACACCAATGCTTTTTACGGTGGCTTCTAAAGTTGACTAGCTGGTATTCATGACTGGCTGCTATGAACCAGATTGCTGCGTCATTGCATGGTTACTTAGGCTACCTTAAGGTTACTTTTAAATGCGGGTACTATTAATTGCGAATTTTGCGTTTGGGTTAAAATCGCAATTATTAATATGCGCAATTATTAATATGCGCAATTATTAATAATGACATCATCATGCCATATAACTATTAGTAATAATTACTTAATCGCAATTTTTAATACCAGCAAAATCTCCTCGTGCTAAAATCGCAAAATTTAGTACCCGCAATTAAAAGTCACTCTAAGGTATCAGTTTGTTACATGAAAAATCTTCTATATAGTCAATGGAGCATAAAGTTGAAATTTTTCAACTTCATGAAACATGTTTAAAGCTCTATTGACTCCTGTATAAAAGATGTTTCATAAAACATAAGTTCATGAAACAAGTTTCATGGTGTATGGTGGCTTTAAAACTCTCAAAAAGCAAGTTATTCACGGACTATCTACCATCAAATACTAGCTAAAGCAACAATAGAGCCTAGTAGAAAATATTGCGATGGTATACTACGTGATAACTTGTCAATCTAGTTGTGCTCGATAAAGCAACATGTACAGTATATAGTTGCTACATGTAGTTGGAAAAGCATGAAGTGATTGATGATGAAGTACATGTAGCATCATCAAAAGACTCAGTGACTGGGTTTATGAGCTTAGTGAACATAGAACACACACATTTAATTGGCTCTTATTGTTGCATACAACTCTTATCTCTTGTCAAACATTTATAGATTTGAACTACTTTTTTTGAACACTAGCACCTTGTGTACATAAATGAAATCATACAATAAAAAGAAGGTTTAAACAAATTGCCATGTCTTAATTTAAAGACACCATAAAGCTCTATTACTCAAACAGCAAAAAATGCTATGACAATATAATAGACAAAAGCCACAAATACTGTTGGTTACACTGCAGTTCTTACATGTACATAACACAAAAAGTAACTTTTCAGAAGAAAAAACTAATTTATGTGTAGATAAAGCCAATTGAGACTTAGGAAAATAGACTGACTGAATGAAACGCACCAAAATCAAGTACATAGTCCTATTCACTGATGATAATCATGACAATAAATGCCAAGTTTCATATGATCTTTCAAAGCTTTGGCTTACATTTGAGGGCTCTCCTGTACTGTATATACATGTACAACCATAACTTAAACAGAGTTTTCCTTAAGAGAGCCTTCTGTTTGCATGAGTACATGTATGCAAAACTTTTATTCAAAATATGAAAACATGCAAAGTGGTCAAACATACATGTACCTGCTTATTTATATTTGACTTTTCCACAAGAGAATACAGCACATTCAGAACTCCATGAATGTTCCATACCTTACAATATTGTATAAAATGAAAGGTAGAAAATTTCTCTAACTTTTGAATCGTCTTTCAGCATTTTAATCTCATCAGCAGATCGGCTTGTTAGCTTCCCACGAAACTGCACAAAACTTTGAAACTGCAAAATAATAAAGCACGTTTAGAATACAAAATTTAATTACCTGATAAATAAATTCATCAACAATGTCCCACAACCATTGGTTAGGTAACTCAATGTCAACAGGTTTATCAGTATCTGATAGAGTAGATACGTGTACATGTAAATATAACAGACAATTAGTCAATTTCATGTTTCACTTACTAAGAATGGCATCAAAAAAGTCACAGTACCTCTGAAAGGATTCAAAACGATGTTCAATAGTAGGCTATAGTGTAGACATCAACGAATAAAAAAATATCAAAATAGAAAAGTACTTTATGCTTGGCATATATGTGTCGATACCGAAGCTCCTCAAACAGAATCAGAAAAATTTCATCTTTATTAAAGTATAATTTGACTACAAATACAAACTAATAAAATATACCATTATTTACAAAAGGAGCGATTCTTTTTGCCTCAGGCCAAGGAAATTCTTTAAAGTAACGATCTGAGAGACGATTAAATTCATTCTCATAGATGTTAAGAATTTCAGGTACAACCTTAAAATAAAATAAATAGTAATGTATAAAATACATAATTTTAAAAAAACAAACATGAACATGAATACAAGTTATCACAAATACTAAAACCTATGTACCTTGTTTTTAATTTGTTTATAAAAATAAGGAAGAAACTGTTTGACTTCTTCTGGAATGTACAAATCAGGATGGTCCTCTTCGGTTGGGGGGACTGATGCATTGCTTCCTTGTGAGGCTGTTGCTTCATATGATGTACCTATGGAAGGAAACATGTAATTTGTATTATATACACTATTATACTACATTTATAAAATTGAATTCATTTCCTCCCGAAATAATAACATACAGTAAATAGTCTTGCCACAAAATTAAAAATACTTTAACAGATATACTGCTGTTAAAATAAGGTAAATATGAAATTAGCAAGGTATGAGCAAGTCCTTGCAAAAGGAAGGACCATAATCCAAATTAAGATTTTAAAAACATGTGCACTAAGTTGCCAAAGCCTTCTTAAGAAGCGGTTAACCTCACATTATCTAGAAAAGGTATGGTGACAAGCTTTCAAGTGTGGTACTGTACTATTCTCTGACTCTACCTCCCTTCAGTGACTTACTGCCACTAAAAATGAAGCTAGATCATTCTGATTTCTGCTGATCCAGGTGCACTTATAAATGATGAACAGAAAGTTATGCTACATAGCTTTGTTTGAGGAAAGAATATCGTTGGAGTTTGACAAGAGCATGGTAGTATTAAATGTTGGGTCTGTGCCTACTTAGTAATAACAAGAGTAGATCTAATGATCTACTCTTGGTAATAATTATTTCAATTTATCAGTTGATTGTTATTTGTACATGTCAAAAATTGCTCATCGTACGGTCTATTTAATTGACAATGCCTATCACAAATATTAATTACGCATGGAATTTTTCTATGTCACCCATTAACATAATCATTGGACGCTCAGTATCTACATAGGTACACTGTACCAACCGATTGAGACATAAAGGTAAGGACAAATCTACATGTACACATCACCGTATAAAAAGGAAATGTAATTCTAGTGAAACCTACTATTATGGACACATTGGGACCCAATAATACTGTCCTGATTATATAATATGCCTATATTAGTAGCTTGCTTAGTGCAATTACATACAATGACATTTACCTCGACAATTACTTAGTATTGGGCATAATTTAAACTACACTAGAATCTAAATACTATATCATACCCTGAGTGATGTTACGAGGGTCTACAACATATGGTGATGAAGAAACAGAGTGTCCGTAACCCTAAAGTTGTAAAAGAGGAAAATCATTATAATTTCTAGACTGCCTCCGATTGCCTCACCTCCATTGTTCTAGAGCCACGTGGCATGCACACGAGTTTATACAGTAGTTTTACGGAATTTTACTGACTTTTTCTTTCTGGTCATCTTGTCCACTGACTTGTGGCTACTGGAATTTTCATTTTTCAATAATGTCGCGAGGTTCATTTGGTCGTTACCCCTCTTCATCCTCTAGAAGAAGGAGTCGGAGTAGAAGTCCTAGACGACAGTCTTACAGTAATGATTCTAGGTATGGAGGTTATGGTGGTTATAGTGGCTATAGTGGCAGTTCTCATCACGGACATGGCTACAATTCGGGACCTTCAGGCTATCATAAAGAGAGAAGGTTATTCAAATTATCTGTTATGTTATTCTAGGCTTTAGCTTTGACCCCCAACTTTTCATGTAATGGTGTGATGAGTGATGACCATAATAAAATTATTCCCCACCCACCAATTGATTCATGATTTTCCTTTCACCAAAACAGGTATAATTTTAGGCATTGTTTACACAACTACGCTGGCCTAATCTGCATCGTTTTTGCCATTACTTTTTTCAGGTGTTTGCACTAATCCAGTAGCTACATGTAGCTGCTTTTTCTTTAGCATTTATCATTAGTTTACAGAAGTATCCCCTTAGGTGTTTTAAAATGACACTAGATAAGTATGTGTTTTCATGTGTTTTAGTGTAAGCAAAAGCTGTATCCAAGTAGTGTAAAGTTAGCACAGCCTAATTCAGCAGATGCGTTTTTATTTGAGTTTTCTTTTGTTTGAATTTGATATCCTTTTTCTTGTGTTTTTGTGTAAAGGAGACCATAATACTTGACCACACCCTTTGTATTTTTGCAATGAAAACTTGTGCATTTGAGTCCTCATTTGGGAGATTTTGTAAAAGTTATCAGCCTCTAAAGTTTTGAGCTATATGTTACTATTATATTAAATTTGATGGATATTTCCTTTTAAACTAAACTTGTAGCTGTTGCATTTTGTGGATGTGAATTGTATAATTTATTTCTGCTAAACAATGTGGATAAAAAAGTTCACAAATGACCTAGCTACTATTGAGCAAGGCTTAGCAAGAAAATTTTGAATGGAATTTAGTTTCGCAAATTTTAACCACATGCAAAATTTGTATTCATGAAATACATGTAACTTGATTGGGATAGTTAGAAAAATTAATATCTAACTACATGTATGTAGTTTATTAATATTACTTTATGAATATTAATTTTATGCATCATTTTAACTGTACATTGGACATGTGGACTAGGCTTTACTGTTTTAGAATAATGGTTAGTGTTTGTATTTTTGATTTTATTTCATTTTAGTGACTATCGAAATTTGGATACTTACGTTCCTCGCAAGACTAGATGGGACACTGAGAAACTTCCTAGTTTTCGTAAAAACTTTTTTCGGGAGCATCCAAATTCTGTGGCTCGTCCTCAAGTATTGAATTAGTTTCTTTGTGTATTGCTTACTTACACCCGTACATTTATTTTTAGTCTGAAGTTGCTGAATATTGCAGATCAAGGAATATGTTTGTGAAAGGTCAAAATATTCCAAAGCCTTGTCTTAAGTTTGAAGAGGCAAATTTTCCTGGTATAATGCAACATGCATGTACTTGTGTGTGCATGCAAGATAATGCTTTACATACCTCTCTAGTTCTCTGTCATTTATTCTGTAGATACATGTGTATCTACACTTATATGAAGTGTATTACATTATGTTGTAGCTATGTGTACATGTATATACACTTGTTAATAACACTTTTCCATATTGCTTTAGAGTACATGTATGATGTAATGAAGCGTCAAGGATTTGTTGAACCCACTCCTATTCAAGCTCAGGTATTTATGAGTAATGTGATAATTAATGTTTAAGCTGTAATTATGGCACATGGACAGGGTTGGTCAATGGCATTAAGTGGCTCTGATGTTGTTGGTATTGCACAAACTGGCTCTGGAAAGACGTTAGCTGTAAGTTAAAGTTGATTAAGAATTGAGTAATATTGTGTCACAGTATTCCCTTCCTGGTTTGATTCACATTGAAAATCAGCCTAGATTGCAAAAGGGAGAAGGTCCTATTGTGAGTACATGTATAATTGACATCACATTGATTTTATTCTTTGTACTCTACATGTACATGTAGGTCCTTGTTTTAGCTCCTACTCGTGAATTAGCCATACAAGTCCAGGTATGATGAAAATTTTGAAATTGTTCATGTACATGTATCTTGTTTTGCTACTTGTACATGTAGAATGTTGTGCAAGAATACAGCAAAGTAGTTGGATTACGTACGTGTTGTGTATATGGAGGTGCACCTAAAGTCCCACAGCTTCGAGAAATATCAAGTGGTTTGTCACTGTACCTTTATCATGTAGATAGCATTGCTTATGGTAGGTTGCCACTTTGTTATTGCTACCCCTGGTCGATTGATTGATTTTATGGAATCTGGGAAAGTGAGCTTGAAGAGATGCACTTACTTGGTTAGTGCTAAATCTACTTTCCATCAATGAAATTATCCCTTCTACTTATTGCATAAGGTCTTGGATGAGGCTGATAGAATGTTGGATATGGGTTTTGAGCCTCAGATAAGGAAAATTTTTGACCAAATTCGTCCTGATAGGCAAGTTCTTATGTGGAGTGCTACATGGCCGAAGGAAGTGCAAGGTATGATCTTTATTTTACATGTACATTTAAAGCTACTAATTGTGCAGCAAGTTAGTACACACAACTTTAAATTGACAAATTGTGTCAGTTATTACTCAATGTGAAAATATTTGTTCAGAATGAAGTTTTTCATGTGTATACTTCTACACTGCATGTACATGTGTGGCCTTAATCCACAGACTAAGTTGTTTATATTCTTATGAGGCAGAATCTTGATGCCAATTAATACTGACGCTTGCAAGTTGCAGCACATTGTGTTAATTTGGTCAATATACTGTACGGATATAAAGTTCAATAGGGTATTTGATTTTATGGATTTCGTAGGTGATTGCTGAACCATTAAAATTAATACCACGAAAATACTCACTGCACATGCACAGGTGCACATGCAAGACATGAAATTTAATGTTACCCCTAGAACTGGAAAACTTGAGAGCTTTTTCATAAACACAAAATTTCATACCCTTAAAATTTTCTACACATTCAGCAGGTGCTGTTGTGTCTTCTTTTTGTATAATTTATTGTACTTTCAGGCTATTTTAAAAATTGTAATTAATTATTACAATGTACATGTACTTAGTACTTATGCTGCTGTTATTTTTAGGATTAGCTGGTGATTTCTTAAAGAATTACATTCAAGTTAACATTGGCTCATTAGAATTATGTGCTAATCACAATATAACCCAAGTTGTGGAAATATGTGAAGAGTTTCAAAAGGAAAGCAAGTAATTGATGTTTTTATCACCATAAAATTTTTTTGACATAATAATAGTCCATTATGTATTTTGTGGATTAATGAGTTGCAATCTCCAGCTACAGAATTTTCCTGATCTACTTTTCTGATCATTAAAATTTACAAAAATATAGTGCCACAGGACTATAGCCATATTCATAGATGGGTTTGGTATATGCATGTATATCCCATGTTCATGTACATGCATGTGGCTCGTATATGTAGCAGTGTAGCTGATTTGCAAATGCAGATGTAGTTGTATTGTTAATGCCTTAATGGTATACAGCAGTGATGATAGTACCTGTAATTGTTTACCTTCAATTATGTTTTTTTTAAAGATTGAATTCCTTGCTTGAGTCCATCATGGGTCAAAAGGAAAACAAAACAATTATATTTGTTGAGACAAAACGTAGAGTTGATGAAATTACTAGGAAGCTTCGTTATGGAGGGTATGCTCATATTCTGTGTATTGTGTATGACAATGTGATGTACCTATTAGTTGGCCAGCTATTTGTATTCATGGCGACAAGGTTCAAACTGAAAGAGAGTGGGTTTTAAATGGTAATGAGGAATGCATTTGCTTCTCCAGTACAATACATTTTTATTTTGATTTATTAGAATTTCGTTCTGGTAAAGCTCCTATTTTGTTGGCTACTGATGTAGCTTCAAGAGGATTAGGTATGTTTATGATGTATTTTATGTGTAGTTCAACTTCATTTTTCAGGCATGCTCATACTAGTTGGCATGCCCTTTCAAGATAACCATTCCTCAGTTCTCTTAAATCTGTTTTTGTGTAATAGCTACATGTATTAGCAAAGCTGGTTCTTCTGTCCTCGTTATCTGCCATCCTCTGTTGCTCTGTTTTATTCAATCCAAGGACCTCCATTAACACAATGCACTCTTTAGGATTTTGAAGGAAGGTCTCAATCGACTTTTGTGTTTGGAGGTCCAGTGGTTTGTCGATAGGGTACCAGTGATGGTGGACAAAGGGGAGAGGAGAGGTGAGTGAAGATTTCATGCTTCACTAGTTACTGGGGACTTTTTTGAATTTTGATGCATACATGAATGTGACAGAATTGAAAGTAATAAGTAGTTTTTGTTGTGGATGTCATACAGTTTTGTGAGTAGTAAGTTGATATATGTATAATCTTGGATAGCATTGATCACCCAATTTTAAAGCTACTTGTAACTGCTGAAACAGGACAATGCAAAAAACAGAATGTCTTGAATGCAATTTTCACTTATACAATTGTTTCTGTGGTTGAGAGACACCATTAAAATTGCTCTAACCTTAATCCTTTTAACTCTGTCACACTTCAAATACATTACTAGTGTGATTCACAGTCTTTTGTTCCAGTTCATTATATGTGTCTCGTTTAATGTAGATGTAACTGACATTAAATATGTGATCAATTTTGATTTTCCTGGTAATACTGAAGATTATGTTCATCGGATTGGACGAACAGCTCGTGCCAAAAACACTGGCACTGCATACAGCTTCTTTACAAAACAGGTATGGTATGCATGTATACATTCTAGCCATTTCAATTTTGTGTGTGGTATGGCAGAATGCAAGGCAAGCGAAAGATCTGCTTGATATACTAAGAGAAGCCGGACAATCTATAAATCCCAAACTTTATGACATGATGGAGTTTGCTAAAACGATGATAAAAGAAAAGTGTAAGTTTCACTTAATGTTCTGATATTTTATTTGTTATGATTCTTTATACATGTAGCTCGTATGCGGTATCAAGCACGTCATTCAGGTGGAGTTGGCTCAAGTGGTGGGAGTAAGCCTATGAATGGGCATGGTGGTAGAGGACGAGGAGGAAAGTTTCCAAGGGGAAAAGGAAGTAGTCCTTGGAGCTCTGCTACTAATGGACCCAGTGCTGCTAATGGAGGAACTGCTAATGGGTATTCTGGCATGTACTCTGGTGGAGGATATGGAAGCTATTCTCAGCAGCCACCAGCTTTGAATATGTATCCACCTCCTCCTCCTCCTCCTCCTCCCAGAGGATTGGAGCAAAATGCAGCGCAGTTCTCAATGCCAATGATGTATTATCCTGTCCCACCACATGTACCTATTCAACAACCTCCTGTTCCACCTACTACTGCATCACAATAAAGAATGTGCTTCATCTGGTTTGACTTGATTATGTAATAAACCCATCAGTCACATCTGTGTTGTATTATTTTAGCTAAAATTATTATGGTGTTTTAAGTGTAATTATTATTGTGATAATAAGTTATTAATTAAAAAGTAACGTCTAACCATAGATAATAGAGTAAATGAAAGGGATTGGAAACGGAGGCGTGGGCGTAGCCCAACCTCCATTCATTTGTATTGCTGCTAGGCTGACAGAGGCTCGTTGAATTTTTTTGTCACAATTTACCCTTGATTTTCTTTCTTTTAGGAGCAATATCTCGCAAACAAGTGTTCCTATGCAAGTGAAATTAATGCATCAAGAAGCCTAATGTTTCCTCTTTATAATTCTGTTTTCTATTGTACAGATAATTTTACCATGTTAATGTTATGGCACTTTTAAAACCATAAAATGTATTTTTTGCCATTATAATCCCTTTTTTGAAAACAAGCTAGAGTAAAATGCAATATCTTTATAATCATATGAAAGAGTTTCCATTTGCATATCGAATGATACTAGTTAGGGTTAGAATCCATGAAGCATGAGTTTGTTACTACAGAAAAAGGGCGGAAAATGAAAAAATTTTGTTGTACCTATAACTCGTTGCAAAATAATGTTGTAGAAGTAAAAACCTTGCTGCAGGTAGGCCAACACTTTCTATATCGAACGGTAGGTATATCATAAGTAAGCGTCCTCTTGGATCTCCATAAATATCCTTCGAAGTCCTTCCAGTACAGCCTCACTAATGGAGGAGATGGGAAATCAACCAGGTATTGGGCCGGTAACCAATAGCAACATCAACCAGCCTACGCCCCCGTTTCCAATCCCTGTGTACTCTAATATCTATGGTCTAACGAGTTGCTCCTCCTTTACCACACCCATTAATTTTTCCTGTGAGGAATGGCTACCGATATAGTGATACCATCAGAAAGGGAACTGTCTCGTTCTGAAGAAGAAGAAGCTTTGTTAAGGAAAATAAGGCAAGAGAAAGAACAACTATGGTATGAAATACAGGTATGCCATTAAGTTTAATCGGAGCTTCACTTTTGTCTCTGTAGGATTTGCGTCGTCAGATAATAGAAATTGACAATGATCTTGCTGCCTTGGATGAGGCTAACGACGAGTAAGATAGTCAGTGTTTCTTAAATTTGTATCATAATTTGATTAATAGAGAAGTACGTCAAGCGAAAGAGAAACAAAGGTTGACTAGAACAGGGAGGAATAAGTTTAATGCCAATCCAAAGGATGTATGTGTCACTGAGAGTGCCATAATGACTGATAATAATTATCTTTGTGTGGTAGGGTATCAAATATTTACAAATGCATAATTTACTGGGCGAGAGTAGCGAAGAGATAGCTCAGTGGCTATTTAAAGGAGAACTTCTTAGTAAACGATCGATAGGAGATTACCTTGGTGAAGGGTAAGATTTTCATTAATTTCTAGTGTCTGACATGTATATGTACAGGAAAGACTTCAATGTCGAAGTTCTTAAAAAGTTTATAGCACTACATGATTTCAAAGGAAAACTATTAGTAGATGCTATAAGGTATTTCTACATTATTATTGTACTCTTGGTTATTGTTTTTTATTATGACAGAGCTTTTTTGGGTAGCTTTCATCTTCCGGGAGAAGCACAAAAAATTGATCGTATTATGGAAATATTTGCTGAGAGATATCTCTTTTGTAATCCTGATGGTGCCCTCAGTGATAAAGGTTGGGAAAGGTGGCATAGTGCTGCTTACATGTGTGCACTTTGTTTATAGATACTATTTATGTACTGTCATTTTCGGTTATTATGTTGCATACAAGTCTCCACAACCCAAGTGTTAAGGACAAACCATCAATTGAAACCTTCATTAGTATGAATAGAGGCATTGATAATGGGAAAGATTTACCTTCTGAGCTTTTAACAGTAATACTATACTCACTATTATCTACATTGTGTATATGTGCCTTTTTACATGTGCCAAATAGGAATTTTATGAAAACGTTAAAAAGGAGGAATTTAAAGTTCCGGATAGTGAAGGAGGGGGTGGATTAGCTGAGACTTTTTTCAATCCAGAGAAGGAAGGATGGTTGACAAAAGAAGGTAAAGTACAAAAGACTTGATTTGGTACATGTACATGTACATGTACATGTGCATGCATGTGAGATTGAGAATTTAAATGATAAACTTGACTGACCTTGATACTAATAGTGAAGTAATGTTTAACATCTAGCCAAGCTCCAAATGTTTAAACTTTTAAGGCCTTTGTGAGACTGATGCCCATTGATGTGCATCAATTTGGAACCACTCTAGTGTGAACACGATTAATGTCATTGATGCACATTACTTTTGCTAGTGTGAAAAGGCCTTTACATTGAATAGTACTGTATTATGATTGTTATCATATTACTGGGTCTTTGAAGTTTTGTGTAAGCATAAAATTCACTAATGCAATACTTCTGGAGGTGCTTTAATTGCCTCCTTTGTTTAACTACATGTATCTGTGCTTCAGGATTTCAAATTTTGATGGAATCTATTATTGCCCAGGGCTTTAAGGTCTTTAAGCAGTTAAATATGGTCTCTGTCGCATTTTTGTCACAATGCACAACACCATTTGTATTCACATGTTAAATGTATTGCAATCTTCTGAAATATTTAATGCATTGAAGTGTAGTGTGTATGGTATTATTATGTATCATAGAATTTTGGTGCACTGTATGTAACTATTAAAATATACAATCATTTTTATGAAGTGCATGAAGGCATAACTATTATATGCATGTGTATGCTCACAATGTTGTTATGTTCAAGTGCCAACCTGCAAAATTTGTATATAAGCATGATATCATAATTTAATTGTGCCATCAAAGATTCAGGTTCACCATGCAGTTATGCCCTGTAAAATTTCACATGCATTTCTGAAAAGTTTTAGCTAGATTAAATTTTTTGTACTCTGTGTTGGGACTCATCAGGACTCCTGTACTAATTCATTTGTGTTATCTATGGCTTGTTATAGCAGCTGTCATGTTTTTGTTATGTGCACCTTGATAGTGAGATTATCTTAACAATCTTTATCATAACTCATCAAATATTATTTTCGATTTCATATTTGCCTCTTAATATTATGTCTGCTTGTTTGTGCATGATCACTGAATTTCCAAAACTTCGTGTCAATTGATGAAATGAAAAATATCACTTTTTATTTTATGCATGTGCTTCTAGTGAAATGGATTGTTGTATATAGCTGGAAACTTTTGAGGTGTTTAACTTTCAGGGATCCCACCCAAATCATTTAACTGTATTGTCTAAATTTTCATACATTTTAATTTTGATAATCAGGAAAAACCATGAAAACAGCAAAAGTTGTTGACCTCAAAAGTTTTCAGGTATATGTATATGTGGATACAGTGTGCCGCCACAAGGTTGTTGTGTTTAAATTTTAATATAATCTGAGTAGTACAAGCTTCACCTACTACTCTATATCCCATGCAATTGATGTTGTATATGGTGTCCATAGTACTCTTCCTAGTGAAAGCAGATGTTTCTATGCCAAAAACCCACTTTTGTGTTGTAGTAGTGTCATTGGAAAGAGACGGAGAATATACTAAGTACATGTATACATTTCTGTGTATATGCAGATGGGTCAGGACTTGTGCTTTCATATCCATGCACATGTAGCAACTACAGATATACTTGTCAATTTATGTGGTGATACATCTATGTATTATTGAAGACGTGAAAGCTATAAATACTGTATAGCGGGAAACATTGGCTGAGTTTTTTGGCAATTTGCAGATGAATGATAAAATCACCAAAATAAAATTCACCATTTTGCTTTCTCTTGAGTGTAGTCAATGACATGAGACCGCAAATTTGTAGAATTGCCAATATTACACACTGCCAAATATTCCTGCTATAATGGTATATAATAGCCATCTTCTAGTTTAATCACATCAGTAACTTCTTTTTAGGCGGCAAATACAAGAGCAAACATCGGAGATGGTTTATTTTAAAGGAGAATATGTTGTATTATTTCAAACAACCTTCAGTAATGATTATTTTTGTTTCTTTAATAATTACTGCTAGTTTAGGATAGTGATCTAATTGGTAGCATTCCTCTTGATCCAGAATTGAGTGTTAGAATTGTTGAGGATCCTAAAGCACCAGTATGGCTTTCTTGCAACTTAAGTATATCATTTATTATTTTGTAGGCTAATTGTTTTGAAATATACTCTGAAACTGGTGTCATTAAGGCATGGAAGAAAGACTCTGATGGAAAAACTGTGAAAGGTTTGTCAACTGATGCTTAGTCCATTTATTATGATTGATTTTTAAAGGTAATCATGATGTCTATCGACTTGTAGCTGGATCAGCTGAAGAACGAGATGAATGGATCAAATGTATTCAAGTTAATTTACAACCAAGCTCTGTTTATGACTCTTTGACTCAACGTCGTCGTAAGATTACTGGTGTGCAGGGTTTAAATATTCCAGAAATGAACTAGTGTGTATGTAGTTGCAAATCAAGTCACAATATTCACTGAGTGTTATAAGCATTGTTTTGTAGTGACCAATCTTAAAAACTTAAAAAAATATCAGTAAAAAATAATAATCAATAAAATATTTATCATTGTTGTTTTATCAAAAAATGGTATTTTTATTCAATAAACATCCACATGTACTTCAAGAGTTTGCACCTCTCTGTCACTGCCTTCATCTTGTGATTGAATATGGAACTGTGTCTCAGCTGCAGAAGTAGAGTCAATACTTTGGGAATCATGGTTTTGCTCAGCAGTAACTACTAAGTCATTTTCTGAAACGTTACCACTTCCATTACATGTAATATCTTGCTCAAGTGAAGATGCTTGTAATTGTGCATGAGTTTCAAACTCAGTCTTAATCCATACAAAGATTCCAGACTCTGGTACAAGCTCACCGCTAGATTTACGCATTTGAATAAATTTAATTCCTATAAGATATTTTAATTTAGAATGTACATGTATTTTAATGATGAGTATACCTGGACACAAACTAGATATAGCAATGCAATTCTGGCCAATAAGGAGTGTTCTGTCGCTAATCACACGAATGTAAAGAAGACACTACATAATAGTAACAAAAATTTAATAATAATAATAATCTTTTGTTAAATATAATCTACTTGCTCACGCAATACATACATGTATACATTGTGTGTTATTACAATAACACCAATGCCATGCATTTGTTTCTCACCAATTCTGGCATCAATATGCGACGTTTCAGAGTATGTTGATTCTCTGGCCACTGAGGCCAGAATGAATCAACTGTTTCTGCCTTCATTATTTCACTGCAATCTTCAGGTATACCACAAAGGCTAATATGCACAGAGAAATTAGTAGATTTCCTCCCCAATGGAGCCAAATTCTGTCCAGACAGTAACTGCATATACATAAACACAAGTATAACTGCTGCAATACAACTATTTTTACCTCAAGTTCAAAATTGCAAACAGGTACTAATGGGTGAGGCTCTTTCATGTTTACATCAAAAGGCTGCAAACATGCACCAGGATTTGCTCTTCTCATTATTTCAGGCTTGAGAATGTAACCACAACCTCCGTTTTGTCGAAAACGACCCTGATTCAAGTGCATAAACATGTCTAGATTGATAGCATTAAAATAATTATGAATATCAAAAAAATTAATCACTTGTACCTGGTGTTTGGTAATTCAGAGCAACCATGTGAATCCCATGATTCCAAAATGGAATGGGGTCAAAATTACTAGAATCAATTCGGGAACCACGAGGATATGTTCTTACTAGCTGACGCTCAGAGCAACGCATCATTTCTGTTACAATGATAAGAATACTAGCTGACCATTCACAGAACAAATATATAAATACCTTTAGGAGACCGTTTACAATGCTTATCAAGGGAAATTTCTGAAAAAGAAAACATCTGACATATTGAGGTTAACTTCTGTTCAGTCCAACTCCATGGCTTAATTGAAGTACTCCGACAATAGACTATCAATTTTTTCAAGTCATCTGATGTTTCCTAACCTTTGTGTGATACAATAAATAATCTAATGATAGCTTACAGTGTATAATAGTTCTTGATCATCTTCAGGTATTTCAATGTTACCGTGATGTTGTTTGACTTGACGTCTGAAACTTGATCCCTAAATACATGTACAGTACATGTCAGATCAAAAAGACACAACATCATCTCAGAACTTACTTCTCTGCGTACAGAACCTTTAGGTTCAAATATATACACATTTTTCTTATCAGTATCATTATCAGGTAACTTTTCATTAGGAGGGTTAGGAAGAGTTTGATTAGCAGGGTTATCAACTGCCTGTGCCTTTGCATCAGAGGTTCCAAGAAGATCCTAATAGTTATTAATGAAACACTAATTATAAAAATAATTTTTACCATAGAAGTTTTTTTCATCATCAGAAAGGCTTTGGAAGCCTAAATTTTCATAAAAAGAATACAAAAGCAAAATTATAAAATACCTTTGATGCTGTAGGTTTGCTTGACTATAATTGAGAAATTATGATATGACTGCAAATTGATATGAAAAACTTACTTGTGCATGCCATGAACCCTTCAATAGTATTTTGCCTTGAAGTTCTAATGGTGAAGGCAATCGACGTCTTGAAAAATCAGGTCCCTCAACAAGATTTTCTGTAGGCAGCATACTTTGACCTAATTGATCTTTCAGCTCTTGCACAAAAATGGTAGCCATTTTAGCTTGTTGAGCACTGCTACAATGGTTCTCAATTGAGATAATGAGCGGATAGTGTGTCATTCGAAATGCATAGTCCTACAAAAGGTCCACAATAAAAGATCAACAGTGCATCAAGATGTGACAAGTGTAGTTTCTACAAGTACATGTACATGAATAAACATTTTAGTAAGGAAAAAATGGTTGGAAATGGCTACAAAACATGAGAAAGAATTAAAAGCTAAATCATTATCAATAATAAAGGTCAATTGTTTGAAGCATACAATATAGGGTTATAATATTTGTTACTTCATTTTTACCTTAATAGTGTGCACAACATCACTGAAGTTCAGCTTTGTTGTGAGGGTGTATCCATGATATATAATTGGTTCGCTTCCAAGATCTAAAATGAGGGATACATACAAGAGTGAATTTCATACAAGGGTTAATTATGCCTAACTATTATCCCAGCAGTCTATTTCAATACACCTGCTACCTAACAAGAGTGCCCTAGCATAAGCATCAAGGGATGAAGTTCCTTTAATTTGATCTCCTTCAAGGTATGTGTTATGACTAGAATTAATAAAGTAATGGGACAGTGGCTGATCCATATCTTGATAGACAGTATTGTGAAGAGGATTTACTGGAGAGTTTTGTTTACTACGAAGGAAGCTGCAATTAAAGAAACTAAATAAAATATTACTAAACATAAAAACCTTAAAAATCCAGCAAATGAAAGGAGACGGGTAGATTTCTTCCAGTTACTTGGCTTGTTGCTGCTGGTGAACTTCTTGAAAGATCTGTGATGGTGATCATGGAAACTGATCAATTCTTTTAGTCGATGGTGGCTACAATCTTCATCTTTCCACTAAAATTTGAGAATAAATATTTATTGCATTGCTGCCTTACATAGCACTCCTTCTGCAAAAAATCTCTAAACTCATTTACTGTCAGACCAAGGCGTTTATGAGTGATAGCATATGATTGAAATATTTTGTACAACTAAAATGAAGAATAAAGAGACATTTAATGTTGATATATTGTGCTGACTCACCCTGCCAGTTTCACCACACATTATGTTATACAGAAGAACAAATCCATCCCATTTTAATGTGTTGCCATGTCCAATAGTTGCTTCATGTTGATTGCTATGAGCTTCCTAAGGTACACATACAAAATTTGTGCTAAGTTTTGTTTGTTTTGTTTGCCAAAAGTATCAACAAAAATTTTAGACAAAAATATTAAAATAAAGTGGGCGTGACTGGGTTAATGATTGTTAATCAATGAAAATGAAATTATTGTAATCCCTTCTAGGATGGACATTAAAATTTTATGGCAAATGAAATTTCCTGCTTTACTGTGTGCACAGAAAGGAAAGAGGAAAGACCCCACAGATTCTATAATGGTAATTATAAGCACACAGAAGCAAATGTGATTGAAAATAATTGATCTGGAAGTTCCTTAAAAGGAAGATTTAGTAAACAAATTTAAATTCCAATAAATCTAATGCAATATTTAGACAATTACATTGTATATCTGTAATGCTTCTCAGCCAATAACAATAAACAACTTACTGTAACAAGGCGCTTGAGTTGATGAGCATTGACATTAGGATTAAAAAATCTGACTAAGAAATAAGCATCCCTTTCATTTAGCTCATGTTTATCTTGACACAGAGTCCAGTACCTCTTTAACCAGATTAAAGTTGGGTCAGTATTTTCATACCTTGTCGGAAACATACTAGTTATTGGCCCAATTTGCAAAGAGTCCAACTAAAAATTAAAAAAAATTAGTGGTATAATAATCACATTTATTCTAACTCCTTTAATCCATTCATCAAAATGTCTAGGATGGTCACAAACCAAGTCCAGTGATTCTAGCCGAGCATACTTTCCTAATGTATAGAGAAGAACATCATGATGAAGGTAATGGACAGCTACCTTTTACGTTTTCATACATTAGAGAAAAGGACTGTTCATCTACTTCAGCATAAGGAAATCTTTCAAAACCATATGATTGCTGGCCCAGCCGTACTTCCAAAATCGAATCTAACCTCACTAATAAAAATAATAGCATTAAAAATTCAATTTTTCTTGAACATACAGAAAGATGACATCTTAACTTTAGCAGATGATGTTTTTTTCCACATTACTTGCTGGAATAATGATTAATAATAAAATGAAGCAGTAGTTTTAGTAATAAGTGACAAACCAAGTTATCTTTATCAATTGAAAATATCTTTTCACTTGGGATAGCCCATCTGTTTCTGCGTGGGTACTTTATCATAGCAAAATCTCCATGCAACTTTTTGAAATCAAACTTTTCGTCTAAAAATTATAGTAATGACAAACAGGATGTGTAATATCAATAACACCTGTAGATGTATTTATCACAGCCTTTTGCTTTTCTAATTTTGGTGCAAGGCGCTAAACAACACTCCTAAAATAAATATTGTATAATTATAATCATTCTACTAACCAATTTTCTTCGAATTGTTTTTCTTCTTCGATGCTCAGCATTATATGGATCATCGTCAGTGCTCTGCCTCCTTAATATAGCTCCTGATGTTTTACTCCTTCTTCGATATCCATGTCTATGCAATCTACAAAATACAATGTAAAAAAATCCATTATATTTGATTTCATACATTAATTTTCTTTGTTTTCCAGGAAAACGATGGCTAGTAGAGGTTTCCAGTTCAGAGTCACTTCTTTGTTGTGTCATGATTGGTAATAGCAAACTATCAGTTGGTGGTTTTGCTGATGAAGCAGCTGACTCACTATTTTCATGACAAAGGTCATCAAAACTACAGGAAGAAATGTTGTCTTCATCACTCTGATTTATTGCTGTTGTATCCTCTGTCCATTTTGAGACACCTATGAAAGTTAAGACATTGAAAAGTTAAAAAAGTATGTGTATTACATTCAGTGAGGGCATCAACCCATTGCTTTGCTTCAAAAGGATTAGATGCTTCAAGCTCCATCACAAAATTATGAAAAGTAATACGAAATGATGCTGGACTGTCCGATACAAGTTCAATCTTTTCCATACTAGTCAAAGGAAACGTACGACGAACTTTAACCTAATTAAAATAGAATAACACAAACTGACGATACTGAAAAATAAAAGTGAATTTAAACTCAAATGCAAAACAAAGAGATGACAGTAAGTTTCATAACAACCAGTACATTATGCTGAAGCTAATGATTAGAACGAGCGAGTTTTATTATTATGGTTCATACCTGACTAAAGGGTTGAAAATATTCCAGAGATTGTTCTGTCAAACGAAACCTCCGTCTTCTAGGAGGCCCATGTACTTTACCGGTAACTTTTGAGCGAGATGTTTTAAGCAGCTCACCATGCTTTACTTCAGCAACGCCACCATCATGTCCTTGTAACAACACGGGATCGTTTTCAGTTGGGCTTGAAACGCTTGACGACCTTTCATTTGATTGCTTTGAATTAAGAGTTCTCCTCCGCCCGCCTTGCAAAAGTTCCTGGAGATAAGGTCTGCGCCGACGAAAACTGACTCCCCGGCCAGGGCCACTAGTAGCTTCAGACATTGCAGAAGAGATGGTGAATCATAAATTTTATTAATTAAAAATTTGTCAAACCACACCTGCTAATTTATACTAGGCCTTAGCTAGTCATAAAGTTTCCGGATGGATCCGGAAAAAATAGGTGTGGCCTGAGGGTTGAGATATATTAGATGGGCGTGTCTTCAACGATTTTATTACTTCACTTCTTACACTTACTTCACCAAAGTGCAGGCGTCACTTCTAAGTTACTACTAAAATGATACGATCTATCCTTCATAAAGTAAGTGAGTGTCCTACTTTTCCCTTTTCATTTAAGTTTTCTTTCAGGGCGCGAAGCTTTTGAATCCAAGGTGTCTGTCATCGTCATCTCCACTACCTCAAAAGGTTCCTTAATTAAAATGTATATTATTAATTTATTTTGCCTTGTTGGTGTCTTATTATTTTGCAGGTTGCCATTAGCAAGTTTGACCAAAATCATTTTATTAATTATGAAAAACTGAAAGAGTCTCTTGATGTAGTTCGTAATAGGTACATGTATAATGTGATATTAATTTTGCTACAGTTACAATGTACATGTTTCGTGAGCAAGTAGCATACTCCTACATTAGGCGTTATAGCCCTTCCTCTTCTATTGCTTAATTGCACATATCAAGAGGTACATGTAATATACCAAGAGATGACATTGTGCATGTAGTGAGTTTCAGAGCTGATTAAGTTCTGTAGTTATATCAGTGTTGTGAGTGCTATTGGCATTAGCTATGCCTCGTATTTTTGTTTAGCACTACAAGTTTTGTTCATACATGTATGTTTATTCGTTACCCTTAGTACAATACAAATTGTACTTTTACTGTAGTAGTAAAAGAATTGTTACTGTGATGTGAAATTTGTATTTACATACTGTAGGTTGAACCGCCCACTCACTTTATGTGAAAAGATATTGTATAGTCACTTAGATGACCCAAGTGGACAAGAACTGATTCGTGGTGAATCATATTTAAAGCTAAGACCTGATCGAGTTGCAATGCAGGATGCTACTGCTCAGATGGCTATGTTGCAGTTCATTAGCAGTGGGCTACGAAAGGTTACATTCAAATTGCATTTTACAGTAATGACACTGCAATTTTCTTGTAGGTTGCTGTACCATCAACTATTCATTGTGACCATTTAATTGAGGCTAAAGTTGGGAGTGTGGAAGATTTAAATAGAGCCAAGGACCTTAATGAAGAAGTTTATGACTTTCTTTCTTCGTCTTCAGCTAAGTATGGAGTTGGATTTTGGAAGCCTGGAAGTGGTATTATTCACCAAGTATGCAAAATAAATAATTTTTGTTGTGAGCTGTGCTGATGCAATGTACATTATCAAGAGTAGATTATCTACTGTACTCTTGACATTATTCATGTACAATGTACATGAACTATAGTTGTTATTATGATGCAATATCAATTATTTATTGCTGTTATTGGTGCCATGCTATAGTTTTTCACATTTTTTGCACAATACATGCACAACTACACAGATATACATGTACATGTACATGTATGCATGTGTAATTTATGTAAACGAAAATGCTAACATTTTGTAAAATGGTTTTAGTTTGTACATGTACATGTAGTTTGTACATGTAGTTTGTACATGTACATGTACATTGTACATGTACATGTACAATGTACATGTACATGTACATTACTTTGGTATTTTTTTGAACCTACTTGTATTTAAATTACTGTACATGTATATACATGTACATGTGCATGTATGCATTATACATGCATGACTATTGTACATGTTGCACAATGCTGTACATGGGCAGAGATTGGCAAAATTGTACGATAAAGGAAAAATTATTTTGGTTTGTTTTTAATAATGGAAGTACCTGTACATTTACATGTAAATCAAGTGTAAAATTTTGTTGTTAGCCACTTAGCCACTAAAGTGAAATTGTTTTAACCCGAAGTTTCTCTCTAGCAGTTTCAGCTGTGCTGGTTGTGTGTTTCAGGCAGTCATGACTTTTACGTTTTATTTGATTAGTTACAGAATGTATTTGAATTAGAAGTTTAAAGTTGAATATAAGTGATGTTTTGACAGGACTTCACAAATGGATTAAACAAAATAATGATTTTAATTGACAGTGAGCCTACAGTGTGTAGATTGTACGTCTGCATGCATATGCACATTTAGTATGAACAGAGGAGCAATCACATTTTAACTCCAGCTGTATATGGAGTTGGAAAATTACTTGTACATGTACATGTAGATGTATTAAATGGATGATTTTGTGAGTATATGTACAGTACATGTATGCAGTCCTCATACAAATACTAACTACATACATGTATGTACATGTACATGTACGTACATTTACATGTAGTCATGTACATGCATGTAGATTAGTTTTGAATCATTGAATCTTGTAAGGCCTTTCTACACTTGCAGTGTGGTTTGAACTACATGTAGTTTAGAGAACTGGTGTGCTTTTAATGATCATTTAAACCATGTGGTGTGGTTTGACATTATGTGCATTGGAGTAAATGTGCATCACATGTAGAAAACTGGCTCAATGCGCATATACACATTTTAAATGCATGTACATGCATGGTTGGACCATAGATATACTACTGGTAAACGGGATTGGAAACTTCAATGGTCATAATTGCAATGCGGGTTGGGGTGTATCCCCACCAAATGTAATGAAATCTTAGCAAAGCATTGACTCTATTATGAAACTTTGTGGGACTCTAGCAGCTGTATTTCAGAATAAAGCAAGCAAGTTTTTGCTCATGTAGATACATTGTACTTCTTAAGAGCTTTTAGTGCCACATATTCATTCTAAAATGCAGTATCTAGAGTCCCATAAAGCTTCGCCATTAGTATACTAAGAATTGAACTATGCGGTCCCAACCAGCCTGGTACACATGGGTAGTAACAGTAGTTTCCAATCCCATTTACAGGTAGTATATTTATGGTTGAACTAAGTTTCTAATTGCCTTATTGTTATTTGTAGATAGTATTAGAGAACTATGCCTATCCTGGGCTCTTACTGATTGGTACTGACAGTCATACTCCTAATGGTGGAGGATTGGGTGGTGTTTTGATTGGTGTGGGTGGAGCTGATGCTGTTGATGTAATGGCTGGATTACCATGGGAATTAAAGTGCCCTAAAGTATTTGGAACGGAAGTACATTTTATATCTTAATTTCTACTTGTACATGTAGGTTATTGGTGTGAATTTGACTGGAAAATTAAATGGTTGGACTTCTCCTAAGGGTATGATTTCTTCTCCTTGTGTGATAGTTGTATCTTTCTTTTTAGATGTTATTCTGAAAGTAGCCGATATACTAACTGTATCAGGTGGTACTGGTGCAATTATTGAGTATCATGGGCGTGGTGCTGAATCATTATCTTGCACTGGTATGGCAACAATTTGTAACATGGGTGCTGAAGTTGGAGCCACTACATCATTGTTTCAATTCAACCACCGAATGAGTAATTATTTGAAAGCTACTGGAAGAAGTGATATTGCTCATCTTGCTGAAAAGCACAGTGACCTTCTGACATCAGATAATGGTTGTGAGTATGATCGGTGCATTGAAATTGATTTAGACAAGGTACTAACACATGTACATGTACATGTATCATAATTATTTTTAATGCAGTTGGAGCCTCATGTTAATGGGCCCTTTACACCTGATCTTGCTCACACTATTTCAAAACTTGGCTCTGCTGCTGTTGAAAATGATTGGCCACTTGATATTAGAGTCTGTAAGTTAATTAACAGTAGTAATGTGTACACAGCTAGCTTATGATGCTGAAATTTTTGTATTAAATTTACTTTTACATGAAATGTACACTTCTATTATACTCATGTACAGTACATTATCATGTACGTATAAACTACATGTACATATTATGCAATGTTAGCTTCTTGTACAATACTTATGTTTACATTTACATGTACAATGTAACTGTGTTTCTGAATGTTAATGATCCAGTATAGGTTTTCCTGTTAATGCTTGCTATTGTAAATAATCATTTCTGTGAATTATTATTAATGCACACTGCACACAGTATTATGTGCATACATGTACAAGTATGTTTGATTGATGGATTATGGTTTTATTTCAATATTACATGTAGCTCTGATTGGTAGTTGTACCAATAGTTCATATGAAGACATGACACGAGCTGCTTCAGTTGCCAAGCAAGCTCTGTCTCATGGACTGAAAGCAAAGTACTGTGTTGTAGTACATGTACATTTACTACAAAAATGTGTTTAATTTGCTGTAGAACTACTTTCACAGTAACACCTGGCTCTGAACAGATTAGAGCTACTATGGCAAGAGATGGCATTGATAAACCTTTCAATGATTTTGGTGCTATTGTTCTTGCGAATGCTTGTGGTCCATGCATTGGCCAGTGGGATAGGTATGGCACATTTACATGCACTTTATTAGTTTAAAAATTCTATTGTAATTTTTAGGGAAGATGTTAAGAAGGGAGAAAAAAACACAATTGTTACATCTTATAATAGGAATTTTACTGGAAGGAATGATGCTAACCCAGCAACACATGCTTTTGTTGCTTCTCCTGAGGTTCTTAAATGCATGCATACACACATCAGTGCATATTTATTCTGCTGTCTCTTTAGATTGTTACTGCTCTAGCAATAGCTGGTGACTTAAGGTTTAATCCTCTAAGTGACACACTCACTGGCTCTAATGGTAACAATTAATAAACAACTTGCACATGTACATTTATACATGTAATTGTAGGTGAGAAGTTTAAGTTGGAAGTACCAGTTGGGGAAGAGTTGCCACAAAAGGTCAGTAATTTGCTTAATACAGCAGACGTGTGCATATACATTTAAAACTACATGTACATGTGGACACTTGATTTCACATGCATAAATTGTGTACCATTATGCTACATATGTACATGTACATGTACATGTACACATGTACATGTATATGTGTAGACTGTACAATGTAACACAAGTAATGCATTTGAGATACAATTACTACATTGTACCTGCATGAGTGCATGCATGTGTACATGTGTAGATGTGCATGTACTTGTAATTGGGGCAAGCAAAAGCGAGCCCCACATAGTCGAGTCGAGTATGTCTGTTTGTTTGTTTGTTTGTACACATACGTCATCCCTATTTACATGTCTATAAAAATAATAATCACTCATTTTAAAATGATAATTTTGATGATTACGGTACCACTTGCAAAATCAAAGAGGAACTTCAGTTATCGCTGGACGAGAGGAGTTCAAGAGTATTCAAGAAACAAGAGAAGCTGAAGCTTAAAGCATGAGTAATTCACAAGAAGAAGCTTGTCGACTTCTTCGTAACAAGCGTGAGAAGAAGGAGCAAGACTGAGGAGGTCCAATAGAAATGCTAAAGATAGGTCTTGTCACACCCAAAGACAACAAATGGAGTCTCCTTCTGGCTTCTGAGACGAACTATCTTCCATCCTAGATCTATATAACAGCAGAGATTCTTCACTTAAAGCTAGAAGCTATGAAATTCCTTCCATCCAAATTCTGGATTAGTGTATTGACATCAACATTCAACATTTAATAGCCACTACATCATTGTCTATATAGACATTGTATATTGCTAATCGAAATGTTAATCGTTTTGCTTGCCCTTAATGTTTTACATTCGCCTAGTTTAATGTACGTGCATTGTACAGTAGAGGAGATTTGACAGTGTCAAATAGTTACTTAATTAAAAATAAAGATGTGGGCATGCAGTTTATTAAATATTACAAAATACATGTTGTATGTACATGTACTTCCTGTTGAACCTCCTTTGCATGTAGATGTATAGCGTATAGCAAGAGTACATGTATGTCTTGCATTATAGTCATTAAAATTTGTCCAATGAGATTATAAAGCATTGTGCATTGTACATGTTTTTGTTCATGTTAAGCTTTATAAAAAAGCTAAATTTTTATAAATACAGTATACACATACATTGAACATAATGAGATACATGTGCATGTATTTAGTTCTGCTTTGCATTTGCAATAGGGTTTTGATCCAGGCCAAGATACTTATCAGCCACCACCGTCTGATGATTCTGATGTTTTTGTCAAGGTTGATCCAAAAAGGTATTTTGATAATGTATTATTATTTTTGGTGATTTTACTGTGTTTTATTACAGTACTCGACTTCAGCTTTTGGAGCCTTTTAGTGCTTGGAATGGTGAAGACATTGTGGATGCACCTATTCTGATTAAAGTATTGGGAAAGTGTACCACAGATCATATTAGTGCTGCAGGTCCATGGTTAAAGTATCGTGGTCACTTGGATAATATCTCAAATAATATGTTTTTGACGTAAGGACACTGATACATGAATTTTTGTCATGGCATACATGCATGTACATTCATTGCATCAAGAGTGGATAATTATTTAGAGAGTGTCTAACCGGCCTATAATCTGTGATGCAACAGGGTGTACATGTATGTTTACATAGCATGGTGATTAGCACCAAGTAGCCATTCTTGCGTCCTTATGTTGATTCCAAGTCAGAAAGCTGCAAATTAGAAATAGCCAACCATTAGAAGAACATATTCCTGGCTGCTCCTGCTTGTTTCTTGCACTGCATGTTCCTCAGGGTGGAGATATACATGTAAGTCTTAAAGTTGCCTGCATGCTTCAAGTGCCATTTTCTCAACGACACCCATAAATTTTAAAGGGTAAGTTCTGTGAATTTTGGGGGTATTTTTTATTGGCTCAATGTGTTTGCATGATCATAATGATGTGTTCCAAGTCCCATTATTAAAAAAAAATTATTCACTGAGATATGAGCCTTCAAAAATGCTCATTTTTGCTTCCTTCAATGTTACTTTCTGTCGGTGGGTGTGGCCAAACGTGACGCCACAAGAGGAATAGATGCAGATAACTCCATTCCTTTATAGGGGGAAATGATTGTTTTTTCTCATGCCTTGTAATGTAATAGCAGTAATTTAAAGATTGGAATCATTAGCTTTCATTATGCTATGCATGCAACTGTAAGAAAAAGACTCAAAATAGCAAACAAGAAAATTGACCTACTTGTGGTATTGTTACTTTTTCTTGCAATTGCATGCTTAGGATAATGAAAGCTAGTGATCCCAATCTTTAAATTACTGCTATTACGTTACAAGCCATGAGAATAAAGGATCATTTCCCCCTATAAAGGAATGGAGTTATCCGTATCTATTCCTCTTGTGACATCACGTTTAGCGACACCCACTGACAGGAAGTAACATTGAAGGAAGCAAAAATGAGCGTTTTTGAAGGCTCATATCTCAGTGAATAATTTTTTGAATAATGGGAGTTGGAACACATCATTATTATGATCATGCAAACACATTGAGCCAATAAAAAAATACCCCCCAAATTTGCAGAATTTACCCTTTAAGATTACTAAGATTAACTCTGTATACTTGCAAAAACGGATGTAGACATACGCATTGTTGTATCACATATTATAGGCAAGTTAGACTGTCTCCCTAAATAATTATCCACTCTTGATTGCATGAATTGTGCTTATTATTATTGCAGTTAAGTTTACATGTAGATGTAAATATGTACACGAGGACTTGTCTTGTTAAAAGTTGCGATGCTAGAATTTTCATGCACATGAAAATTTTTAATTTCAGCAATCAAAAGTCAAGTTTTTCATGATTGCATTAATAATGCAATGCACTGAAATAGTGGGTTATTACCATGAGTCTAATATTTTATGACTTGCTCCTATAGCCTGTACACTTCAATGAGTTTGTAGGCATAGATTTTGTGGTAATTAAAGCCCCAAATTACGAAAATAAATTGCTGGGAAAATGACCCACTATACTACGAGTACATTACTACAAGTACATTTGAAGTGTATGTGTTATACATGTATCATGATGTATGTAGTATAAAAATTGGCTGATGGAAGGTGTCTGAACTTTGTGTTTAGGGCTGTGAATGCAGAGAACAAGGAAATGAATAAAGTAAAAAATCAAGTTACTGGTGAATATGGTCCAGTTCCAGAGACTGCTAGATACTACAAGGTACATAGTACGCATGCACATGTATGTACATACTATAATGTGCATGTAATATAAAAAATACATGTACAATCCATCATCTTGGCTTACAAGTTATTATCGTAGGTTGGGATATACATGTATTCCAGCTGCAATGATTCACAATTTTATTTGCGACTAGCAATTGCCGGAGCAACCAGATGCTATTTTAATTTAAAACGGTGCTGTACACCTTGCTGTAATGTTCTTGAGTTGTTTTTCTTCTTGTGTTGCTAACTCTTGGGTCTCTTTGGAGCTGCTTTAATCAATTCTTTTCAGAACTAGTGTCTTGCTGTATCTTGGAACTCTCCACCCATTCCTGTTGGTGTTTATTGACTTGGGTGTGGTTTGTAATAACTAGCACGTAAACCAGCATATATTTGCAGGAAAGAGCTCTGAGGTAGATGTCCATACAAGAAGTTAACAGACAGAAAACAAGTTACTGTTGGCAAATGGCTCCACTAAAGCTGCTAAAAATAAGCTAAATACTAAATACATGTACGTGGTCGTGGTCTTATTGTCATAGCAATGCTCTAATGATTTTAATGATGTTGAATTGAATATTTTTATTAACGTGAACAATTGCAGCTGCATATACATGGATATCCCGAACATCGTATACCGGGCCTGAAAAATTGATCATTGCGATAAACCTGTATTTTTCATTAAATGTAGAGGCTTGTGTTGTATGCATCATTCATGTACATGTACATGTATGTAATTATGAGACTCCTTAATGATGTATTTTTATTCTTTTGTCATGCGTGATCATTACTTTTTGTCACAGGCTAATCATATTCCTTGGATAGTAGTTGGTGATTCTAATTATGGTGAAGGAAGCAGTCGAGAACATGCTGCATTGGAGCCTCGTCATTTGGGTGGTGTTGCTGTTATTGTTCGATCTTTTGCACGAATTCATGGTATAATATAAATAATGCTTTGTGCTGTTAATTATAATGAAATCATTATTTAGAAACTAATTTAAAAAAGCAGGGTATATTACCACTTGTATTTGAAAACAGTAGTGATTATGACAAAGTACAACCTTCTGACAAAATATCTTTATTGAATCTCAATGGGTTAGCCCCAGGAAAAGTAAGCTTACACTGAAATATGGATAAGATTTATTTTTTGTTTTATAGGCCGTTCAATGTCAGTTAAAACACGCTGATGGATCAACAGAAACTATTACCCTATGCCATTCTATGAATGAAACTCAAATTGAATGGTTTCAAGCTGGAAGTGCCTTAAATAGAATGAAACAATTAATGGAGCAACAATAAATCCTAACTGGATTACTTAATTTAACTGATAACTTTTAGACTTGTACATGTAGCAGTGTTTTGATGGTCATAAAAAGTAGCTTTTGAATTAAAACACATGTAGCTATAATTATGTCTTAATTTATTGCTGCTCATTCATTTTAATAATTATGTACATGCATTTACAATGTAGTTACAGTAAGAGTTCAATGTACATGTGTATACCGTATATACATGCACATGTAGAATCTATTTCATAGGTGTGTAAACTTATGAAAGTCAAAAGGTAAAAAAGCTCCAATTATGACTAGGCTTTAACTTTTACAACAATAGTGGCAACAAGTTACATGTACAGTACATGTACATGGCTGCTACATATTTGCTGGTAGATGCTGCAAGTGACAAAATAAAATCTGCCTTTTTTTCATTATTTTGAGCAAGCTCATTGAAAATACCATAATCATTGCAATAATAGAAATAATAAATAATGTGTACATGTACATAATATAGTAGTACATGTACAAACACCATTAATTTTTGATAACGTTCTGATTATAAACAATAATGGTAATTAAGTATTGTGCTATCACTGCTGTGTTAGATTGAACAGGTATCATGAATGTAATTTTAATCATGATTAGAAAGCTGCAAGTATTACATTTGTTGTAAGTGTATACTGTTCAAATTATTACTGTATAGCAGGAAAATTTTGTTGCCACAAAAATATTATTGTCCATGCATCAGATTTTAGTTGACTTTATTTTCATTAACATTAATTATTAATCATTATCCCATGTCATTTTAAATTTTCATAGTCTAAAATTTTGATTGAAAGTTTTGGCCAATGAAATAAATAAAAAATACTCAATGAAAATTTCCTGCTATATGGTATAGTGCATTTCATAGAACTGTTTGCATAACTGCAGTGTGCCATTAAAAATCACAGCATATGAAGTGAAATTATTTTATTGTAGCATGGGCTCCTGTTCATACATTATGCATGTACAAATGCATGTAATACTTGAATAAAACAACCTCTAGATAAAATGGATACAAGGAATTATTGTGAATTCAAGCTGTACAATAAATGTACCAAGTTACATACATGTAAAATTAGAGATAATACATATCACTATAGACTCAAAACTCTTCAGAGCTTCTGAGATCTAGAGCAGAAAGAATGAAGCAAGATAATCTGACAGTACAGATCAAGACAGACAATAGAGCTCCTTAAAAGTGATATGAAGGAAAATCAAACACAGTACAGTAGAATAAGACTGTGAGAGACCAACATAAAGTCTGCAAGAAAAATCTTCAGGAAACTATAGTACATGTAGAAATAATTTAATTATAGCAGCTCTGTCCATGCTGTATGTAGCTTAGCTTTAAGTTATATTCTCCAAGTCATTATTACAATCATTGATAAACAAGTGCTTAATCAGGAGAAACAATTCAAAAATTAACGACAAAAAACATTAACATAATGTTCTAATTCATACATTCTGTTCACGAAGTACATGTAGAAAGTACACTGGAAAAGTTAATAGCAAAAATGAAAAGTACACATGCAGCCATGTCCATGTACAGTGCCTACCACACACCAGCAATGTTAACTTTTGAAGGATCAAAAGGAGTCCCTTTAAACGGAGAGCCAGGAGCATCCCAAGCTTTCTTAAGAATGTCATGTGCCCTCTATTATAGAAAAAAATGTACACAAAAACATAACAATGACAATTTGGATTCCTGTTACCAATCACCAGCCTGCATTTGTAGTCATGAGCAATTTATACTAACAATGAATACATGTATTTATGAACCACCCACCTAAAGCAGTCCTACACCCACGACAGGCCACAAATACATAATCTAGACTCTATACACTTCAACAAAAACCCATATAGCCACTTAATATCAACATAAGCCCACGCCATGCACCATTATCATAAAAAGCATACCGTACTAACAGGTTATTAAGCGTAGGCGCTTATGCAGAAAATGACAGAAAAACGGGCGTATTATAATGACTCAGCGCTTAATAAAAATAGTAGGTGTGGTTTATAATAACAACTAATTAATAACTTTACTGGTTTTACAATGGCGGGTGGTGAAGAATACTCTTTTGACAGTCTGGTTTGTGGCCACAACGCTTATAAAAAGTGTCTGGACTCCTACTGCTGGAACTCCTACTGCTTCGACTCCTACTGTTCTGTACTGCGCTTAACAAACCCATGCTAAGAGCTACATTGAGCAGGGCACCTAATAAGAACTAGGCGCTTAATAACAAAGGGCGCTTAATAACCAGTTAGTACGGTATACATGTAGGAGGCTAGGAGCAGAAGCAACACATTCAACAGGTATGTGTAAAAAATAAAAGAATGATGTACAGTTGTACATGTTAATGTACACTCACAAAAACAAGGCAAAAAATTGAAGCTTCATATTATAGTGAATCATGGCAAGCATATAGATTTTTTGATAAACGCTTCACTCTAGAAAATTTAGAGTCATATGTAACTGTTACTTTGGAAATAAAACTTTTGATACATGCCCAGCCCCTACAGAGTGCATGTCATAAATATATGACATTTATAGCCATCCCATTAAAAGGAATTATTTCAAACCATGTACTACGATGTAATTAACTGACATTACATGTAATAAGGACTCACTTGCTCACTACTAGTGGGTCGACCAAGCATTTTCATGTGATGGTCATATGTAACTTTCTGAATAGCAGCTTGAGCTTCTTGATCAAATTCACTTATATCACGAGAAGTATCAACTTTTGTTAAATCAATGCCATCTTCACCCTAATTAAAATGAGCACAAGACTGAAAAATTGATAATGGTATAATATCTGGCAAAAGTTAAAAGCCTAAGACATACAATGCAAGTATCAAACAGTCCTGAGTTGCTTCCTGGCATTACCATACAGAGGAATAGATTGGCAAGTTGGTACAATTAACTTGACTGGTTTGTTAGAGCCCATTCCAACTTTAACTTCAGGAGTTTTTATATGCATGCATTTCTCTATACTAAACTACAATTAATTGTGTTGCACATACTCAGCCTTGTCTTATCCATGCATAATCTGTAATGTGGCCCATGCAACCCATGTACATGTACAGTCACTGCAACCTTTAAGCCATATCAGCTCTTCAAATTCACTCTTTCTTACATACAATTCTTCATGCCTGTAGGCAGCTTATTCACTATCACTACAGTCAACTAATTTAAGAAGGTGATAAAAAACTTTCCTCCTTCTAAGGGCCATGCAATTTTAAAGAAAGCTATAGTACCAGAAAGAGAGAGCAGCACTAGTATCGAATCTGCATACTAGTCAGTGTCAAATTGCTACATGGATCTACATTTACCTGTCCAAAGGCTGCATGACACAGCAACATGCCATAACCAGAAATGCCCATAAACATAAGCAAATTCAAACTCTTGCGTTAAATCATATTACATTTCTACACTGTATATAATCACCTACAAATTCATGCTCAGCTAAAATTGACGTTGACAAACTATTTTTTGTAAAAAATGTCTTCTATTAATATGCAATCACGATAATGTACCTTTCTTGCAAAAAATTAAAATGCAATTGTCCTCATAATAAAGTGTGCTAATTAGCAGACAATAAATTTCATTACCGCCCAATATGTACATGTATATTATAATACATGTACACGAGGTCAAAAAACATACCGTAAAAACAGACTTCCACATAATTTCTTTAGTCTTTTCAACATTAATATGGACCACACTTGCATCTTTGTCTAGGCTCCACATAGACTCCTCCACTTTTATACGATGCAGCAGTTGACCTCCGAGGAGGACCTGTAAGCACATGAACATCACAAAGTAAAAAAATCAAATAAATACCTTCTTTTCAGGTTTCAGTGCTTCAACTAATAAAGAATCATTCTTAATTTCTATCTTGAGGTCTTTTCCAGTTGTGCCACTAGAAACAGGAACTCTAATATCAACATCTGTCATCGTTTGAGACCACGCGTAATTGCCAGCATTGGAACCATTATACGTATCAGATGCTTTTGATGGTTCCTTAATAGATGAAGCAAGAGAAGTGGGGACTTGAGCAGAAGAGGGCTGTCCCGGAGGTTGTACAGGTAGTGAAGGGATTGCAGGTGAAACACTATCAGAAGCACTATCTTTTTTGAAGTTATTAACAGGAACCGATTCACTCACACGTATTTGCTCATGTTCTACTTTTGCTGTGACTAATTCCGACTGAGGGTGCTGTAATTTTTGACGGTTGCCTTTTCTCTCCACAAGTCTTGATTTTGTTAGCTTGTTGAGCTGTTCAACAGTTGAAGAGGGTACATCAATCTTTGGGAGCTCTGATAAATCATCTGTCATCAAATCAATACGTCTTGTTTCGGCTTCACGCAACAACTCTGCCTCCCTTTTCCTTGTCAGAATTTCATACTTCTTAAAAGCCTATATTAATCAATGAACAAAATAAGTAATACAAAACAGTCTATTTACTTGAATAACCATATTAAGTGCCATTCCTTGTGGAAAACCCATCTCTGCGTGTTCTTGTTCCATAATAATGTAAAAGTCTGTTCTCCGAGATAAAAATGAGAAAATACATTCAAAGAAGGGCTGAATCTTGCCACAACTCTTCAATATTGACAAAAGGACAGAGTCGTATGTACCCTCCTCACCCCACAGAGATCCAGGAGCAATGGCGGCCATGACCCTCTGCGTAAGTCTACTCTCCTTTCTTTCTGCTCAGGAGAGTCACGTGATAAACTTAAAAAATAAAATCATTTGAAATCAAAATGGCGGCTATAACACGTGTGTGTATATCTATGCTTAGAATCTCTCCTCGCAATGAAAAAGTGTTTTTGACTCTGTCAAGACCTATATTTAATGGAATATCTTCCAAAGAACGATGTCGGACTGTTGATTGTCATGTTCATCTGAGACGTTGGTATGGAAGTGGTGCCTCTCTTACAGAACAGAACCTGATTGACAGGACAATCGGTGTTGTAAAACTATTCGACAAAGTTAACCCAGATAAGGTATTAAAGCTTACAATTTTCTCTATTCATGGTTATAATTTAGGTGTTGCTTGAATCACATTTTATAAATGATTTGGGATTAGATAGTTTAGATTCTGTTGAGATTGTCATGGCTTTTGAAGATGAATTTGGTCAGTTACACTTTATTGAATGTTTATTAGTGTGATTATAGAGTGCCTTTGCATGTACATGTGCTTTTGTGCATATGTATCTACATGTACAATAATAGTCACTCTTGAGGTCACTCCATTTTAATTACCAATACAGGCTAATTACATTTTCACACTTTGAGTCTTTAATTCTTATAGGGAGTTAAAACTATTTTTATTTTTATTGCTATGTAGACTTCCAATTTGTAACTGGTTGAGCCATGTTTGTAACATAGGGTGCCTTTGGCAGTGATATTGCTTTTCAAATAGAGATGGGTGAATACAGTATTATCATGATTAATGATTTATTGTCATACTGCTTAATTTTTATGCAGCAATTTTATTGAGATTTGCGGTTATTGCGATATTTGTTTGCTCATGCTATCACTTAATACCATGTGGACTTGTTAATTTGTAAAAAATGGCTGCCGATTTAGCTGTCTTGTCTCAGTTGTCTGGGCCCAGTCGGCCTAGTTCTACCATGTTTAATATCATAAAGAAGAAGACAATAAGTGCAGTCTGGGTTCATTTTGGACTGCAAGCAGATGAAGCCAATCGAGTGATGGAGGATGATATGGAGAGACCCATTTGTTGCGAGTGCCACAAGGTTGTCCCAGCGAAAGGTAGAAATACTTCTATCTTATTTTCTGTCTTAAGAGAGCACTATCCTACTTTGTTTGCTGGTTTGACTTCTAACTCGTGGAAAAAGTGTGAGTCTAGCGTCATCAATGGAAAGCAGGTTGCCAACTTGCCAGAGGTACTGTTGAAAGACCAGGATTCAAACACATGATCCACTAACTAAATCCCAAATATGATCTACATGTACCTTCAAGAAAGTACTTCAGTAAGGAAGCAATCCCTTGATTATACATGATGTTTGCTCTCAAATTCTTTCCGATATGACATATCTACGGCATTACTCCTTGATGACAGATCTCTGGATGAGCTGTGCTGCAGAGCCTTATACTGTATATGGAATGTATTTCACTGGGATTTAATGTCACTAATTTTACTGTTTTAAAAAAATTGTAAAAATTTTATGTATGAAAATTATTTTTATGACACTACTAATGGTCAGTAGAAAAAAAGGCAAAAGTTTTTTCTTGTGAATAGGCTAAAAGGTGATTTTTGTGAAATGTTTTCCCTGGGAAATATACCCCCTACACGGTATTACTATCACACTTCATTATATTGATTTAGCTTGAAATCTTAAGTCTGTTTGCCTTCAGACTGTAGCAATGTTGAAAGATCACACAGGCCAGAATATTGCAGAATGTGTGACTAAAGCAGAGATGTGTCAAGCCCTTTTGGGCTTAAGATTTTGAAGTAATTGAAAGTGCTTTAAAGCCTTTAGGAAAAAAAGAGCTTGGGCTTGGGCTTGTACTTAATTACAAGTTGTATAATCCTGGGCTTGGGCTTGAAGCCTTAAAGCCCAGGTGTTTCTTTCATCTGTAGTGATCCCCTTGTTATCAGTAATCATTACGCAATAGTACATGTATGTGTATGTGTGAACAATTAAAGCAATCCACGCCCCCTTCAGTGAGCAATTTCAGCACAATACTAAAACTGAAAATGACAGCAAAACTACATGCACCAGCAAATTATTAATAATTTAAGTGAAAGGCTTGTAAAAGAATTAAATACATTTGATAAAGAGCTTGAGCTTGTAAATAAGCCCAAAAGAAATTTTTGGGCTTGTGCTTGTAATTGACTGTTTGATAAAGGGCTTGGGCTTGTGCTTAAGCCCTTTGATAATGTACCATATAGCGGAAAATTTTCGTGGCCCAAAATTTTCGTGGATCCGTCCAAAAATCAATTTCGTGGGTTTAATTTTCGTGGTTTTCTACAATTCGGCCATCTTAAACCGTATAAAATTGATTTTCGCGGATTTTATTTTTGTGGATTTTGAAAAAACGCGAAATCCACGAAAATTTTGGGCCACGAAAATTTTCCGCTATACGGTAATTGACACAACTCTGGACTGAAGTGCTGGAGGAATGGAAATTAGGTCCTCAGAATTTAGTTGCAGTCACAACGCCCACAACTGATACTGGATTAAATATTGTTTGTGCCTTTTGAAATTTTGGAATTTTTACATATAAGCTGCTTTGGTTACAGCCTGGATCTAGGTACGAAAAAAGCATTGAATGGCACTACAAGGTGTGTGCAACATGCTCTTTCCTGGTGCCACACAGTTGTGAGTGTAGAAGCTGGAAAAAGACACAGGATCTAAAGGAAAAGCAGAGGGAACTTGATTTACCCCAACACAGATTAAAACAAGATGTCAGTACTCAGTACATGTTGGGGTTCTACCTATCAAATGGTTGCACAAATACTAGAGCAGCAACAGGCAATTTGTGCTGTTTTGGCTAATGATAGGAGGACATGGAATAATATGCCGACTGATGAAGAAGTTAGTACAATGGAAGTTGTGAAGGAGGTCTTGGAGAATGTCTCCTATTTGATAGATGCATTAGCAGTAGAAAAGGAAGTAACTGCATGCATTCTCATAGTGTGTTCACACTACCTCCCCAGCTATACAGAACTGTGCCTAATTAGATTAGTTTGGTTGTAAAGAACCATATTGGTAGCAGTTCACACTGCACAACTATACCAACTGAGCTTCAAAACTTAACTACACCATTTCAGAGCACCTAATTTGGTGCACCACTTTAGCCTGGTTTGGTTTGGTTACAGTGCAGTTAAGTTATGTTCACACTTGTTATAAAACTAGGCAATACTTCCCCAAAACCCTGTTCCAGTACAGTTCTGAATGGTAGTGTGAACAGGGTATCAGTGTGTTGCATTCTTGCACATCTGAGGAATAAACTTGGAGCAAAAGAAGGAGATAAGAAATTAGCTATAGATATGAAGAACATAATGTTAACTGGCCTTAACATGAGTCAAGAACAGATATAGTTGGTTTCAGTTGAGAAAAAACTGAAGTAAATCAATGTTTTCATCATTAAAATTTCAAGTATGGCTGCAATGTGCAAGCTCTGTCATTCTTTGAGCGTTTCTTCTCCTTTAACTTACTTTACTATCTATTATACATGTACTTCTACAGTGCTTGCTGCTACCCCATCTATCCTTTTCTTGTTCTTGATGCCTGTTTTCAGCTGTTGTGGAGCTCGGAATATGGATAAATCAACAAGTCTCCTGACAGGCTGATAATGAACATTGAAGAACAACTAAAATTGAGAAGGCTGTGGAGTGATACCGTATAAGAGGATTTGTTGGCGGGAGTTTTCTTTGGCGGTTTTGTGATGGCTAGCTTATTGGTGGGAGTTTTCTTTGGCGATTTTGTGATGGCTAGCTTATTGGCGGGAGTTTTCTTTGGCGGTTTTGTGATGGCTAGCTTATTGGCGGGAGTTTTCTTTGGCGGTTTTGTGATGGCTAGCTTATTGGTGGATTTAATATTGGCGATTTCTAACAATTTTAATTATATCCCCACCTTAGGTGGGGTTTTTTTTAAGCGGGTGTGGTTCACTGACAACATACTGTATTATCAGAGAAAGGTGGTAATGTTTCTGGAAGACTGTTCTTTATCACAGGGTTTAGAGGCTAGCTTTAGGAAACATAGTAAAGCCATGTTAGCTAGCAGCCTTTAATCATGCTTTTAACCGCTTTTAACTAAATTTTTTACTAAAATCAATGTGGGTGTGGTCACACGCATCAATGCTGGAATTATTCCTTGCAGATTTTATTTTGGCATTTTTATATAAATCTGTCAATCCGCCAATATTAAATCCCCGTCAGCATTTCATCTTATACGTTATAGCAGATTTGTCCTTAAGAAAAGGCTCCTAGTTGTTGATTGAATATAAGTAGTTATATAGAGCTTGATATGTTTTGTTTTACTGTATAGCCGGTTTTGTTTGCTGTAATTTATTTTGTGCGCTCCAATGCACGCGCACATATTAAAACCGTATAAATTTAACACACTCTAATTAAACCAGACTGTAAAATTTTAATCTACGTGGAAAAATTGCTCTCAAGTGCTCTCATGTGAGTAGATGATATGTTGCTCTACCAGTATTTTGAGAAGAAGGATGGTCACTTACCAGATCCATCAAGTTCTTCATCGAGTAACCTACCTTCTGCTGCTATTGTTTTGGCTAATGCTGAAGTAAGACGGTGTGTCACAAAGGCTAGGCCCTGTGGCAGGTGCTACAACAGCTACACGCCTGAAGAAAGAGCTACTATAGCACGATATGCTTTTAGGAATGGAGTTATGGCAACCAAAAGAAACTTTTTTGCCAAGTTAAACCTGAAAATAAATGAGAGTACCGTTCGACGTTTTAAAAAGGCTTATATTGAAGAAAGAGGAAGTAAACGAGCTGTGTGTGAGGATGATGACGCCGAAATCACAAAGCTACCACCTAAAAAAAGAGGAAGAAAAGTTCTTTTAGGAGAAAACATGGACAGTATGGGGAGAAGTTATGCACATGTAACTAGAATGAGAGAAAAGGGAGGTGTTGTCAATACCAGTATTGTGAAAGCAGCAGCACGGGGAATATTGATGTCACAAGAGAGATTGAGACTGGCTGAGTTTGGTGGACCTGCAACATTAACAACAGCATGGGCAAAGTTGTTATTGAAACGTATGAACTACACTCAAAGACGAGGTACCACAAAGGCAAAAGTATCAGTTCCTAAATTTAATCAGGCCAAAGAATTGTTCTACAGGAAGTGATTGATGTTGTTGCTATGGAAGATATTCCAATAGACCTCATATTCAACTGGGATCAAACAGGCCTTAACTTTGTTCCTGTATCATCCTGGACAATGACATCAAAAGGAAGTAAGCATGTAGAAATTCAAGGTCTTACAGATAAGCGACAGATAAATAAATAAATGCAGAGGAAGACCAATCCGCTTTAACTATTTTTGATTGTTTTAAAGGAAAACTTACTGAGAAAGTTTGTCAATGTTTGGAAGAGAACAACATTCACTCTGTACTAATACCACCGACTGCACAG